TAAAGACCAAACCCAAAACCCACCTACAGATGATTACATAAGTTCTACTTTTATTTGGTGTATTTTTTGCAAAGTCGGAGAGTGTAAGACAAATGAAAGTGAGTTGGGCGGCTGAACAAATTTGGCCAAATACACGTGAATGTGCATATGAATATGGTGGAAGAAAAGTTTCAACAATCAAAAAGTTCAGAAAACAAATTTTCATTTCGGTTTGTTTTGGTTTCTTTTGATAAAACAACACCATGAAAGCCCAAAAAGAGAAAAAGTGCCCGTTCAGCTTGGTGATTTTCATGAAAACGCCAACGAAACGACAAACTCCTCGGTCTGGGCCACTGACTTTTGGCAAAAGGTATATGGCATATAGGGGGTATATTTTTGGGATTCCGATTCAACGGCAACTTGTGGCTCCGCTCCATGCGAGTTCTGTCTGGTTAAACATCGTAAGCATCGACATAAGTATTTCGCAATCAATTTTTGTGGCACAGGTCAAGCTTTATAGAGGTTATGGCAAAACCCGTTAGGGAAGAACTTGAACTGTGACAGAGCCATTAAATTTATGTGATATATTCTTGGCCCGAGCCGACTAACGATATCACTCAAGTGTGACAATGTAATGAACCGAAATTAATGCACTAAATGGAACTTGAAACTGGAGCAACTTCATGACCACAATCGGCCTGCGTATCCAAATCCCGAAAAGGCAAACCATTTGACAGCTGCTCCAGGGGGGGTTTTTACAGAGATTGGGTCGGGACTTCGTAAAACCCCAGTAAGTCACGTAAAAACTTTTATCCGTCATAAATCGTTGGACCAGAACGACGTTGACGTCTCCGTTTTTGTTTTCTTGGCTGACTTTTCTCTTTAATTTATCGAGTCTCGCTAGGAATTTCACTATTTTTCAGTTTTTACTTTTCGAGGGTTACATGCGGTTAATTACTTTGTTTGTTTTCGATTATCAAAGACAACACTTGGATCCGCAGTTACTTAACCAACATTCCAAGTCAATAACTGTAGCTTTGCTAAAGGGCGGTTATTATTATTAAACTATTTTTTAATAACTCACCATTATTCAAGCAGCAGAGAACGAAGAACACGTAGCATATCCAATGATGAATTATCCACATTTTGTATAGCATTATTGTAGCATCCGTTAATCAAGTGAGTTTGATAGTTCTTAAGCTTCTCAGAGCAACATAACACTTTCACAGTTATTTTAAAATAATCGTTATATCTTTGGACTTAAGATCACTTCACTTGAAACTCCTTCACACTTTCCATATTGAATTTTTAACACTCTTGTTTAACCGGTATGCGTTTTCTTATTGCAGAAAATTTTTTATCTTAGCAATAAATTTGAGTATATCTCTGATGTGCCATAAACGTTCTCAAATTGAATTTATGTGCAACTTTTCCTTTGTTCAGCTCTGTAATTGGCAAAATGGCAATTTGAAATGGATAATGGCAAGGGCAAAGGGGGAAACTAGAGTCTTCTAGATTATTACAAGATTATTAGATAGACAAAACACTTTGGCACAGAAACCAAAGCAACTGGAACATTAGCACTCTTCAGCGCCCCCAACCATCTAGCAACTGAAAGTTGTTCCTCATCTTTAGCATATTCTACCACCCCGCCCGCTTCCTTTTTCCATTGTCTTCTGGTTGTGGGGCAAATGTCGCACACATGTCACCTCCAAGTTGCGAGTTTGGAGGTGGATGTCGGGTCGCTTGCTCGGTTGCCACATTGTTGTCACCAACGGAATTGGCGGCATTTTATTCCACCAAGAAACTCCAAGAATAACACAAGCGAAAAGGGGATCTGTATTCTTAAGACCGAAAGCTTAGGTACTTTATAAATTCAAAAATATATTTTAGTAACGGAATATAAAAAGATCTCAAAAGTATACTTTTTAGTAATAAAGCTATCCTCACTAAAACTAAACTCACTAATACGTTAAAAAACTAGATCCAATATTTTTATATAAAATATTAAACATTATTGATGTTAAAGCCTTTAATTTGGAATAGTTCCTTTAGATATTTTATTTTTGAATTGAATAAAACCACACTACCTTTATAACTTTAAAGGGTATAGAGAGACAACAACAGTGGGAATGTTTTTGTTTTTGTTTCCTTGGTTCCGGTATTTTCGAAATAGTGGAAGAATTTCAAACGCCGTTTACACGGGCCAAAGGAGCTTCCTCCTGGCCAGGATTTATGGCATACCACACACAGCAGGTGGGTGGGGAAAGTTCGGGGGAGTGAGAGGCGTGTTGCATTGGGGTGGTGGTTGATGTCGATGGTTGAAACCCGAGGTTTGAGGCGACAGACAAACATTTGCATACAAATCAGCCGCTGGCCGTTGGCCGATGGCGAAAATGAAAACGCTTTTTTGACCGGAAGCCCGCGGAAGCGCACAAAAAAGTCATTCACCTGTGTAAAAACGGTTACATTTTCCAATATTCGCCTGGGCCGCGGACTGTGAACTTGTTTTCCCTCGGCTTTTTCACTCGCAATGTTTACTGATTTATGGCGTATGGGAAGTTTAATAGGAGACATGTTATAAATTCAGGGATTGATTAAGAGATGTCATTAAAATTAAACAAAATGGAAAGTAACACATTAATCTCAATAAATAAAATCTGTTTCCCGTTTTAAAAGTTTTATTAAGACGCAATTATAATCTAATCCTGTAAAATGTTTGTTTACACAGCTTGAAATGATTTTCGAAATATAGTTTTTTTTAAAAAGCGTTCCATATCTGAATGCATTTTCTGTCACTTTCTTTACCGCAAACCCTTTTCCATATGACTCATGATTTTTTAAATTTTAACTATTATTATTTTCCCTTTTGCAATTTTAATTCTTTACGAACACGCACTTAATCCTTTTTGGGGTTTGTTTTCAGGTGCACTAAATTTGACTTATTTATTCGTTTTCATTGTGATTGCAATGGACAAAGAACAAAGTTGGCCAAAAAGCGTTTTATTTAGTATACTCCGCAGCGCTGAACGAGCTCCTCGCATCGCGATCCAAACACAAACTGATTTTCCATAATGTTGCCAAAGTCGCGCCCCCTAACAACCGACAGCAATAAAAGCAGCAACAGCCTGTAAAGCCGGTGTGCGTTGGACTTGTGCCCACTATCATGCATGCACACATGCCTACAGCCCTGGCCAAAAAAATAGTAGGTTTTAAAGAGTTTTTAAAAAAATATTTTAAGTGTATAGAGATTTGGAATACCGTTATACAAATATTTATTAAAAAATCCTTTTTCAAATGTGGAAGAATACAAAATTTTAATTTTTAAAAGGTTGGAAAAGCTTTTTAAGCAAAACTTCTTTTAACAACATATGATATGAACATTTATTTATAATATTTAAGATTTGGGGACTTTTGTTTTTAAAAAACATACAATATGGAAACTTGTGTTGATCCTTTGAACTTCTTGAACCAAAAACAGGTTAAACAGGCCTAAAAAGCATCAGCTAAACATTTATGAAAAATAAATTAAAGATTTGGAGAATTTGTTTTTTAAAAACATCTATACAATATCGAAACTTGTGTTGATCCATTGAACTTCTTGAACCAAAAACAGGCTTAAAAAGCATCAACTTATTTTCTAACAATTCTGTTTATTCTAAAAAAAATTTGAAATTCGATAATTAAGTAGGGTTTAATCTCAAACTCCTTCTATTACTTTGACCGCTGCTGTGGCTAAACGTTGGAAGCCTCTCTGGACGCTAGCTTTTACTTGTGTTGAAAATGTTTCCACATCACTCGTCAAGCGTTTCGGCTGGAAAGAAGCAAGAAGAAACGGAAAGCGGCGGCGGCGGTAGTGCCATGACAACAACAACAGCCTGCTGCCACTGCGCACGCGCCCCAGCTGGAAATGGATGAGTACGAGTGGATTGCAGGCCCTAAGAAGCTCTCTTCGTTGTGCTCCACTGAGCCGGCTTTGCAACCCCTTTCTCTCTCTCTCTCTTTCGCTCTTTGGGAGCCTCTCTCTGTTTACATTGTGTGGAGTAGCCATGGGAACCAAGGCGGCGTCCTAGCCGGTTTACCGTTGGCTCTTCTCTTCCAGGCTCTCCTCCTTCCATTCCGCCTGTCCTGCGGTTTCCCAGTTCCTCCTTCGTGACTCAGCTCCAGTGACATTGCATTTGCATGTGACTGCCGTTAATTGCTGTAATTCCCGTCCTGGACGTCGCCGCCACATAATTGCACTCTCCCGCTCCAAAGTCCTTTCTCTTCCTGTACAGTTTCGTGCCAGTCTTTCCTTGTTTCTTGTTCCCCGTTGGCTTCCTTCGCATACCTGAAAAAGTTGGAGTACTTTTTTGGGACATGCTTTCCTTGGTTTTTGCTTTCCTTCCGACACTTTTGACTTACTTTATGGCCTGGTCGATTATGCCCGCCTTATCGGACTTTAAGTGGGTCTACAGTTCTACAGGGGCCTGGAATTCCTAATGTGATTTCCTGATTGAAAATACATTTTCTTTTCTTGATTAGGATCATAACTCTTTTTTTCTGCCATTGAAAATAGCCGAATTAAGATGAAAAGATCTATTTATGTATTTGCTTTTAAATATTTATTAAATAAATGTTTTTAGGAAATTGAATATTGCTATTTTATTTTAAACAATTATGTATGTACAAGGTAAAGGATCCTTGGAACCAGGTGATTATTTATTTGATGAATTATCCAGACCGTCTATTTTCGAGCTCAGCTCTGTAAGTTAGTAAAAGAGAGAAATTTATTTTAGCTAAATATTTAAATTAAATAATAAAAAAAGTAGACTTAATGTATAAATACGTTCGCATACGAAAAGTTCTAACAAATAATAAAAGAAATATTACTAAAGTATGGAAACTATAAGGTAAGTTATTTTTAAATTTAAAGAATTTTGAGCTATAGAGAAAGTCGGCTGTTTTTATTACCGAAAATCTTATAAATGAGATCTTAGCCTAGAATTGGCATAACCTCTTTCCAGCCTCAATTAAAATAAATTAACTTTTATTATCGAACCTAGCTTGCGAAAAAAAAATCATATTTATAAGTAGCTTTCTTATATTAATGACAAAGTGTATACTTTTTCGCAAAAGGAGCATTATTTTCGCATCACAAGTACTTGGCAACTTAGTTATCACTCACTTAACCTGAACATTTGGGGTCTGTGGTTTTTGGCTACGAATTACATTCAAACTGAGCTTACAGCTAACTAAAACTTTTAGAAAGTAAATTGGCTAGGATTACAGTTCGGTGTGTTTGGGCTTGTTGAACAATCTCTCGCACAGTTTGGCCACGATCTGGGAGACCTCCAGTCGGTACTCGTCCTTGCTGTTGGCAAATCGATTGCGAACGGTTAACAGGGCGTGCCTGAGGCCCGAACTTTGCGACCAGGAGTCGAGGCAAAGATCCTCGGTGGTTTCCAGGGCAGTGGCAAACTGTTCCACCACCTCTGGTTGCTCTAGAAGATGCAGAAAGTCCTTGGTGAGGACACTATCCACCGCTGGACAATAGCCCTGTGATTTCAGCCAGGGCTCGAACTCCAGGAGCACATATTGCGCCATCGTGCTGGCCGCTTCGGGCGCATCTTTGTTGGCCTCCAGCACCGAGCGCTTCTCCAGCACCAAATCACTGATGAGGGTCACCACCTTGGCTTTGCTGCGCAGCTCCACATCCGAACTCTGCAGCACCTTGATCAGAGCCTGTGTGCCCGATGTGGAGAGCACTCGCTGCTGGGCAAGCGGAAATTTCCGCAGCAGAGCTCCAAAGGCATGGAGAGCGGCGGATATCTCTGCCGCATTCCCGGAGCTGGTCAGGATCTGGGCCAGATGCGAGCCAAAGTTCTTCTCGAACACCTTGATCTGGGCCTTGGGATTGTTGCTCGCGAGGGAGCCCAACACTCGCATGGCCGAGACCCTCAGCGAGGTGTTCGTATCGTTGACCACAATGGGCAGTAGGACATCGTCCAATCCTCCATTATCGATGAACATCAATGCATTGTCGATCTGATGCAGCAGATACTCCAGATTCTCCAGGCAATCCAGCTTGGAGCGCATCTCCGACTCCTGCGGCGTCTTGCTGAAGTTGCGATATTGATCGATTAGCTGGACAATCAGCTCGCCGTCCGTGCGAAAGTTCTTCTGGAACTCCTTGTAGGCCTTGCGCAGCTCCGCGTAGCTCTTCTTCTGCTCCTTCACGCGACGCAGCGACTCCTCGATGATGTCCGGCTTGTAGTCCAGCGCCAGGGGTTCATTATCCTGATCCTGATCCTGATGCTCGATCTTCTCTTCTTCCGGCTGACTCTGCAGTGCAGTGCCACGTTCGCTTTCATCCAAGAGTTTGGCTTCCTTGAGTCCCGTCTGCAGGTTGATGCGCACGTGGAGGCCTTTGGGGATGGGCTGACCTGGAAGTTAAGGAGTAACTAATTAGTACACGTCATTCGTAAGTTAACCCGAATGTTCTACCTTCTGCAATCACCTGCCATTCCTTGGTGGCCACGAATTCATGGGTTTTGTTCTCCGTTTCAGTGGCCGCTGCCTCTTGCAGGCTTCCCAGGATCACGACACCGGCCAAAAGGACCACCAACCACTTGCCACTCATGCTGATTCACCTGTCTTGTCTCCAGAATGTGTCCAAATGGTATTTCACCTGGCTTTTAATGAGTTTCGTGGGGGTTTTAAATCCGACTTCGGAGCAGTGATGTGGATTTGTTGTTGTTTGTTTTCATTCCACCTATCGAAACCTATCGAAATTGACGTGGTCGGTGGTGTGCCCGTTGTCTGCTCCCGTAGTTATACCAAATCTTTCAAAGAGTTCCAAAATGGAACCAGTAATTGGGAACCAGTGAATAACGGTTACAATTTAATTTCAAATTTAAATATACCTTTTAAAGTATAAAGAAATTCCTGAAATATACATAACTATGGTATTTACTAAAAAAAACCTTAATCAAACAACCAATTAAAAGAAATTCCTTGGCAAAACTTACAGTTTGTTTTAAAATTTCCATTTTATTTAATTTTCCAGTCTGTTAAACTTAAAATTATTATACTAAAAATAAATTCAGGTAAGGTAAGGTATTTTTATGGAAATAGCTTCTAATAACTGTTATTAAAAATCGATTCAATTTTATGGTTTGTAAACAAGCTTTTTAAAATACAATTTAGGAAGTGGAACTAAAAAACCAGATAAAATTAATGACATTCAGAACGATCCAGATTTAAACCAGAATGCCAGAAAAATTCCCAAACTCATGGTGAATTCCTTTAAATTAAAAAGTAACAGTCATCCGCCAGCTTTCCACAGCTTTACAAAGTTGATAGACTAGTTATGTTATAAACTATTTATTAAGTTTACAAAGACCGAATCATGTTTACGCCCGATGAATCAAATGCAAACATAACTAAAACTGAGAACCAAATTAATTCACAGGGCAGCCCGCCGTAATAAAATAAACGCGTGTTCGCATATATTAACATTTTTCTACATCATTCTTAGGCGCCCCCAAAAAGCGCTGTAATCCCGATAATGTCTACGACAGCGTCTAGGAATTGGCTATGCAAACGAAGCAAAGTGCCCGAGCTAAAATATGTGGACTCACCTGGCGCCAATTGGATGGGTAAATAAACAAAATGCCGGTTTCATGCCAATCGCATAATACTATAGTATATAAAGCAATCACACCGCATATGCTAATTGCCGATGACGAACGCCAGAAGCCAGAAACCTTTAACGAGAATTTGGCAAATTGAATTAAAATTCAAAATTCACTCGGCCCGTTCCAAACGCCGCCTGTCAAAATAGTTTGAAAGTGAAGCCAACTCGAGGGGCAACTTTTTACCCGGTGAATCCATTAAGAATGCCGTTGGAACCAGTTTGATGTCGCCTGAAATGCCCGATGATGTCTAAATGGTTTATGTTTCGGAATTGAGCTATCTTTGAGCTATGTATCTATCTTTGCCTGGTGCAAAACGGAAATTCTTTAAGTTTCCTATAGTTATAAGCCTTGAAGTGCAGTATTCTCTTCTGCAAAGTAATGAAGATTAATATACTATTTTTTATACCAGCTCAAAATAAATTCAAAATAAATCTTATATCATATCAAAAAAATAATGGTATCAAAATTACTATAAATTACTATCAAGGATCCTTAACCTTGACCTATGCCAATGATATCATTACCATGCTATTCAAACCTGCTCAACCATTTAGCACATGGTATACATATATCAAACTCACTTAGGAAATCCACCCAGAGTTCTAAAATCCAAGTGCTGATCTCAAAGCAAACACAAGATGGTTAATATAATCGCCAAGATAAGTACGAATTATTATTTGCACTTCATTATAAGTTGCGAACAAAGCGCAGATTCCATTTCACAGAGATCTAGAGATCTATAAAAAGTACACAAAAAGTAGCCGAAATAGTCTGAATTATAATTTATAATGCATTGTAGGAAAGGGAGAATTTATACTGTAGACGACGACCAGCTCGAAAACTTGCTGGCGGTTCGAACATTAAAATTTATAGAATCACTTTTGATTTCTCGCTGCCTTTTGTCCATTTTAACCATTGTTATTGTTTATTGTTATTTGTTGCTATTCTCGCGAAACCAGGCACATGCTAATAATATTAATTAATAATATTGTTGCTGCCAATTCTGGCTAGGTACGATACTCATTATGATGATCATTATGAGGAGAAGCCAAAGCACAGAACGAAAGAGATATAGAGATATACGAATAAATACGAAAATAGCCACCAATCAGGCGGGAAACAACAACAACGGGGGTCCAAGACAAGTCAGGAATGAATAAACTATGAAGTGTACTGGTTGTCTGTCGGCCAACCTCCGTCGCTCCGTCGTTCTGGCCGATCAGAAATTTTATAAATGCCGCCGTCTGTCCAGAGCCAATTTACAGTTTGCCATTGAACCTGGTCGGGCGTTCGCCAAAAATATCGAACGGTTGAATTTCGAAGTGCCTTTATAAATCTGAGATCCCAAAAATGATGCTGCCGCTCCAACTGGCCACCGTGGCCCTGCTCATCTGTTTGGCCAGTGGCGCCTCCAATTTCCGTGAGTCCTTGGGAGGAGTTCATCTTTGTGCCGTGCTAATCCGAGGTTTATTCTTGCAGCTCCCGAGCTGCCTCGCTGTCATGTGGGCGACACCAGCTGCATCATCAGCGTTTCCCACATGCTGATCCGTCAGTATGCCAAAACTGGCTACCCGGCGGCTGGTTTCCCCCAGGTGGAACCCTTCCTGATCAAGCGATTTGACATCTCCGACGGACGCACTGGCTCCCTCAATCTCAAGCTCAATTTTAAGGATGTGAATGTCGAGGGTCTGTCGGGAGTGAAGTTCGATAGAGCTGTGTAAGTAATTGTGAAGGAGTTATATAGTTACAGATTAAAAATAATACTAGTGCAACGAAAAAATCCTGTGAAATATCAAGGGAAAATTAAGCTGTTGCTTATAAATATTTTCTTGTTTTCACTCTCAATTTTTAATATATAACTTAAGTAATGTCCTTATCTAAACTACTTTATAAAAGGCTCCCTATAAAAAACGGTCAGTAGCCAATTTCACCCAGAATGGATTGACATAAAAATCTAAAAAAATCACAGTAATTCTTACAATAATTAATAATAATAATTTAGAAATCAGTCAGAAGCATATTTCACCCAAAACGGATTGACATAAAAATCTAAAAATATCACATTAATTTCTAAAATAATTAATAATACAAATTTAGAGAATCAAACAAACTTTTCAAGTTTATTTAATTAGCTATATCGTTTTTTAGTTTTTAGGTATACATTTGTTTTTAAATTTTTTCTTTTGAAATTTATTACTTTATTTTACTTACCTTTCCAATCCTCCATAAAAATCCTCTTAGTGGCTTTGGCGCAGATCCTGCAACCAGCAAGTTTGAGATGTACGGATCGTTTCCCAAGATCGTTTTGAAGGGCAAGTACGTGGCGGATGGACGCATCCTGATCCTGCCCATTCGCGGTGATGGCGATGCCGAGATCGTACTGCACAATCCCAAGTTCTCGGTGAAGTTTAAGCCAGGCACCCAGTTGAAGAATGGACGCACCCATTTGAGTGTGGACAAACTCAAGGTTCTCGTAGAGCCACAAAAGTAAGTAAAACAGAGATTACAATCCCTTAAAGTTCAGTTATAAAGATAGTTTTTTTACCTACCAGGATGAACATCCGACTGGCGAACCTCTTCAACGGCGACCAGGCTTTGGGATCCAATCTCAACCAATTCCTCAACGACAACTGGACGGAGGTTTGGAACGAGCTGCATCCCTCCATCCACGTGGCCATCGCCGAGATCGCGAAGAACGTCCTGTCGCAGCTCTTCAAGCGATTCGCCTACGAGGACCTCTTCCTGGAGAACTGAGCACTAGATCGTCCATTAGTCGGCATTAGGCTAAGTGTACGAGTATTTCCTCACCAGCATTTCAAACACACATTGCATTCCGGCCATTGACATATCATCATCGTATCTGCTAAGCTAAGCTTTAAATTGTAGAATAAAAACAAACATAATACGAGAAACTGGTTGTGTTTCTGCGGGGGGCTATTGTATATAGTAGATCTCGGCATTTCCGCACAACTGTCGCACACACTTTTTTGGCAAGCAATCGGCAATCAGCAGGCAGCTCACGTGATCGAGCGATTGATTGGGAATTTGCATGACAAAGGCTTTATCACTAGATTCACTACAGCAGCTTTTTAGCTGGTAAGATATAGTATTTCAATCCCGAAGGAAATATATTGCATTTCCTAAGAAAAATTATATAGATAATATCTTTAGATATTTTATTTATGGCATAGATAATATCTATTAGATATTTTATTTATGATATAGATAATATCTATTAGATATTTTATTAAACCGAATATCAAATGAATTTAGATTAAATAGGAAATCTTTATAATTCAAACTGATCTATTTGACTTGACGTCACAGAATAGTTTATAGGTTTGCCATTTAGAATATTATTAAAATTTATGTTTCCAATTTAAACTAGTATAAAACAGTAAATCTTAGAAACCAGAAACATTTTAAATATTTGAAAAAACATATCAAAATCAATATAGTGCTATTTCTCTGTTCATAATTACATATCATAATTACATATTATATCATATCATATCATATCATATCATATCATATCATATCATATCATATCATATCATATCATATCATATCATATCATATCATATCATATCATATCATATCATATCATATCATATCATATCATATCATATCATATCATATCATATCATATCATATCATATCATATCATATCATATCATATCATATCATATCATATCATATCATATCATATCATATCATATCATATCATATCATATCATATCATATCATATCATATCATATCATATCATATCATATCATATCATATCATATCATATCATATCATATCATATCATATCATATCATATCATATCATATCATATCATATCATATCATATCATATCATATCATATCATATCATATCATATCATATCATATCATATCATATCATATCATATCATATCATATCATATCATATCATATCATATCATATCATATCATATCATATCATATCATATCATATCATATCATATCATATCATATCATATCATATCATATCATATCATATCATCCCCCTTTCCTTTCCTTTTCGTTTCAATTTCAGTTTTACTTGCCAAGTTCAAGAGTAGCCAACGGTAAACCTGCAATCCCAAGCCAGTTGGCCTTGGGTCAGTGAAAATCTTCCACGAGTCAATCAACTGCAGCGAATCCGAGTGAAACAAGTTGCTTTTGTTCTCCTCCACGGAGGCTGGGCTTCAAAACGGGGCGTTGGGCAATTAAGTTAACTGAAGTTTAGGACCTGTTTCTGTTTCGCTCCAACTTTACTCCGATTCTTGGGAAGTGACGATCATGATGACTCTGTTGTTTTCGCATCTCAATTTGGCTATATTTGGAACTGGCCCTTTAGTGAGTTGCACACACTTTGTAGCCAATATTGTTATGATTGTTCCCCCAAACCAATTATAGAGGTTCTTAATTGGACAGACTGAAATCTGACTGATACACCAATTAGTTGAGTCAGTTTTTGATGTAACTATGTAATGTAACTTAGTAATGGTTAAAGAAAATTATAAAATGTAATATATGTATGTTTACTTTGAATAACAGTACTCTGAATTGCTCCCCACTGATCCCATTATTTTGGAAAATACTTATTAGGGTTGATAATCTACTCTTACATAACACCATCAGATGATTCAGTTTTTATATATTAGCGGAATTTGAACGAGTTCTCAAATTGACAGCAGACTCAGTAACGCCACAGATAAAAGCCAAATCAAAGGTTGCCGTTAGACTTTATTTGAGTTGCACTTAGTGTGCCACTATAAATACTAGACTAAATTCCCGTTCATATTCAGTTACTTTGGGTTATAGACGCGTTAACAACATGTTCGGAATCGCGTTGGCAATTGTTCTCTGTTTATCCGTTTCGGTTCAAGGCATATTTCGTAAGAACCAAAATATATTTGGACTATCCTTTAAATAATATCCCGATATCCTCGCAGCTGACGATCCCAAACCTTGCAAATATGGCGATGGAGAATGTATCATAAAACTGGTCAACACACTGTTTAGTGAGAGATCTTCGGAGGCGGATCCTGGTCTCAACCTGGAGCGCTTGGATCCCCTCAAGGTGGACAAACTGGTCATTAGCCAGGGAGAGAGTGCCAGTCCCGTGGGCATAACTCTTACTTTTACCGATAATTTACTGTACGGCATCAAGGACCAAAGGATAGTTAAAGTGAAGTAAGTGCATAACTGTCTAAAAATAATGAGATGCTTTTAAAGTTTTTAAATACAATTGTTTAATAAAAAACTGGGAACGTTGTAAAAATTTGTAAGAAACAAAAAAAGATAATTCTTCTTAGGGCCGTTTTCTCGTCCGTTTGTTAAACTTAAAGTAGGGATAAAACCTTGAAATCGTATGGGAAATCAGAGTTTAAAGCTTCCTTTAAGTTTGACAGGCAGGAGATGGCGCTTACCCGTTTTTAGACGAGGAGGTCAAATAAATCTCTCAGCTACTCGATGTTAAAAGTAACTTATTACCACAAAAAAAAAAAACAGGCGGACGAGAAAACGGCCCTTATAATATTAATTTTAAATCAAGATACTTATGTTAAAACTTAAAATTACATTTTGAAAAAAAGATCCTAAAATACCGTAAAAATTAAATATAATAATACTGCATTTTTTTATTTATTTTAAGGGGATTCGGCAAGGATCTCACCACAAAACACGAAGTGAAGATCGTTGCGAAGAACTTCTCACTGGTAGGACCCTATAACATCAACGGCAAGGTACTGATTCTACCGATTAGCGGAACAGGACAAAGTAACATGACCATGGGTAAGATACATCTATATACATATCCAAAAGAAACCGAAGGATTAACAACCATTTTTTAGTTAACGTCAAGGCAATCATTAGCTTCTCGGGAAAACCGTTGGAGAAGAACGGGGAGACTTACTTGGATGTTACTGACTTCAAAATTACGATGAGGCCAGACTCCACCCACTATCAATTTACAAATCTCTTTAATGGCGACAAGGCGCTGGGTGATAATATGAATGTATTTTTGAACGAGAATTCGGAGGCCATTTACAAGGAGACCGCGGCGGCCATCGATCGTTCCTTCAGCCAGCTTTATATGGGAATCGTAAAGGGTGTGTTCTCTAATCTGCCGTATGCCAAGTTTTTTGCCGAGGAATAACCTATGTGATATACTTTTTTGGATTGGCTATAGCCCACTTACTACTGATACCTATCGCAAACTCTAGCTCAGGTTGTTTGCGCACTGAAAAATGTAAGTTTTAGCGCTAGGCAATCATCATTAGGTTTAATGAGGGTCGTGAGTCCAATTAGAACGTTAGAATAAGTAGGGAAATGCTTAACTACTATCATATAATCTAAGCGGCATCTTCTGTAGATAAATTCAAAGTGTGCGGCAATAAAGTTTCTATATATATAACATAACAATTTATGATATAACAATCTTTACTTAATCCCAATCATGTTGAACCTTTATTGCCCTTATTTATTATTTGAAAATCTGGAACCGCCTGAAAGTATGTGCTTTCTGAATTGTTTCAGAAAAAACCTTGCCCTATAAAAGGTCGTTACATTAAATGTTCTTGACTCTCCAAAGCTCTTGATAAACAGCCATTAATTAGGCACAATTCAAAAGTGTCACAGGAGCTGGAACAGGAATTAATGCCCGATTTTTGGGAAGGCCAATCTAATTTGCATATATCGAGCAAATTACATGCAAAACGTGATTAGGAGAGATGGGATTGACGGACGGGGTCGTTGGCACTTGCAAGTGATGGGACTGTAACCCGGCAGGTTCAAGTTCAAATTGGGGGTTCATTAAAGGGAATCGTAAAATAAATTCGCCGGCTATAACCAGCCTGCCTGCCGGTTTGGTTTACAATCCAAGTCCATTTAACTGACTCAAGTGGTGAGTGTGACGGTCTAAAGTCAAATTCTGGCAGGCTGAGACGCAAAAGCTGTTTACGGGCAACAAAAACATGATACATTTAGCCCGCACTCGGAATGTTCAATTGGTCGAAAGTGACTATATAAGTGGTATCATCCGAGGCTAATGGATCAGTATTCAATTGTGTTTGCCGGCGTCAAATATGGAGCTACCACTGGCTATTGTCCTGCTGCTCGGTTGTGCATCCGTATCATCGGTTCAGGGACACGCCTCCGAATTACGTGGGTTGAGCCTTTGTTTCTTTGTTTCCACACATATCTGATCCCTTGAATTACAGCCTCGGGCATCGAGAGGTGCAAGCTTATGGACGAGCATTGCCTGATAAACGGTATTAACTATGTGCTGAGGAACTACGCCAAGAGCGGCATCAAGGAGCTGAACGTCATCCCGCTGGATCCGCTGCACATCAAGAAGTTCAAGATTGGCCGCAATCCGCACAGTCCGGTCAACATTGATCTCAGTTTCCGCGACGTGGACCTACTGGGTCTTCATCAGGGAGTTGCAAGGAAAGCCAGGTGAGATAATCTTTCTTAATTTTCGGGTTTCTCTTTAAACCAATTAAGTTTGATTTATATTCAGTGAGTTCTAAAAAGAAGATAGAGATATTATTAAGATTATATGCTATAAAACAGAAATTATGCTATTATTATTTTTACTTTACTACTTTACTTTACTTTATTATTTGTACTTTACCAATTAACTTTGATTTATATTCAGTGAGATCTACAAAGAAGAAAGAGATATTTTTAATATATATACTAAAAAACAAAAATTATACAATATTACTTTTCTGTTTTCAGCGGCTTCACAAGTGATCTCAGCCGATCCATTGAGCTGGTCATGGATGTGCCCGAAATCGTGGTAAAAGGACCCTACTCCGTCGACGGCAGAATACTCATTTTACCCATTACAGGCAAGGGAAATGCTGAGATCCGGCTGAGTAAGTTTTGGCCAACACTTTTCGCCATTTCCCTTCTAACATGAGTTCCCTAAAACCACAGGCAAGACAAAAGTCCACGCTGTGATCAAATTCAGGCCTGTTTCCAAGGGCGAGCACCAGACTTACGCCGAGGTGGTCGACATCAAGGTTGAGGTGACGCCGCAGCATGTCACCTATCACCTGGAGAACCTCTTCAATGGCCAAAAGGATCTGAGCGAAAACATGCACGCCCTCATCAACGAGAACTGGCAGGACATCTTCAACGAACTGAAACCGGGCGTCAGCGAGGCCTTCGGACTGATAGCCAAGTCAGTGCTGGACAGGATCTTCGGCAAACTGTCGCTGGAACAGCTCTTTATAGTCTAATTCCCCTCAGTACAAAGCTTTTAATGTGAATATATTTATTTGACTTTCAAAATACAAATGCAAAGCAAACAAGTAATTCACTGGTAAGTTCCTCTCACAAATTAAATGTAGTTGCAAAATAAATTCAGGCAGGTAGTTTCATCTCACTAGACTACGAATAAAATCAAGTGTTATGTAAAAGTTAGCAAGCCTCGTTTTTGGCTTGGATAAATAAATGTAAAAATATTATTATAAAAATGTTTTCGTTTGATTTTGGCTTTTTGGTTGTGTAAAGTCGTACAAATTTGGTAGCCAATCATTTTCGTTTTGATTTCGGTTATGTGGATCATACAAATATTTTTTAAAAGTGTAAATGGATTTCTTATGATTACAAAATATGGCATCCAGTTTTTGATTTGTTTGAATAAATGTTAAAATATATATGTTGAGTCTTTCGATTATAGATATGCCTTTGGGATGCGTAAAGTAATTGATAAAAGTATTTATCAGGTTAAAAATAAATATATGTACCTGGAAATTGGTAGTTTTTTAAATTACCAATTTGATTTGATACTTTTTTTGATTCTGACACATCCAGCTTAGCTTCGGAAGCGAAAAAATTCACGCTCTTGGAGTCGTGGCGGCGATGATGGCGCCTCCTCTTCAAGTTCATACTCCTCCATCCAGTCAGAGGGCTGCTCTTCAACCTCTGCGAACTTGGGTCCGCAAATGGCCATCACATTGGGCGGAAAGTAGTTCTCCGGATGGGCCAGCAAAGCGGTGAGGAACTCGTCCTGCTCGATGGCACAGTTCACCGCATTCTCCAGCTTATAGTGATGCGCGATGTACTTCTCCTCGTCGGTGAGGCTGCGTGGTTTGGCTGCCTCAAGCTCGGCACCGGCCAAAAGGATGGCTCGCTCTTTTAAAGCCCGGTGGCTATCAGTCATGGCCGCCGAATAGCGATGGTCCAGGTCCATTTCCCAGTTGAACACATGCACACTGAGATGGGTGGCCTTCAGCCATTCGCGCAGGCCCATCAGCAGACTCTCCAGGCGCTGTACATTAGCTAAAGGAATAACATATATTAGAGAAAATAACAAAAGAGGTTTCAGGGAGGTTTAACCACTTACCCTTGGCCGAATTGTTGATAAAGTTTCCATTGCGATGGCGCATTTCGGTGGTCAGAAACTGCTTGAACGACTGCAAATAGGAGGTCGATCCCTTGAGCAACTTATCGCACTCGCTGTACTTCTCGAAATCAAAGTGGCGATTCGTCTCCAGGGTGCGACGCTGTTGAGCCAGGAAGCGCTCCACCTTGGTGCAGAGCACCTGCAGTTGGTAGCGCACATTCAGGCTCTTGGGCATCGTGTTCTTCACGGGCATGGCGAACAGATAGTCCGAGGGCATGGAGTTTTGGCGCGAAAAGCCCAGATCGGCGGTCAGGTGATCATGCAGGGACCTGAACAGATTCAACACGCGCACCACGGCATTGTGCTCCAAGCTGAAAGTGGGGAAAGGGTATTATTACAGAATATTATAAAGGTATTATATGTGATTTATGAGGGTATTATAGAGATATAATTAGGGTAGTAGTAGTAGTACTAGTACTAGTGTATTATAAGGTATTTCAGGGATATTATAGGGCTTTTATATTGGTATATAATTAGGATATTACAGGGTATTATACAACATTTTATGGATATTATAAGGGTATTATCGGGTAATATTCCAGGGTATTAAAAAGGTATATAAGATCTAAATTTTGGGTATTACAGGGTATAATTCCAGGGTATTATAAGTTATTTAATGGATATTATAGGGATATTATAAGGAATATATAAGTATTATAGGGGTATTTTAATGGAATTATACGGGTATAGACAAGTATTACAGGGTATCACACTCACCAATCGCCGTGCAGACCGATCGAGCGCAGTTTTTCGATGGTTATGGGCTGGGCGAAGTTGTTCACCTCCTCGCGGCGCCGCTGGTTCCACATGTTCTCCTTCTGCAGCTGCTCCTGCTTCGGACCGGAGACGAAGAACAGGGCGGGGCAGCCGGAGCGGGACTTCTTGGCCGTGGAGCCACCGCATCCCGAGTGGCGGGAGCGCTTGTAGAGCTGCTGCACGCAATTCAAGCCGTGGAACTCGAAGCGTGGCGCATTGTTGTCCAATCGCAGGCCCCGGAAATTGTTTTGAATCTCCGACAGAACGCCCGACGAGGAGCTGGCGCTGCAGACTCCCTCATTTTCTGAGTCCTCCGAAGCCAAAGGAGCATTTTCATTGATATCCAACATGGAGGACAGCTCCTCCTGCAGATCCACCAAATTGCGAGCCAATTGCAGGTCATCCTGGGCCGAAAGGCCCACGCCATAAGCACGTGCATTGAACATCTTAATCTTACCAAGCGAAATCAAACCAAATCACAAAAAACCACAAAAGTCTGAAACTTTTTTTTTTCTGACCAGGCAAATTTACCGTTTGAAAAGCGCGACGCCACGCTGTCTGGCGTTTCAGACAGAAGAGACAGAGCAAAAGAGAGTGTGCAACACTGGTGGGTAGTGTTGGTTGACTCACGATAGTATTTCGTAGCAATTAGCTATTATCAGCGGACAAACTATTGGATGATTTATGGCTACTATATACCAAAAGCCCAAGGGCAGTTTTTTATTATTTTATTTTTACATTACTTTTCCGATCCTTCCTATGGCAGATAACAAAAATATCAACTTGACTTTTAATTTATACGATGAATAATTAAAAAGGTGGCAATAAACGGCAAGGTAGTAAGCTTTGCTAATGTTTGGAACTCCACTAAGTAGAGGGCTTAGCCCGGACTCAACCCCATTTTTATTTTACATGTAGTGGCTTGAAAATTGGCTAGAAAAGGTGTTGGAAAGTACGCGAATTAAATCTGTATACGGATTTTGCAACAAAAACTGTTTGAAATTGGGCCAAATTTTGTATAAAAAAGATCTCTTACTTAAAATAATATATGTATATATTCCAGCAAGACCCATGGTTTGAAAAATGTTTGGTTTGTTTGATAACGAAATTGGGGAAACATCTTTGGAATATTAACCAATAGAAAAGCATATCAGATCGAAAATTTCCAAAACGGGATTTTTAAATTTCCATAATCATATCTTCCTAATTAAACGCTTTAATTCCTTTCAACGTATTTCAATTCCCCTTCTTAGAATTTTGTAGCCTTCTTAGGCTTTAAAGCCTATGAAACATTCTTTATTATCGTGAAGTCAATTAATCGTTAGATTTAAGCATAACTAGTGAAAAATTCCTGAAGATTTGCGGCACAAAAGGGTTAGTTACAAAACCCAAAGATGTATTTACTCGTTCATAAAAGCTTCCACATGGATAACATTTTGGGGGGGAGGGTAATAGCAATTAGGAAAACCAATCAATCGAATTCCACTATCTCTTCTGCTGTCAATTATCCACTTTCTATAAACAAATACGACAAGAGCTGTTGTTTTTTTTCACTTAGCCAACCACAAGATCGTTAATTCTTTAATTCACAAAGCACATTGAACCGCAAGGACCGCAGCAATTGAATTACAAGCTTTCTTTCGTATGGGTTCAGTGGTATCTTTACGTTTTATAGATTTTTATTAAAAAATTAATAATTTGTGGTTCATCGCGAGTCCCATTTTATTGAGGCTTCCTGCGGAACGAGCAGCCTGTAAGAAAGAAAAGGGATTTTAGTAAGTTGACAAGCAAGAATAGATAGCAAATAGATTTATACCTTCTGTCAGCTTGGCGCGTCCTCCAGTTGGCTGGCAGAGAATGGTTGCGCATCCGGCGCAGACCACGACGCCCTGGGCGTGGCTGAAGACGGTGGTGATCCTGTAGCAGCCGGGGCACTTCACGTCCATGAAGTACGAGTTGGGGTGCTGGACCAGGCGCTTCAGCTTGTGCTTGCGCTTCTCCTCAGCGGGCAGCGGGTGCAGAAGATCTTTAGCTAGCTGAAAGGGAGAGGGGAATTCAGGAATTAGTATGCTAGTATAAAATCTTTGTTTAGAAATGTCTAAATCGAAAACTAAACCGAATAAGTTTTGAAACCAAGTGTCTATTTTGGCGGTTTTATATCAAGATTAGCAAAATCACTTAGTGAACTTAATTCTACATTTAATTAATTCATGTAAATAAGGGATAATATAAAGGTAATATTGATAGGATGAAAATCAGTTTGATCTTAAAGATCATAACATATTGATAAGAAAACTAAACAAAAATGTTAGAACTTTTTAAAGGCAATTAAAGAAATTTTTAAGGTTTCAATAAAAAATCCAATTGGCACATTTTTTTGCTCGGTGTATCAACAAATCCAGGCAACAACAACATAAATTCGCCAATGCGTGTTCTAGGTTATGTGCAAGGACTTTCGAATAATTCCTTCTGGCATTTCAATCAACTCTTCGTTAAAGTCAAGCAAATTATATTTCATTAATACATTTCACAACTGTTTGCAATTTCACAGGCGCACGCCATGCGTGGCCACCAATAAACCACACACACACGTTCATGGAAGCGAGCCAGACATTTGTTTTAAGCCCGTTTCGGGGCGTTTCTAGCGGCCAACACTTGCTCCATTTACTCTAGACACTTTGGCCTAGCTGCCGGCCAGCTTTTGGTCAACTTTCGGTTGAGTTTTCTGTATTTAAAATCAATTTTAACGCAATTTGGGCACAAACCGGCATGTTTTTCCAAGTATTTACGTCACCCTGCAAAAAATAAGAGATATTTTGGTTAGAAATTGGTCACAAATTACACTTAAATGAATATTTTGGGTTTAAACTTTAATAAAATGAGAAATTACACATTATTTAGTTAAAAACGTGGAGACACGCACTCACCCCGTCAAAAAGATGGCAGAAAAGAAAAATTTGAGGTTAGGATTAGAGGTGGGAAACCTCGATTCGTGAAATGCAGGGTAGCTACGAAGTCGCCAGTCGAAGAAATCCCACCACTAAGGTTGGAGCCTTGGAAAAGGTTCGGCCGTTAACTTGGTCGAAAAGGTGCTAAAAAATGCCTTACCGTGTGAGGGTGGCAACTCTGGCGCAGACGTTTTCCAGCACTGGATTTGCCGCCTTTTTAATTTGAAAATTAACTTTAAGTTGTTTGTTTTATTATAATAACATATATATTTTATAAAAACAAATAATATTAATTGTTATACAAATACTAAGCTTTCGCTCTACCAAAAAGAAAAGTTGTATTTGTGGTTTTGTTAAAAAATGTAAAAAAATTTAATTTAAATATAAAAAATAATTTAAACATTTTATTAATTTACATTTCTAAATTAAATTAATTGCTCTTGATTTAACTTTTAAGTAAATACATTTCTAAGATATTCATACATATTTCTGCAAACCAATTAAGGTCATACTGAAGTAAACAATTTTGGTAATTTTTACCGGCAATTTGTTGCATTTATTTTATCCAGGAATAATAAACAATATAAAATGCGAGCTGTTACAGAACCCGATCATTCCATCCAGCTAAACGAGACTATCTATTGCTACGAAATCTGCACCAATGACTTTGCCTACAATCTGATTGCAGTGGCGCTCAAGAAGCAATTGAGTTTGATACTCGTGGGACTGCCGGTGGGTTTGCACTCTAGAAAATCAGTGAATTTTTAATGAAACTAATGGATTTCTGAGTAATCTGCAGGAGGAGAGCGGCGAGTTTGGTTACACACACCTGCAGGACCTGGACGTCTTCGACAAGGATCAAAGGAGCGTCAGTGCATTGGCCTTTTCGCCGGACACCTCGCTCAACTGCACGCCGAATAATGTGACTTTGTGCGCCGCCCTTGGCAGCCAACTTAATCTATTCCGCACGGATCTCGGGCAATTTAATACCCTCCAGGTGCTCGAGGGCCACGGCGACTATGTGAACGATGTTTCCTGGGTCTGCGAGGGTGAACTGCTGGCCTCCGTGAGCGATGACTTCACCTGCCGCTTCTGGACAATTGCCGGCAGTGGGGAGAATGTAGTCACCTTCGGCCTGTCCTCCGCGGGAATGTCCATCAAGAGTCATCCCGAGGATCCCAACAAGGTGCTTGTGGCGGAGAAGAAAGGTGGTATACCAGACCCTTTAACTAAAGAAACCTTTTAACTAAAGAATCTATTAATAGGCATCATCCATCTGTACAATGTGCGGAGCAAGCAGACGGTCATCTCTGTGGAGTCACCCAAATTCCCGCTCATGTCGGCGGATTGGGCCAATAGCAATAGGCTCTTCATCACCTCCCTCGCCGGCGGAGATGTGATCACCTGGGATCTCAACAGACCCTTTGTGCCCGCCGATGTGAAGCAGGTTCACGAGGATTGCGGCCGAGTGGTGCGATTTGCACCGGGAAGCTCCGAAATGGTCATTGCCCTGATCATTGGGCTAACTTTAAAGGTTTTTGCAGCCAAGTCCACGGTTCCCTTGCTGGAGGCTCCCCTGAAAACCTTTGGCGGAATGGCCTGGCACCAGCGATTGCCATATATCTCCGCGGTTTCTGATAGGAAACTGCTCTTCTGGAAAGTGCAGATGAAGTAAAGCATGCAGAACACCAAGAATAATAAAATAATATTGTTAATATAAAGAATGAAACATTTCTAGGTTAAATTTCAAAGAGATTTTCTAATTTTTTGCTTTTGGGTAAGTTAGGTTTGGCTTATATTGGGATTATAGATACAATTATTAGGAGACTAGACAGATCTCTCAAAAATAGTTTGAATAATCGTTATTTAAGATTTTTATTTTAAAAAGACTACTGGGATATTTTGTTTTTAACCTTCAAAAACAACGTTCTTTTTACTCTTGTCCACAAAGTATATGGATGTTAACAAATCTGGAAAGAAAATTAACTGTTATTTGATCATGTCTATGGGCTAGTACTCAACCCAACAAAAAGTCGTCCAAAACAAAATCTTCATATGAAACAAAATTTTTTGACGTTGTTTTTCATATGAAGTTTTTTGTTTTGGACGACTTTTTGTTGGGTTGAGTACTAAGCCTATAAAGTTAAATTGTTAATTAAAACTTGTACAAATCTCAGTAGGCCTTTTAAAGTAGAAATCTCAAATAACGATTATTTACGGTCCCTGGTTTATAGTTATTTATTTAAAAAGAATTGGAGCTTTACTTAAGCTATAAAATCGAATTAGTTATATTTTACTAGCCTGCCTCAAATAAATTATCTGACCTTATAATATAAAATAAAATTAATAAATGCCTACAAAAAGTTAAAGGTACTCCCCAAACAGTTGATCTGCTGAATACCCTATATATTTATTTAGTATACATTTGGTATTTTTCTCAGACCCAAACGTTTGAGGTTCACAGCTGCCGTGCGGTCACACTTCATATTTTGTTGCATATTTTTTGTTGGCCGTTCTCAGCAGCCAAAGTTTAAAGAGGAATTTAGCGATATATACGTTCTGATCTGCACCGCAAACGAGTGCAGCGAGTTGCAACTGCAATTGTCCAGCCGGAGTTACCCGATTTTCCGGCCGCGGCACGTTACCGTTCGAGAAATCGGAGTCGATCGGATGACGGAGTGAAGAAGAGTCGAGCGCGAAGCACATTTTTGCGAGGTCGAGACCACAGCGATTGGAAAGCGTTTAAAACACAGGCAGCGAAATGTTCGGGACGAAAAAAGAGGTGGACGAGCATGTCCACAAAGTGCTGGGCAAATTCTCGCCGGGAAATGAGGTAAATAAATGCCCACATCGTGCAAAGGAATTTCAAAGGGGAAAGAAATAGCAGTTGCGAAATCTTCGGCGCCGCCATTGAAAGCGCGCCTTTGTGTGCGTTTGTCGGTGTGTGAGTGTGCGTGCGTGTCTGTGAGTCGGCGTCACTTGGCTGGCGGATTTGCAATAGAAAAGGAAAATTGCGCGCTTTTCTGGCGACGCCAGCATTTCGTATATTTACAAAAGAAATTGCTTTTCTCTAAGCCTCATGACATTTCGGTTCTCCTCATCAATCAAAATAGAAATTTGAGGTTATGTGTAGGTGGCCAGCAGCCGCTTATTTCAATTTACATCTACAGTAGACACTCAATATGTGAGAGGGCTAGGAATTGCAATAAGGATATTCATACCAAATTGTTTTCCCAATTAGTTTAGTTTAAAAATGTTGATTGAACTTTTTCTTCTTGTTTTAGTACAGTGAAGATTTGTTTCACTAACGGAAGCGCTGGATTCTTATTTGCCATTGTTTATAAAACCTTTAAATTTTAGAAAACAAAAAATTAAAGTTTAAAATTATTATCAAATCTCAGTTCTTCCCGCTTAAATTCATCAGAGTTCTAAGCAGGACCTTAAAAAAATATTTTTCTATTTTCGATTTCTGCAGTTAATCGTACCCGCTATAAATCTAAAAAAATTTTTACATATTCTAGAAAATCTCAAACTATGCATAAAATATATATCAGAGTTCTAAGCAGGATCATCAAAAACTATTTTAAAATTTTCCAATTTCCATAGTTTATCATACCCGCTATAAATCTAAAATTATATTACAGACTCTCGAAAATCTCAAACTATGCACAACATATAAATTTAAAAAAAAATGAACTTAAAAACCTTGTATATCTCAGGTCTTCCGGCTTAAATTAATCAGAGTTCTAAGCTGGATCATCAAAAAATATTTATCAATTTTCCAATTTTCTTATTTAATGGCGCTATAAATATAAATTTATTTAAATTAAAAAAAATTCTTTTTTACAAACTTAAAAACTGTTTTTAGTGTTAATTTAAAGTAATACAATACAGTTTACTTTTCAAACTGTATATTGTAAAATTTATTTAAAATATTTATTAGACTTTACCTATTTACCTTGATAATAAATTTATTAATAAACTTCCTTAATAAATCCTAAAAACCTTTGTTTTTAGCGCGATATCAAGGGTCTGGCGATAGCCAAGCTGTACTACAGGATCCAGGAGTTCGCCACGGCCATCGAGTATCTGACCAGCTACCTCAGGATCAAGGATGAGGCGGTGGCCCAGAACCTGATAGCCACCTGCTACAGCAGGCTGAAGACGCCCGATGTGCCGAAGGCGCTGCAGCACTACCAGCGCAGCATGCAGCTCAATCCTCGCCAGTCGGAGATTGTTGTGGGTGCCTGCGAGCTGCTGACGAACGAGAATGCCGCTTTCAACACTGAACGGGCCAGATATTGGCTGGATTTGGCGAATGACCTCGATTTGGGCGACAATCAGCACGTCTTTGCCCTGCGGATGCGTCTCAATCTGCAGGAAAGCAACGGCGGAGGAGATACCGGCGGTTCAGCCGACGGCGAGGACAACACTTTGGAGCTGCTGATGCACAAGGAACTGCTGGCGCGTCCCCAGGATGTGAATGTGCGGGTGAAGCTGCTGCGTAGCTACGTAGAGAAGAAGAAACTCGATCAGGCCTTCACATATGCCATAAAAACCGAACTGGAGTCCACGAGCTGCACGAGTCAGTCGAGCGAGTGGTACGACATGATCTGGACGCTGCTCGCCAAAATGGAGCTGGCCAAGGATGTGAAGAAAAACTGGCGCTTCTGGCAGCTGGCGCTCCACGCCCTCGATCGCCTCATGCAACTCAGTTTGGAGGCGGGAGGCAGCGGCATGGCGGACAGCAGCAGTCAGTTGTTCCGCCTCGATCAGTACCTGCACAAGTTCAGCAATGCGATAGAGCGGGCGGGCGATGCTCCGCAAAGGGAACTGCATCAATCGTGTGTCGATCACTACACCGGCCAGCTGCTGCTCCACGCGGTGGCGCTGCTTTTTAAGCGTGAGCTGCTGGGCAACAAGAACAAGTGGCTGAGCACGCTGCGTTCTGCTTTGCCTGCCCTGCTCCTTGGCTATCAGGTGCGTCCGCTGGAAGAGTCGCATGTCCATCAGTGGATGAAGCACTGCGATGCGGAGCAGAAGCAACTGATGCAGCTGTGGCGCCAGCAGGGAGCTTTCCGTTGCGCTCAGTTGGGAAGGACTCTGCTGGGATGCCTGGACAAATCGGGAAGGGATAACGACAGCCAGAAGGAGAACAGCCACGCCAATGAGAACCAAGTTTCCGCCCAGACTTTACCTGGTTTGTTTGCCGACTCCGAGGAGCTGCTGTCCTCGGCCCACCAGCAGTGTTTGGACAAGAACTGGCGCAGGCAGCTCTACCAACTGCTCTTCACCCACGCCGAGCACAAGCTCAAGGATCAATCCTCCCATCTGGTGCGTCACCCGCGTCTGCAGCTGCCCGTCTTCGAGTGGCCGCATCTGGCGGAGATTGAGACGTATGAGCAGCAGGCTCTGTCGCTTCCGCCGCACTCCCTGGCCCAACATGTCTACCTGGCGCTAAGCACCGAACCCGACCATCTGGGCGATGCGCCACGCGTTGCTTTCTACGAAGGCTTTCGACGGGATGTCAAGCAGAACCTCAACTACTGCGGTCACGATTCCATCAGCCAGGTGGACGTGGATCTCTATCTGTACGCCACGGTTATTCAGGCCCAGCGGCGATTGCAACTCCAGCGGGAGGTGTACAACAGCTCCAATTTGGGCAACCGCAATGCCGCCGCCCGGCCGCATATGATGCCATTTGCCAATCTGCTGGGCCAGCAACTGGGATCCACGGAGCAGAATAACTGGTGGGAGCTGGTGCTGCGTCTCCACGCGAATCAGTTAACAGCCGAGGGCAATCGCGCCGAGCAGCGGGCTCAACTGCAGGTCGGTTTGGAGGCAGTGCGTGGGGTAAATGGACCCAAAGCAGATGCCATCATCATTTTCCAGCTGGGCAAAATTCTGCAGTCACGAACGGACCTTCCCTTAGAGTCCCGCATCGATACTTTGTACCGCCAGGGCTTCGCAATTCTGCGTCGCCAGCACTCGCAGCAGAATGACTCCTTTGTGCGGATCTTCAAGTACGGAGCAGCAGGATCAACGGCCGCCTGGCAGCAGCTTCAATCGCTGGCCGAGCATGCGGTCTCCTATTTCAGCAAGAAGATGTTCAAGGCGCACCAGTACGAGCAGTTTGTGGACGAGGTTCGCGGATTGGATCTACCCATGGCTTACTTTATGCAATCGGAGGCTTATCGGCTGCTTGAGGATTCCGGAAAGACCACTAGAGTCTTGAGGGCTCGCTTTTCAGAGCGCCGGCAGGAGTGCCTGCAGCAGACGCAGCAGCTGATCCAAAACGACGCCAAGCATCCGCTGCACTCGGCAATGCGACGCTACCAGCAGAATCGCAGTAGTCAGGCTATCGACGACAGCTTCGGCAGCCCGGATGTGCACAACAATTCGTCGACCTACGAGGATGCCGAGGATGACTTCTATTCGGGTGCCGCCTTGTCGGCCAACCGATCACGTAGGCAGGTGGAACCCGCTCACCCAGTGACGCCCATTGTGGTGGCGGCACAACCAAGTCAGGAGATGGAGCAGACTGTCAAGCAGATCAGCAAGTCGCTGTGTGTGCTCAAGGACGATCTGAGTTTGGGCATGGAGGCCATGCGTCAGGAAATCAAGAATCTAACAGAGAAGTTTACTGGTTTGGAGGATCTGCTAAAGAAGATCAAGATCAGCAGTCGAGATACGCCGACAAGGGATGTGGATCCAGCGGCTGCTTTGGGATTGGATGATCTGTTTATCATTGAGGATGCGCTTGCGGAACACCATCAGCAGCAGCAGCAGCAACAGCAGCACCACAATCAAGCGGCTGTGCATCAGGTGGTTCCCAATCCGTACAGTGGCGCCACTCCTGGCTTCTACAATGGCCTGCCCAACACTCCTTCCGCACAGGATCGCTTCCTGCCGGGTGCCTACGGCAGTCCCATGTTTAACCAGAACCAGATGTACAACTACTACGCTGCTCAGGCTCAGGCGCAGGCTCAGTTTTTGCGTACTCCACCAGCTCCAGGAGCGATTCCACCTCCGAATATGTTTGGTAAGTGTTTGGATCAGGGTTCGGAAAAAACAACACACTTTGTAACATGTTAAATGCCAAAGTTCAAAAAAAGTTTTTGACATGTGTGTAAAAAAGTGTAGCTTACATATGTTAGAAACATAAATAACACACATTTGTTTTATTTACACGACGCGTTATTAACACGATGAGTTTTTGACATTAAAACGTCAGAAATATATGTTTAACTGAAAAATTTTTGTTCACAACGTGTATCACAATGAGTTTTTAACACAATGAGTTTTTGACACTAAAACGTCAGAAATATATGTTGAGCTGAAAAATTCACGGTTTTCTGTTGTTGAAAAAATTCATATATGCTTTGAAACGGTTAAAAATAACAATTAAGATATCCTGTCCCAATTTTGATTCTTCGTTTTTCGATTAATGTCCATAAAATGTAATTTTCATTTGTGTTAAAAACACGTCGTGTTAATAACACATTGTGTAAAAAACACAAGTGAGTTGTGTGTGTTAACAATTATTTTTCACATTTTAACACATATGTCAAAAACTTTGCTCACACTGTAAAATACAATTTTACATGTTTTTAACACGTGTGTTAAATTCCGAATCCTGGTTTGGCTCTATTTCATTTAAATATTTCTAATGATTAATCTTAATTAGGTCCCCGGAATCCCAACTTTGGACTGCCCAGCATGTTTCCACCGCCGACAGGGGCTTCGGTAGCACCTTACATCGATGCCATGGGCAACTTTACCCAGCCGCCTCCAAGCCTAATACCTCCACCCGTTCAGCCAGCTGTAGCACCGGCTCCTGCTCCGGCTCAAGCTCCTCTTAATCTGCTGGAGTCTAAGGCACCTGCTGCACTGCCAACTCCGAGTTTCTTCAACACGCCATCGCCGGGCTTTGGTGCTTCGCCCATTCAGGTGCCTCCAACCAAACCTCTGAGTGTTCCATCAGCGGCTCCAGTACCTCCGGCTGCTGCTCCTGTGATTCCTGCAGTGCCAGCTGCTGTTCCCGCTCCTATTCAAGTACCCCAAGTGGTGGCTCCCACTGCTCCCGCTCCCGTTCCCGCCATGTTTAACCGGGCTTTGAACAACCAGCCCGTGGAAAAGGAGCCGCCGGCCAATGTGGTGATCACCAGCTCGGATCCCTTGCCAAAGCCAACGAGTTCGAGTGTCCAGCCCACCTTGAGTGTGACCATTCCGGCCCAGCATATCAAGCCCAGTTTGGTGCAGCCCCCAGAGCAACAGGCGCCGCAGCAGCCAGCGGTACCAGCAGTTCCAGCAGCAACGGCCGCTTTCAGCTTTAACTTTGGCACCAAGACCGCCGAGAGTCCCTTCTCCTTCAAGTCGCAGGTGGCCAAGGCGGCGGCCGAGAAACAGAAGGAACAGGAGGAGGAACTCAATCAAAGTGGAGCCAGTGAACCCAACAAAAGTGTCGCGGCAGACACCTCAGCGGATGACTACGATCCTCGTCCCGATTTCAAGCCCATCATCCCGCTGCCCGACGAAATAGAGGTTCGCACCGGCGAGGAGGATGAGGAGGTCAAGTTCAGCGACCGTTCGAAGCTCTTCCGCTTCGCCGAGAACGAGTGGAAGGAGCGCGGCACGGGGCTGATTAAGGTTCTCTGCGACAAGGCCACCGGCGTATCGCGCGTCTTAATGCGTCGCGATCAAACGCACAAGGTGTGTGCCAATCACAAGATCACTGCGGACATGACGCTGGTCACTCCCGTCCAGGATAAGGATAAGAAATCCTTCTTGTGGGCAGCCAATGACTTTGCCGATGAGCAGGTAACGCTGGAGAAATTCCTGGTGCGATTTAAGACACCCGAACAGGCGGAGCAGTTTAGATTGGCCTTTACAAATGCGACACAGGCGGCGAAGAAAGCGGTGAAACCGGTGGAGAAAACAGCAGCGGATCCTCTGAAGGTCAATAAGGAAGCTACAGCAACTGCTCCTCCTGCTTTTGGCGTTCCCAAGACCTTTTTAACGAGCACTCCCGCTCCCACTTCGATTTTCGGCAAGCCGCAGGAGCAGACAAAATCCTCGCAATCCGAAACGGTGCCACCGGTTCCAGCCACAGTGGCCAAGTCGCTGTTTGGAACCATCTCAGCGGTTCCAGCTGCGGCACCGGCTACCACTGCATCTTCTACTCCCGCGCCCTTTGCCAACTTTAGCTTCACGGGAAATGGAACGACATCAGGATTTGGCACCGCCGTCAGCGCCTCTCCCTTTGGCAACCTCTCCTTCGGCAGCAACAACAGCACTCTATTTACCACGGCTTTGATTAAGGACAACACAGTTCAAAGTCAGACCCAACAGCAGCAACAAAATCTGAACAAGTCAGCTGCCTCGGATGCCGAGGAGGAGTACGTGCCCACCGCCCAGTTTACGCCGGTTATCGCGCTGCCCGATTTGGTGGAAGTCGTCACCGGGGAGGAGGACGAAGAAGTCCTCTTCGAGCACCGCGCCAAGCTATTCCGCTGGGACAGGGAGACGAGCGAGTGGAAGGAGCGTGGACTGGGCAACATGAAGCTCCTGCGCAATCGCACCAATCCCAGCCAGGTGCGTCTGCTGATGCGTCGCGAGCAGGTCCACAAGCTGTGCTGCAATCAGCGTCTGACGGCCAAGACCAATTTCGCACCTGCGGCAAACATCAAGGCGGCCGTCACCTGGGCTGGCCAGGATTATGCCGATGAGGAGATGGACGCCGCCTTGCTAGCTGTGCGGTTTAAGTCGACGGATGTCTGCCAGGACTTCCTCAATGCCGTGCAGAAGGCTCAGAAGGATTTAGGCAAGGAATCAGCTGCAAGTCAGGAAACCGCCGCTGTTGAAAAAAAGAAGGAGGAGGAGAAGCCGGTAAAGGGCTTTGGCGATGCCTTCAAGCCCAAGGCAGGCAGCTGGAATTGCCAGGCTTGCTATACTAGTAATAACCAGGATCAGCTTTATTGCGTTGCCTGCCAGGAGCCCAAAGATGCCACTGTGCCGCCCAAGCAAACGGGATTGGATCAAGGAAATGCTCTAAATCTAACAACCAGCTCCGCCAGCAAGTTCTCGTTTGGCTTTGCACCAGCAGCTGTTCCCGCCACTGGAGGATTTAGTTTCGGAGGAACTGCTCAGCCCAAAGAGAAGCCAGTGGTGGCAGCTGTGACCGCCACATCCTCGGCTCCTGCTGCAGTTGCACCACCATCTCAAGCTGCAGCTTTAGGATTTGGAAAGACTTCAACTACCTCTGGATTCGGAGACGCCTTCAAGCCGAAAGTGGGTAGTTGGTCGTGCTCCGCCTGCTATGTAAACAATCCCGGCGAGTCGCTCCATTGTTCCGCCTGCGAAACACCCAAGGATGATACTGTGCCAAAGAAGGAGAACACACTGGGATCGGGGATCAGTCTCCCAGCTACCACACAATTTAGTTTCGGATTTGGAGCTCCTGCAGCTGCAGCAGGTAAAACGGATAAGCCAGCCGATGCGGCCAACAAGAACAGCAATGTCTTCGGATCCGCCACCTTTAACTTTGCTGCTCCAGCTATGCCAGCGGCACCGGCTACTTCAATCGGCTCCAGCAGCTTCTCCTTCTCCATGCCCAAGCCGGGTCAACTGCAGCCAAAGAGTCCGGCTGCCAACGAAGGCGACGATAACGATTCGCACGAGGAGGAGGAGGAGAACAACGCCTATTTTGCACCAGTGATTCCATTGCCCGATAAGGTAAGATAATCGAGTTATCCCATAACCGTTTTTATTGACTAACAATTTACAGATCTATGCAAATATCTATTTTATATTTTATTTGCTTAGATTCGACCATGTAACTCAATTTGCTTACAAAATATTTAACCTTAGCTTGGCAGATTATTTTAAAAGTTATGTACACCAGGGAGCCATCATACTTATTTGAAAAATTACAATTCTCCAGATCTACAAGAAAGAATACAAAAAATGACAATTTTAGCCCCCTTTTCCTCCTTTTCATAAAACATTTTATTGAGATTTTTCCATTCAAAAAATCATAACAAATACAAGGAAAAATATTTAGAAATTTTTTTTTTCAGTTATTATTAATTTTGCTTGGGGAAAAACTTTGCATCAAAACATTTTTGTTTTAAGCCCCAGAAAAAAAGTTTAAAATTTGACTTTTAAAAAATTTTCTAACTTTTCAAAGGGTGCTTAATGGGTTAAGAACATTTTTGTGACATTTAAACGGAATTGAAGTGCTCTTTCTATAGGTGCCAAAAATTTATATTTATATTCAAAATATAAGTACAGTTCACATTCAAATCTGTGAAAATAATTATCATTTATGTTAGATTTTAGAACCAATTTTGTTCGAATATAAAATAGATTATCCGTTTTGACTAGCGCAGTCATTTATAAGTTATACAACTTGTAGTGTTATGAAGCCAAAACAATAAATAAATAAATAAATAAATAATAAATATAATAAAAAATCCTGCTCTTTTCAGATCGATGTGAAGACCGGCGAGGAGGACGAGGAACTGCTGTATGTGCACAAGGCCAAGCTGTATCGCCACACGGAGGGCGAATGGAAGGAGCGCGGCCTGGGCGACATAAAGATCCTGCGCCACCGGGAGACCAAGAAGCTGCGCGTGGTGATGCGTCGCGAGCAGGTGTTCAAGATCTGTCTCAACCATGTGCTCAATTCGAATGTGGTGTACAGACCGAAGACGGAGACATCGTGGCTGTTTGCTGCCCACGATTTCAGCGAGGGCGAGAGTGTCCTGGAGCGATTCACGCTGCGCTTCAAGAACAAGGAGGTGGCAGAAGGCTTCCACGCAGCGGTTAAGGCCGCACTCGATGGCACCGCCAAGGCGATAGAAGATAAAACCGATGCGATCCCTTCAGCGGAAGTAACTCAGGCGAAGAATTCGTCCGATACTTTGCACGCGGATCATAAAGGAGAGGTGGAGAATAAGGTGGAGGATAAGATTGCCTTCGCCAAGGCCTCATCTGTAAGCGCCGCCAACTACGAAGTGAACCCACCCCTACCCATGACCCTTCCCCTCCTGACTCTCCCCCAGCCCACAGTCAAAAGTAATAATTCCTCGTCGCCCGCTTCGTCAATATTCAAAGCCAGTTCGCTGGGTACAAGCAACTCGGGCTTCGGTAATCTATCCGTATCCTCGGTTAACAAAACCTCAGGAGCAACATTCTTGTTTGGAAGCACGGGTAAGTGATAGAATGCCAATTAGAGCCCTGCATAAATGCATTCAATGAATTTTTTGTTTTATATGAATGAATTAATTCGAATTTTGAGTTTAATAGAATTGAATGAATTTGAATTTTGAGTTTGATAGAATTGAATGAATGAATGGCATGAATTCCAAAATATCAAACGACAATTTCTTTTGAAGAAGAAATGGGCCATAATTTTGTGTTTATATCTGCATGAATTTTATTTACTATGCAGTTAACATTGATTTGTTAAAAATGTTCCACTTTTTGTTCTCAAAAAAAAAGTACAAAATAATCTAGCAAATTCAAAAAATTCATAAAAATTATTCATTCATATATTAAGTTCGAAATGAATTGGAAAAGCATTCAATTTATTTCATATAGAATTGAATTAAACAAATCAGACATTTCAAAAATTGAATAATTCACGCAGGGCTCTAATGTCTATCTAAAATATCATTTACCCCAATAACTTTCATTTTAGATAAATCCGAGTCTGGAAAACCAGCCGATCCCCTGGCCAATCTGCAGAAAACGATCAATAACGCAGGTCAAGGCAACGTTTTGGGTTCCATTTTTGGCAGTGGCCTGGCCAGCCAAAATTCGGTTGAGGATTCTGCGAAATCCATTTTCGGAGGTGGAAACAAATCAACTGAGCAGCAGAAGAATGATTCTCCGCCCAAATCCATCTTCGGAGGCACCAAAGCGGAGGCACCAGCCAGCCAAGAGGCAAGCAAATCCATCTTTGGTGGCGGCGGCGGCTTCACTGCACCTGTTTTCGGAGGCGCTAATCCTTTCGGAGGGGTTAAGGTTGTGCCATCCGATGGCGCGGAAGCACCAAAGTCCATCTTTGGCGGTACCACATCCATTTTCGGAGGAGGCTCAAGCACTTTTGGAAGCCCCAAGGTAGATGCCCAGTCACCGGCCAGCCAGGAGGCACCCAAATCCCTGTTTGGAGGAAGCTCGTCATTAGGAGGCTTTGTGTTTGGCAGCGGCAACGGTAGTTCGAACATCTTTGGGCAAAAGGAAGCGGCCGTCTCCTTCACAGATGTGACCAAAGAGGCAACGCCCGGAAAAGAGGAGAAACCAGAAGACAGCAAGGACAAGAAGGAAACTCCGACTGTAGTTGAACCACCGACCAGTACGTTTGCCGATTTGGCCAATAAGGGTGGCAATCCGTTTGCCGAATTGGCCAGCAAACCGGGCGGAACTTTCGCCGATTTCGCCAACAAGGCGGGCGGCAATGACTTTGCCAACCTGTCTGCGAATAGCTCAGCCAACGCCGTGGGATTCAACAAGTCGGCCAGTGGCGGCGGCAGCGGCGGCTTCTACAACCTGACGCACCAGAACGCCTTTAAGAACTTCCAGTCCTCGCCGCAAACGGGTAAAAATGAGTCTGGAGCTGCAGACGGCGGTGGTGGTGGCGATGATGATGGCGATGCCACCAACGACGACAACTACGATCCGCACTACGATCCCATTGTGGAGCTGCCGGATGAGATAGTGGTCACCACTGGAGAGGAGAACGAGACTAAGCTGTTTGGCGAGCGGACGAAGCTCTATCGTTTTGATCCCGAGACCAAACAGTGGAAGGAGCGAGGTGAGATTGAGTAATATTTTTATACCCGTTACTCGTAGAGTAAAAGGGTATACTGTATTCGTGCAAAAGTATGTATCAGCTAGACAGAAGCCGAATCGATCTAGCCATGTCCGTCTGTATGTCTGTCTGTCTGTCCGTCCGTATAAACGCTGAGAACTCGGAAACCACAAAAGCTAGAAGGTTGAGATTTCCCACACATATTCTTGGGCTTCCTACGCAGCGCAAGTTTATTTCAGCCGAGCGCCACGGCCCTTCTAACGCCCACAATCGCCCACTAACGATTTTAAAATGTGTATGGCGCCCACACTTAAAGATTTACGAGAAGTATAAATGCAATTTTGTTGTGTGTATTTATAGGTATCGAAATGTAGAAGAAATTTTTCAGATCCGACCATTCATTAAAAAGTTATGCGCAAACAAAATTGTTTATATATCTATCTCCCTCGCACTGCCTTTTGCTGAGGTTCGATTATTAGATAGTCGGGACACCAACCCGACTATAGCGTTCTCTCTTGCTTTTTTTTTTTATATCTACCGTATATTTTATTGTGTGAGAGACCAAGTAATAATTTATTTGACTGAGTAAGGTGATTAATGAGTACTTTAATCCTCAGGCGCCGGCGAGATTAAGGTGCTGGAGCACCCGGAGCTGCAGACATTCCGACTGGTCATGCGGCAGGAGCAGATCCACAAGCTGGTGCTCAACATGGGCATCTCGGCCTCCATGCATATAGAGTACATGAACGAGCAGAAGAAGAGCTTCCTGTGGGCCGGCTTCAACTATGCGGTGGACGCCGAGGGCAAGGTGGCCACCGAGGGCGCGCTGGAACGCCTGGCCTGTCGATTCGGCAAGGAGGAGATCGCCGAGGCGTTCCTCAAGTCGGTCAACTCCTGCATAGAACGTGTCAAGGAATTGCACGGCGGCGAGGAGGAGGAGGACGACGACGAGGAGGACGCGGCGGAGGAGCAGGAAAGCTCTTAAGGAAACTGGAACTAAATATAATATTTAGCATGTTTACAATCGTGTTTATAAGATAGTCTTTCAAAAAAAGTATCGGAAATTGTTGAAAAAGCACACTTTTCCTAATAATAAAACTTTCATAAATAATAAGATCAAATTTTGAAATGTCTTTTAAATATTAAGGGAAAATCTAAAAAACAATTTGTCAAAAATAATTGTCTTTTTAACGTTAACGGATTTTGTTGTTTAATAAATTTATAAAAATATTTATGCATTTAAATTTTAAAATAAACCTTTTTTTTATTTTAATCTATCGATAGTTTGAATAGTCAAGGCGCTATCAAGCAATCGATATATTAGAGAGGAGTCTGATATACTAACATTAAATTGTAAGCTAGCCATATTTAAATGAATTTTACTCAATTTTTTTTATTTAGTTGTAAAAATTATGGTGGTTATTAATTTGGTTTTACTAGTAGCTAAAAATAAAATTTCCAAATACCCCCACGATAGCCGCAAAACAATCGATAGTGCCATCGCCAGGCGATAGTTTGACAGCCCTGCCACTGAGAGAGAGCATAATGACGTGGTGAACTCGGTTCTGTGTGAAAAAAAGAACAATAAATTGCCGACAAATCTCTAGTGTAATTAAATTAGTTACCGCACAGGAAAGCACTTGGCCAGGAGCTCATCCCTGCGATTCCTGGAACATTGGCAATCTCAATCTCGCCATCCTCCGACACAATCTAATCTTAAGAACCCTACAACAGGGAGGAAGAAGAAGAAGCAGCAGAGGGCGACAACGACTGCGGGCGGTGCAGAATATGAATTAGAGAATAATTAGCGATTGGAGCGCCCTGTTTTGTGTTTTGTTAGCCCCTTTCCGGCAGCCCCGCACCCCCCCGTCCGCCCGGAGCAAAGCCAATCCTCGGAATCCGGAATCGATACACGTGTGCAGCAGCGTCAAAGTCAACAATAAAAAAACTTAAAGGCCGGAGATTAATGAGAGGCTAGCGAAGCGACGACCATGATGAACGAGGACAGCAGCGCTGCCAGCGGCGGCGGCGTCAAGAAGTTCTTTCAGCGCCTCTCACAGGTAAGGAAACTCCCAGAGATTCAACCAGGATATAAGCTAACCCATATCCTTTTTTGCAGACCTACCAATCCACCTTGGACCGCAGCACACCGCACACACGGATGCGCTGGGTCTTTGCCGGCTTCCTGCTCCTGCTCTTCGTGCTGCGCATCTTCATCCACCAGGGCTGGTACATCGTCTGCTATGCGCTGGGCATCTACCACCTCAACCTGTTCATCGCCTTTCTGACGCCCAAAATCGATCCCGAGTTCGATCCCTACTCGCAGGAGGACGAGGACGAGGGACCCAATCTGCCCACGCGCAGCAACGAGGAGTTCCGGCCCTTCATCCGCCGCCTGCCGGAGTTCAAGTTCTGGCTGTCGGTGGCGAAAAGCACGCTGATCGGTCTTATTTGCACGTTCTTCGACTTCTTTAATGTGCCCGTGTTCTGGCCCATTCTGGTCATGTACTTCATCACGCTCTTCTGCATCACGATGAAGCGCCAGATCAAGCATATGATCAAGTACAAGTACTTGCCGTTTACGCGCAACAAGCCAAGGTATCAGCGTGTGAACGACCTGGCGGGATCGGGACCAGGATCCGTGGCGTCGGCGGGTCATGCGAAGTGACAATTAGCCGCACAGACGCCGGACACTCGGGCGACGACGGCAGCGGGAGCAGCGGGAGATCTTTCCACCGCCTCTTCCTCGGCCGGAGCGCCACCATCAGCGACAACCAGCGACAGCGCAGCGACCAAGGATGTGGGGTCGCCAACAGTGGGAGGATCATCGTCCATCAAACCACCGCAGATCATTGCCATTGAGGACTACTAGAGAGAAAGCTACCGAAAAAGCAGCCCGGAATGATGGGATCTACGGATCCACAAGCATAACATCAACCAGAACCAAGCTTAAAAATATGATTTACCTTTTCGGTTTGCGTAGCATTTTTCTTTTCTTATCACTGTTGAGTTGTCATACCGGCGTATTGTGCAAAAAGAATACCTTGTTTATTGTTTAATCTAAATCCTTGTTTAAATTTATATTTATTTACAATGCCTTCTAACTCTATTGTAAATCCCCAACGATACCGAAACTACAGCCGATCAGCACTAATTTAATTTTTCATCCTAAACTAAACTATTATTTAATGATTCTTCTATCCAAAAAGTAGAATTACTGTATTTTGAAAAGAATTACTTTTGATTATCATGCTTAGATGCTATAACAATGTATGCCTAAATATATATACAAACATATATATATTTTGCATTACGATTATACAATTTTTGTTAGCGTTAACTATACAAAATGTTAGAGAAGGCGGAATGAAAACTGAAACTATAGGAGGTGTACACTGGGTGCGTCTTATGAATAAAGGAAGACACAAGAAAACCAAAATTATCCAGAGTTTTGACCTACTTAGAACAGGTGAATTTTTCAGTGGCGTGGTCTGTGTGTTTATCTAATCGCACACTCGATCGCAGCAGTTAATGGGGAGTATATGACAAACCATGTTGATAAGGCAAATACATTTCGTATTAATGCTCCACATTACACTAGCCGTTCAAGTGGCTCTTTTGCTTAATCTTTTCTTTTGAGAGCGGAATGGAATAATTTAAAACCGCCTGATTTTCTCAACAAACGTAACACTTTGTTTTTATTCAAATGAAGCTCACACCAACAGTTCAAGAACACGTAATCTTGACTACAAAATGCGTTACAAATAGTTAGCTAACAAGGCAAAAATAAAAATGTTAAACTAAAAATTAGAGCCCTGCGTGAATCATTCATAGTATATCATAGTATATTCATAGTATATATAGTATGCGTGAATATCATAGTATGCCATGACATTTCTGATTTGTTCAATTTAATTCTATGTGAATTAAATGTTTTTCTAATTAATTTCGAATTAAATGAAAAAATTGAATAATTTTTATGAATTTGCCAGATTTTTTTTGTGCTTTCTTTTGAGAAAAAAAAGTGAAAAATTTTTTAACAAATTAATGTTAACTGCTTAGTAAATAAAACTAAGGCAGATTTATTCAGAAAATTATGGGCCTTTCTTCTTTAAAAGAAATTATCGATTGAATTATTTCGGAATTCATGGCATTCATTAATTCAATTCTTTTAAATTCAAAATTCTAATTAATTTATTCATATAAAACAAAAAATTCAAAATAATTCATTGAATCCATTCATGCAGGGCTCTATTACAAATATAAAAAATATATAAAATGGCTGATAAATACGGATCATGTGAATATTTGGAATAGCCGGCTTACGTGCAAAATGATCGCACTTTGTGCTTAACAATGAAAAAGTGATTTAATATACTGGGCACTTGGAATACTAAAGAGGCAACGACACATTTCACTTGGCCTCTACTTCGGATTGAGCCTTAGCTTTATCCTCTCGAGCGCATTTGCGAATGATACTGTTAAAGTACTTGTGCAGACCATAGCTAACCAATCGCAAGGGTCCCAAAACGATGGCGTGCAGGAGATTGGTGAAGAAGCCGTCCCAGGGGAGCAATGCTCCACCCAAAGTGGTGATTAGCCAGCTTTCGGCTCCCACCGTTGAGGTGAAGTTGCCCTTCTAAAAATGGGAAATAATAATCTTAGTCTTGACTGAAGATCTAGCCTTAAAGACTGACTCACCAAGGCATCCTTGAGTATAGCTTTGGCCATAACTTCTGGTTCTATTAATCCTCCACCGCCCGATATGATTTTCGTTTCCCTTGGCTTGGATTTCTCTTCCTCCTCGAATCCCGGCGTATTCGTATCGCAGGGCATGGCCAAGGTAACACTAACACCGTGCTCCCTGGACTCCATGGCTATCGTCTCGGCCATCGCCCTCAAGGCGTACTTGGTGGCCGAATAGGGTCCGTAGCCATAGATCCCAAACATGGCCGCCTGGGAGGCAGTGATCACAACAATGCCCTCGCCTGCCTTCTTCATCTTGGGCAGGACATACCGGGTGCAGTTGTAGGTGCCAAAGAAGTTGACGTTCATCAGTTTGTGGACATCTTGAACAGAAACCTCTTCAAACACCCCACAAATGGCCATCCCAGCGCAGTTAATGAGCGTGTAGATGGGACCAAAGCTCTCCTCGATCTCGCCCAGCACTCGGGCGACCTGCTCATAGTCGCCGCCAATGTCCAGGCTGCGGTACTGGAACTTCTGATCCGGTCGCTGGCGGATCACCTCCATCAGGGCCACGGCTCCGCCTGAAAAAGATATATATCATTGATAAGGGAACTTCGGGTGGGGTTTCCTCATTACTCACTCAGCATTTTCTCGTCGCGCGCTATCACCGTCACATTGGCGCCCTTCATGGCGCATTCCACCGCCAGGCAGAGACCGATTCCCTTGGATCCGCCGGTGACCACCACATGACGACCCACAATGCTCCTCTCCCGCTTGCCCATGACGAATAGGTAGACCGCAACGTGAACCAGCACCGCAATGGCCACGCAGAGCACTATCTCCCAGCTCAGTTCCATGTGGAGAGAGATTATAATTCTATAATCTCTTCAAGGCGGGTTATCTTCCAAGTAAAAACGGCTAACTTTCTGATTAGAAAGTGCAGCGAGGTGTGACCGTTGGCGATAACAACTAGGACTGCAGTGCTATCGATAGCTTTGAAGACTTTTTGAATCAGTGATGTGCACTTTTGAAATAAAAAAAGCTAAAATGAATTAAAATAATAATGGCTTTTAATTTTTTTTTAATATTTTATTTAAGTACCTAATACATCTATAGAATTACTTTATTACTTAACTACGCTAAATAATTTAGCTAGATAAAGAAAAAACCTTTTCGATTCAGTGCAGCACACTTCTAAAATAAAAAAGCTAAAATGAATAAAAAATGCTTCTTAATGTATTTGAACTTTTTTATTTAAATGCCAAATAGATTATTTTAACAAAGCAACAGGAATTCATTACTTAACTACGCTAAATAATTTAGCTAGCTAAATAAAAGGCCATATAAAAAACAGCTATATTTCGTCGAGCATCACTGACCCCATGTGGCAGCTCCAACCGAATTTATTGTTATTTATCCGGTTAAAACTTGCAATTTAGAAAATCTTTAACGAAAATGCCACCGAAGAAGGACGCCAAGGGCGGCAAGGACGCGGGCAAAGGTGGCAAAAAGCCAGCCGCCGAGGACAAGTGTGAGTGCACATAAAATACCTTTCATAAACCCTTTAAATACCCATTAATCCCACTTGAACAGCTGCCGGCAAGGAGAAGAAGGGAGGCAATGCCGTAAAGGTGCGCCACATCCTGTGCGAAAAGCAGGGCAAGATCACCGAGGCCATGGAGAAGCTGAAGGCGGGCCAGAAGTTCCCCGAGGTGGCGGCCGCCTACAGCGAGGACAAGGCGCGATCTGGCGGAGATCTCGGCTGGCAGATCCGCGGAGCGATGGTGGGTCCCTTCCAGGACGCCGCCTTCGCGCTGCCCATTTCCACCGTCAACAATCCCGTGTACACAGATCCCCCGGTGAAGACCAAGTTTGGCTACCACATCATCATGGTGGAGGGAAAGAAATGAGGGGGTTGATTTTATAAATCGAATTTTATTGTGATACGGATTTTGTTGTTCCTTTCTGAGTGGATCACTTCTTTCCCGCATCCTCCTTCAAACCCACGGTGCGATTGAACACTAGGTGATCCCTGGTGGTATCTGGATCCACGGAGAAGAAGCCAATCCGCTCGAACTGGAACTTATCGTAGACCTTGGCCTGCTGGAGCGCCCGATCGGCAAAGGCCACCGCCACCGCGATGGACTGCTCGCTGATGTCGCTGAGGAAGCCGCCGGGCACCTCGCTGGGATCCTCGGGATTCTTGTGCTTGAAGAGCTGCTCGTAGAGGCGCACCTCCAGTTGAATCGGTTGCGAGACCCACTGGACAAAGGCCTTGGGCTTCTCGGCCTGCTCGGCGGATTGGCTGCTGCAAATGAGTTCGATTACTTCCCCCGTCGTCGGATTCTTGACAATCTCCTCCACGCTGATAACGAGTCCTGCATGGCGAAGACCCACTGATTGCTTGGGAGACAGCCGTCGGTAACCCTTCTCCGGCTCCAGCTTAAAGTCGCCCTGCTCGATGTAGATCACCTTGTCTAGGGTGATCTTGTGGGAGCCTTGTTGTGGATTCTGCGGGAAGTCGGGAACTTCCAGCTGCACGGGCGCCGGATGAGGGAAGTTCTTGATGGTTACTTTCAGCGGTTCCAGGACAACTAAACGCCGAGGAGCTGTAACATTGAGTACATCCCTTACCGCCGCCTCCAGCATGGCTGGATCCACGGCAATCTGTGCCCCTGTGACGCCCATCTGGGCGCAGAAATTATTTATAGCCTCGGCGGGGAAGCCCCTCCTGCGCAGCGCCGTCAGAGTAAACAACCTAGGATCATCCCAGTCGTGGACAATCTGCTCGGTGATCAGTTTGGCAATCTTGCGCTTGGAAACCAGAGCGTAGTTCATGTTCAGCCGGCCGTACTCCCACTGCACCGGGCAGTAGATATTCAGAGCGTTGCAGAGCCAGTAGTACGAGGACCTCCGCGATTGGAACTCCTTGGTGCAGAGCGAGTGACTAATATCCTCGAGCGAGTCGCAAAGGCAGTGAGTATAATCATACGTGGGATAAATACACCAATCGGAGCCCGTGCGGTGGTGGGCAATGAACTTGATGCGATACGCCACCGGATCCTGTTTGCCCTCCTCCAGCGTGACCTTCATGCGCAGCGTGGCCGCTCCCTCGTCGATTTTGCCGCGCTTCATGTCCTCGAACAGACGCAGCGACTCCTCAATGGGACGCTCTCGCCAGGGACTCGGATTCGGATTGAATCCCTTGAGCTCCTCGGCCTTCTGGTGGCACACATAGGCCAATCCCTTCTGGATTAGCACCACTGCCCATTCGTACAGCTGCTGAAAGTTGTCCGAGGAGTGGGTGATCTTGTAGGGCTTGTAGCCCAGCCATTCCACCATATCCTTGATGGCCAGAAAGAACTTTTCCTCCTCCTTCTCCGGATTGGTGTCGTCGTAGCGTAGGTAGCACACGCCATCGTGGGCCGCCGCGTAGCCAAAGTTGATGTTGATGGCCTTGGCATGGCCGATGTGCAGGATGCCATTCGGTTCGGGCGGGAATCTCGTGTGCACCTTGCCTCCAGTCCGCGCCAAGTGCTCCTTGAGCAGGCGCTCCGTTTGCTCGGTGACCACATAGCCGTCGGCCTTGAAGTTCTCGCCGGGCGCATGGAAGTGCACCTTGGTCTTCATCAGTTCGGCAATGGTAGTGGCTCCATCGGAGGCGGCTTCAGTTGGAGCTGCTTCCGCCTTAGGTTTCGCTGCCTTGGGCTTCTCACTCGCCTTGGAGGGTGGCTTCAGGTCCTCCTCTGTCTTCGGGCCCAACAAATCGAAGATCTCCACATCGATGGCCGCCTTTACGGACTTGGCATCCGCCCATTTTAGTTCCCCGCGCACATCCTGCAGGATTTTGAAGGAGTTAAAGTGGTAGCGCTGCTCCAGCAGTTGCTCCCTGTAGCTGGCCTTGATCTTGGCCTGCACCGTGCGCTCGATCTGCTCCGGCGTGACCACCACACCCACGCCGCACTCCTTCTCCAGCGCCTGGACATCGATGTTCGCTTTTAGGCTCTGTCCGCACTTGAGGACGTACTCCAGGGCGGCGTCCACGCGCTGCGTGTTGTCCAGCTTGCGCTCCACGATGTAGCGCACCAGCAGAGGCAGTTGCTCCGCCGTCTGCGGCTTCAGTTTGGTGGCCATGTGGTAGATCAGCATGCCGGTGCCGTCGGAGAGGGAGGCTGCGCTGCCCGCCGCCGCCAAAGCCAGTTGGAGGTTCTTGGTCACGTTGGCATTCTTCAGGGTCTCCTTCGCCTTCTGCTCGCTCATGCCGAGCGCCTGGAATTGGGCAATCAGATCCTCGCCAGCCATGTCCTCGGTTCTTTTGTCTCTTTCTTTTGATGACGATGTGCAGCTGAGTGTGACCGTTTACGGCCGGGATGGAAAACACCAGTTGCATTGCTAGAAACTATCGGTACACTCACAAAAATTGACGGTTAGTTTTATTTAATGAAAAAAAAATCTTAATCAAATTTTTGGGAATTTGTATTTTTGATTAAACTTCACTTGTTTCAAATATAGAATCTTAATAGATAGATCACTTCCAAATACATGCCCGTTTTGCAACAACTCGACAATTAACTATAACAACATAATAAATAGCTGTCGCTCTCTATTCCAACACAGAAGAGATATCCTTAACTCCGAAAACCCAATTCACTTCATTGCAAACCCTATTAACGTCAGCATCAACAAAATCATCTCGTTCCTCCGTATACCTAAATTAGCACATAAAATTTAAGAAAACTTTCCCTGAATAAAATATACAGCCTTAGTTGCTAGCGCTCTTAAATTCTCAGTTAGCTCATAGTTTTACACTGTAAGTTAGCTTTATATAAATAAATAAATAAATACAAATTATGGTTTGCACATTAATTAATCAAACATTAAGGGTATTCCCGATACAATCGATCTACTGGCTATCGATTTACTGCCACCTCTAGTGCCTGCACGTGTGAACGAAACGAAAACATTGATAAATGCGCCGTTAAACTGCCAGAATAAAGCGAAAATGGGTAAACTAAACGTGACAGTGCTGCGCTACCTCACCAAGGAGGACTTCCGCGTCCTCACCGCCATCGAGATGGGCATGAAGAACCACGAGCTGGTCCCCGGACCCCTGGCCGCTGCCATTGCGAATCTGAAGACGGGTGGTGTCCACAAGCTGCTCAAGGAGCTGTGCAAGCACAAGTTGCTGGCCTACGAGCGCGGAAAGAAGTGTAGGTATGTGAAACCGATGGAAAACCTTTAATTAATATACCTCCTATTCTTACTAGATGATGGCTACCGCTTGACCAACACGGGCTACGATTACCTGGCTCTGAAATCGCTCACCTTGCGCGGATCGGTCAGTTCCTTTGGCAACCAAATTGGCATTGGCAAGGAGTCCAACATCTATGTGGTGGCCGACGAGGAGGGCACTGCCATCTGCCTGAAACTCCACCGATTGGGACGCACTTGCTTCAGGAACGTAAAGGCCAAGAGAGATTACCATGGTCGCCGGCACAAGGCCTCCTGGTTGTATCTATCCCGCATCTCGGCCACCCGCGAGTTCGCCTACATGTCGGCGCTCTATGATCGCGGATTTCCGGTGCCCAAACCCATCGATTTCAATCGTCACTGCGTTCTAATGGATCTCGTCAAAGGATGGCCCATGTAAGATGTTTGTTTTGCGAAAATATACAAGTTATTTATTAATTATTAATTCATAGGACCCAAGTTCAAGAGCTGCTGGATGCTCCACAGGTGTACGATGACCTCATGAACCTAATTGTCCGTTTGGGAAATTCTGGCGTTATTCATGGCGATTTTAATGAGTTCAATTTAATGGTTACCGATGATGGCAAGCCCATACTGATTGATTTCCCTCAGATGATGTCCACCTCGCATGAGAATGCGGAATTGTGAGCATAAATCTATAATTCTTTGAATGGTATTTAACCAAAAATGCATTTTAGCTTCTTTGATCGCGATGTTAACTGCGTGCGCGAAATGTTCCGTCGCAAATTTGGCTACGAAAGCGAAGACTACCCCAAGTTCAGCGATCTGGTGCGCGAGGATGAACTGGATGCTGAAGTACGTTGTACGGGCTTTGGCTTTACGAAGGAAATGGAGCAGGATCTTCTCGAGGAATACGGAATGATAGAGCAGGCAGATGAGGATAGTGAGGAAGAGAATGTTGACGAGGAGGAGGAGCCTCCCACTCTTGTTACTTCGGCTGCCGTAGAGATTGACGAGTATCGACGTCAGGTGGAGAACGAGGTGACTTACAGCGAGGCCAAGCCAACTCAGAAGACAGATGACGCAGTGCGTCGCTACATTGAATCGTGTACGCAATATCTGGGCAATCTGAACGTGGGTCCAGAGGTTCCCGATCAAACGCTGCCCAAGAAAGTAGAAATTTCTCTACCCGTAGAAGCTCCAAAAGTCATCCCAGTCGAAGTGGAAACCCCAGTTGTAGAAACTGCAACGGAAGATGCTAGGTCCATTAGCTCAAACGACTTGGATACGGATGAAGTGCCCGAGTTAGCTGGCCTCGATCCCAACTCTCGCATGTATCGCCTTAAAATGGTCGAGCAAATGCTGAATGATGCGAGAAGTCAGCGGTCCTACTCGACCACAACCAGTACAATAGCTCCCTCGGTGATCACCGACCGGATACGCAAGAACATGGACGTTAAGGAGAAGCGGGAGCAGCGAAAGAAGTGCGTTGCAAAGGGTGAAGCCAGTGCTGTCCATCGCCACCGCAAGGAGAACAAGGATGTGGTAAAAGAATACGCCGGCTGGGATTTCTAGATCAAGTTCGATGTACTTTTTATAGTGATATGTATATTTAAAATAAAAACCCTTTAACAAAAGCCACCACTGACGTGTTCGCTTTCAATTTGATGTCCATATTTGGTAATTTTAGTCGCTAGTCGCTCTCTGCACTCAACCCCAATTAGTTCAGTTCTGTTTGGTGTGTTACGTACATATATTAGTCCATAAAATTTAAAGGCCAAGTTTCTTTATCTAGTGTAATCCCTAGCTAAACAGATATCGGCATTATTCGGGCGTGCAGTGCATTGTTAAGTGCTCGGGCTTTCAATGAGTAAGCAAAATGCGGGATAGAAATGATACCTATTCAAGATGGGATGATCTGTTTAGGTAGTCTGTAATCGGTCAGGCAAGGGGTTTAAATGGTTTTCAGACGTGTCTGGCTTCTTCTTAAGAGTGTATCTAAAAAATATATCATCCTTAGTATGGAAACTTTTTTGTATTGCAAGGTACATACGTATTATTTAACATTTAATTTAATTTAATAAATTGACTTACAACTTTTTAAGGAAACTAAAATATCACATGTTATATCATCCTTAGTATAGAAACTTCTTTGTATTGCAAGGTACATGCGTCTTGTTTATCATTTAATTTAATTTAATAAATTGACTTTTACAAATTTTTAAGGAAACTAAAATATTACTTATTATATCATCTTTAGTATGGAAACTTCTTTGTATTGCAAGGTACAAACGTATTATTTATCATTTTATTTAATTTAATAAATTGACTTTTACAAATTTTTAAGGAAACTAAAATATCACCTTAGGAAAATTTAAATTTACATGGTTTCTCAAGTAAAATATAAAACAAATATTGTATAATTCGTTCGATTATCTATTTCTCCCAGGGCATTCAAGTTAGTCGGAGAGCAGTGAGCTTTGGGCAATATTATTCAATTGCGGACAATGACGAAGCAGGTTGGCGATAGGTGTTTTGAGCACCAGCTATGATTACACCCCCAGAGTTACCTTATAAAAGCTCACAGCCTCTGACGAAATAACAGCACTAACATTCCCAGAGCGTTACAGATAGAGTCCCAAGATGCCGGAAGACAAACCCCATCCAATACCTTCGTGGCTCACTAAAGACTATGTCCAAGAGAAACTTCGTGTCTATTTCAAAAGTGATTCCTTGATTCTGGAGACATTGGATATCAAGCCGGCAATTGCGAATGGAGAAAACTATGCCAGTGTGATGACCCGCATCAATGTGGAGTATACCACAATGGAATCGAGGGAAAAACAGGCCACCAATTTCCTGGTAAAGACCACATTCGCCGACAAGGATCCGGCTGCCCATGTTCTCATCAAATATGGTGTCTACACCCGTGAGATGGACATGTATCAGCGCATCCTGCCCAAAATGGCGGATTTGGTGAGGGAAGAGATCCGGGATCCTCGCAGGATCTTCGCAGGTACTGTAAATGTTGACAGATCTACGGACTCTATTATTTTCGAGGATCTTTCGCTGGAGCATTACAAGGTGGCCTGCAGGCTAAAGAAACTGGATCTGGAGCACACGCATCTGGTGCTGGAGAAGTTGGCCAGTTTTCATGCTGCAGGTGCAGTTCTTGCAGAGCGGGAAAAGGGTATTTTCAAGGACAACTATGATCGTGGATTCTACAACAAACATACCCGGGGCTACGAACCGGTTATGACGAATCTTTTAAAGGCCCTCTCCCGTTCTCTTAACTTGGATGAGGAGCTGCATCATCGATATCAGGCAAAGATTGACCGAATTGTCGATCATGTAATGGTCTACGGTGAGAGGTCCACCACAAATAATCCCGGGGACTTTGTGACCCTCACCCACGGGGATCTGTGGACCACCAACGTTATGTTCCAGTACGACGGAAAGGGACATCCCACCAATGCCATCTTTATCGATTTCCAATTTAGCGTCTGGAACTCACCGGCCATCGATCTTCACTACTTCTTCGCCACTTCGATCCACGACAATCTCCGCCTGCACAATCAACCGGAACTGATTCAGTTTTACTACTACAAACTGAAGGATGCTCTCAAGAAAGTGAAGTATGCGGGTAATATTCCCACTTTGTTCGACTTTCAACTACAATTTCGAGCTAGAGCATTTTATGGTGAGTAAATTGTGAGTGTATATTTTAGATCTGATTCAAATCTTTCTTATTTCATAGCTGTCTTTGCTTCCCTGATGTTCGAGCCCTTGATGGTGTACAATGGAAAGGAGGAGGCCTCCCTGGCGAAGATAATGTCAGAGGGCAAGAGTGGAATGAGATTCAAGGACGACGTCTTTCAGCAGGAGGCCTTAAGGAAGAAGCTGCATCTTACACTTCCTCATTTGGAGCAGTGGGGATTGCTCGATGATATGTAGAGTCTGTAATAAAGCAAAATATAAATAAAATTGTTTATAACGACAAAATTTTATAAAAAGCTTCCAGAATTTTTTGTTTAACTCTAGAGGCGGAGATAGTAGCCATCTTAATCTCAGCATTAAGAAAAGTATTTTATGAATTACTAAAACGTAAAAGTCTGGTGTCTATATTATATTAAATATTTCAGTAAAGTGAGAGAAAGCGATGATCCATCTTAAAAAACTTATCTACGATTATCTTGAGGGCAATAACTAGAGAGCTTAGTGAGAGATAGTAGTTCTATAAGCTATTACGTCTCATTGCAGTTGGACCCCATTTAAGATGATAAAAGGCCTGAAATTCTAGCACAAAGGCTACACTATTCAAAGTACAGAGCTAACGTTTGGATCACACAATGTCAGAGAAAAATATCCACGAGGAACCGGCATGGCTCACCAAGGATTATGTGGAAAAGAAGTTACGTACATATTTCAAGGAAGACTCCCTCCAGTTGAAGAAACTTGGGGTTGAGCCAGCGACTGCCAAAGGAGACAATTACGCCAGCGTGATGACCCGCATCAATGTGAAGTACACCACAAAGGATTCAAAGGACACGCAGGCTGCCACGTTCCTACTGAAAACCACATTTGCCGACAAGGATCCGGCGGCCAACTTACTGGCCGACTACGGGGTTTACACTAGAGAAATGGACATCTACGAACAGATTCTGCCCCATCTGGCGAAAATGGTTAGGAACGAGATCGGAGAGTCCCGAAAGATGTTCGCAGCTACCGTAGATGTGGATCGCGAGCGGGATTCGATCATCTTCGAGGATCTCTCCCTCGAACACTACAAAGTGGCATGCCGTATCAAGAAATTGGATCTGGAACACACTCATCTGGTTCTGGAAAAGCTGGCTAGTTTCCATGCTGCCGGAGCAGTTCTTGCCGAGCGAAATCCTGGGATCTTTGAGAAAAACTACGATCGAGGATTTTTCAACAAACATGTTCGTGGCTATCAGCCAATTATGAGGAATCTCCTGGAGGCCTTATCCCGCTCCCTAGAACTAAATCAGGATCTCAAAGAGCGCTATCAAAAGAAGATAGATCGACTAGTTGAGAATATAATGGATTACGGCGAACGATCTACTTCAGCCAATCCTGGAGACTTTCTAACCCTAGCCCATGGTGATCTTTGGACCACAAATGTTATGTTTCAGTACGATGGAAAGGATCGTCCTTCCAACGCCATTTTAATTGATTTTCAGTTCAGCGTGTGGAACTCTCCGGCCATCGATCTGCACTATTTCTTCTCCACTTCGATACAGGACAATCTTCGCTGGAAACATCAGCCAGAGTTGGTGCAGTTCTATTACTACAAGCTCGTGGAGTCTTTGAAGAAGCTGAAGTTTTCACGACACATCCCCAGTTTATTTGAGTTCCAACTGCAGTTTCAGGCGAGAGCTTTTTATGGTAAGCTAAATTACAATTATTTTAAAAATGTATTTTTAACTAAATGTTTGTCTAGCTGTTTTTTCTTCACTGATTTTCGAGCCCTGCATGCTCTACACTGGAAAAGAGGAGGCTTCCATTGCACAAGGATTATCCCCTTCCGAAAGTGGAATCCGATTCAGAGACTCTGTTTATCACGCTGATCATATCAAAGAAAAAATGGTTTTCACACTACCCTTCCTGGATCAGTTGGGGCTGCTAGATGAGTTGTAAAGTTTCTTAAATTAAATTAATAAAAAATTAAATATTTCTGAAAATAAAAATAATATTTTTTAAATAGTTACTACATTACATTTTTCAAAAAACAGATCTTGTACATAAACAAGCATCTTAGCTAATTAAATAACATAATAATTTAAGTTAATGTAAGCGCTGGCTAAACAATGGTGGCTATTCCATGATAGTAGCAGTACGACTATCTCGATAAATTTGTTCGCATTTGCTCTCGCCTATCTTTTCAATTGCTGGCAATTAAGGAGCTTACGTCTCACGAGATACGCTCAGTGTCATTTATTATTATCATGTACGTTCTACCTCTCGCCGCCATATAAAAGCGTTGCACCTCTGGCGAAAAATAATAGAATCTCAACATAATGCCTGAGGAAACGTCGACCCACAAGGCGCCCGCGTGGCTGACTGAGGAATACGTGGAGAAAAAGTTAAGAGGTTACTTTAAGAACGACACCCTGAATGTGGAGAAACTGGAGATCAAGCCGGCGACGGCGAATGGAGAAAACTACGCCAGTGTAATGACCCGCATCAATGTGGAGTACACCACAAAGGAGTCTAAGGATAAGAAAGATACCACGTTCCTACTGAAAACCACCTTCGCCGACAAAGATCCGGCGGCCCATTTGCTCATGAACTACGGAATTTACACGAGGGAGATTGACATGTACGAGCAGATATTGCCGAAATTAGCGGATATAGTGCGAAACGAGCTCCACGATTCCAGGAAGCTATTTGCGGCCACCGTAAATGTAGATCGCGAACGGGATTCGATCATGTTCGAGGACCTCTCGCTGGAGAAGTACAAAGTGGCCTGTCGGGTCAAGAAACTGGATCTGGAGCACACTCATCTGGTCCTGGAGAAACTGGCCGACTTTCATGCAGCCGGAGCTGCTCTAGCCGAGCGTCAGCGTGGAATCTTTGAAAAGAACTTTGATCGGGGATTTTTCAACAAACATGTTCGCGGCTACGAAGGCATAATGAAGAACATTCTGAAAGCGCTGTCGCGCACCCTAGAGTCGAATTCAGATCTGAAGGAGCGTTACCAGGCGAAAATCGATAGGTTAATCGATCACGTAATGGAATACGGCGAACGATCGTCGACAATTAATCCCGGGGACTTTGTGACCCTGGCGCACGGAGACATTTGGACTACCAATGTTATGTTCCAGTACGATGAGAAAGATCATCCGATAAACGCCATCTTCATCGACTTTCAGTTTAGTGTTTGGAACTCTCCGGCCATCGATCTGCATTATTTCTTTTGCACCTCGATCCACGAAAATCTTCGTCTGCATCATCAAACGGAGCTGGTACAATTCTACTATTATAAACTCGTGAAGGCTCTGAAAAAGGTCAACTATACGGGAAAGGTTCCCAGCTTATTTGAGTTCCAACTACAGTTCCGGGCTAAGGCTTTTTATGGTGAGTTCTTTTCATAAATAGAATATTACTTTATATAATATTTATAATTATTTCTTTCTTTTATAGCCGTATTTTCTTCACTTATTTTTGAACCTACCATGGTCTATAATGGCAAAGAAGAGCCATCCATAGAGAGCTTTATGACCAGTGATGAGGAGGGAGCACGGATAAGGCAAGCCGTTTATCAGACAGAGGCAAACGAAAAGAAATTGCTTCTGGAGCTGCCGTTCCTCGATCAGTGGGGATTGCTAGATGAAATGTAATATAAATGTACTAGAATCACCTAAAAATTGGAATTAAAAAAAATTTTCAATTTCCAAATAACACCTTTTGCTTAATTGCTCCCCGCAAACACGGAAACAAAATAGCCACAACAAAAACGTTATTTTGTCTGTTTAAAAAGCATGACTATCAGTTGAACTCAAAAGCTTGTGTGACACGATCATAGTTTGATGAGCCCTAGGCAATCAGCTTTAAATTGCTCTAGTCCATGGCGATGATAATTTGAAACGAAATGATATTATTTTATTGCTAACAAATTACAAATTTTAGTTACAAATTTTCAAAATAACCCATTTTTTCGAATTTTGGCAACAGCTTCTTAACATCTTTGAGGTATGCATCTAAGAAATAAGTATTTTGTTTTGCTTCGAGATCAAAAACTGAATCGCTCATTTTCAAACTATTCGTTTTAATGGCGAGTATCATGGCCAGGATGGAGCTCATCAGGAAGAAGTCTGCAAGGAGGAATTTTAGTAAATAATGTATAATTCAATATATATTATAAAACAAATAATTTATACACTTACCATAATACTTATTACTACGAAAATGCTCCCACAACCCACTCAGGGTGGGCATTTCGCCCTTGAAGCCAATTTTCTTCAGAGTGTCCTCCAAAACGGTGAAATAATAATTGATAAAGTCCTTTCCTAGTTCACAGCGCTCTTCCGATTCCATCAGCATGTAAACGGAGTAAGTGAGGTCAACGGTGATGGAACAAACATTGCTCAACTGGAAATCCACCAGCATAACGTCCTCAAAGGCTCCGGTCTTCTTGTTGTTTTTGAACATCATATTGCGAATATGAAAATCTCCGTGGCACAGCACATAATACCTATTCGCCTGCGGACCGTTGCGGTACTCCAGCATAATTTCACTCAACCGCTGCCTGCAGTTATCCTTTATCTTTTCAAAATAAGTCTTGTACTTTGTTAGCTCGGGAACTTTGTCCAGCATTTCAATGAAACAGGGCAGACTAGTGGTCACCATGGGATCGTTCAAAATTTCGGTCATGTCCAACATACCATATTTGAATTCTTTAAGGAAGTCAGGTTTCTAAAATGGAAAATGATAGATTTAAAAGGTATTTAAAATTTCCTAAATAATGCAGTTAACTTACCTCATTTATAACTTTCATGCTAACTGCATGCCATTTGGCCAACTTGGAAAATGCCTGTTGCACTTCCTCTTTGGTGGCAGGACGATCGCGGATAACGGAGTAACCCTGTGGCACCAGATCCTCGAATATTATCACCTGTCGAGGTTCCAGACTGTGGTAAATGCAGGGCACATAGAGCTTGGTATTATCCCCCGCCTCTCGAAGGATCCTCTCGAACTCGGGTAAGGCCTTGGTGTAGACGAGGATTTCTGTCTCGAAGATGTGTGACTTCGAGAGCATATCCTTTTTGTGACCTTCCTGCTCCGGCATCGTCTTAACGATGAGGGGTTTGGAGAATTTTCCCCCATTGGTGGTGTATTCCGCAACGGCTCGGAACATGATGCTGGCGTAATGATCTCCCTGGGCAGTCGCAGGAGTTATTTTCAGATCGGTAACTTGCAATGGAACCTTTTCGTATGCATTTAGGACCTCTTCAATAAACTGAGCATTAAGCCAAGCTGGTGCCTGCAGTTCATCCGCATTAAACTGCGATGTATCTGTATTTTCTGTCATTCTGCTACCCCTTTAAAAACTTTAACTAAAATGATTAACGATCGTTCGGGCTATGGTGAGAACTATTGCGGGTCCGCTCATTTTATACGATTCTAAGTAAAGCTTACCCATAGGTGAGAAAGCTTTTTTTTATTTCATTTAGTTGTATCATTGTTTTACACTGCAAGTGTTGACATATTACAGGCAGAGAAAAAAAACCATCATAATGAATTAAATTTTTGTAAAACTAAATAGATTGTTTGGGTTATTTAAACAGAAGAGGATCAAAAGCAGCTATTCTCTTATCAATAATACCTATACTATAGGTCGGAAATGTCATTATGATACCCCCTGCAAGGGTATACAAATTGGCTACTAAAACCTTTGACAACATTGAATTTATCTTTGTAAGTATATTTGCTGTAATCAAAAAGCTTGATAAAGCTTAAAAAAGTTTAACCAAGTCATTCTAATGTATAGAAACATTTCACAACTATTTTAAATTACAGGTTTCTAACTTTAAAAAAAGTAATACCCAGAAATTTTGTCAATTTTAAAAGTTACAAGAGAGAACTCTAAAACAAGAGAGAACGCTATACTCGATACTGTTACACAGCTAAAGGGAGATGGAGATATGCACGCATCAAAGCGACTGCTTGCACTGCTTGAGTTCCATTATTTGGTCATAACTTTTTAATGAATGGTCTCTAGCACAAGGGTTCAAGCAACTCTCTCGCAAAAAAGGAAATCGTCATTAATTTAAGAACAATTTTGGATGGCCACCTTTAAAAAATCAACATAAATTTAATAAAACAAATTATTTTTTTTAATTAAAGAAAAGTTTTCAGAATATTCTTTTGTTATGGTTTTTTTTTCTTAGATTCAAGAAAGCTATTTCTGAAATTAAAAACATTTTCTAGAATTAAGAAAATATTTTATTTTATCTCGATTTTCTAAACTTTTAGAGGAACATTTTTTTTTAATGTGTATCAGTCTACTCTCTTGATTAATTTTCTCCCATTTGCTCTCGGCTATCTTCAATTACTGGCAATTAAGGAGCACGTCTCTCGAGATGCCCTCGTCGGCATATAAAGTCGTTTGCACCTCCGACATAAAATAGTATAGTATCAACATAATGCCTGATGAGACGACGACCCATAAGGCGCCCGCGTGGCTGACTGAGGAATACGTGGAAAAAAAGTTAAGAGGTTACTTTAAGAACGACACTCTGAATTTGGAGAAACTGGAGAGCAAGCCGGTGACTGCAAATGGTGAAACCAACGCCAGTGTGATGAACCGCATCAGTGTGGAGTACACCACAAAGGATTCAGCAGATAAACAGGATGTCACGTTCCTATTGAAAACCACCTTCGCCGAAAAAGACCCTGCCGCCCATTTGCTCATTAATTACGGAATTTACACCAGAGAGATAGACATGTACGAGCGGATTCTTCCCCGATTGGCGGACATAGTGCGGAAGGAGCTCCACGATTCCAGAAAGCTCTTTGCGGCCACCGTGAATGTGGATCGAGAACGGGACTCGATCATGTTTGAGGACCTCTCGCTGGAGAAGTACAAAGTGGCCTGTCGGGTCAAAAAACTAGATCTGGAGCACACTCATCTGGTCCTGGAGAAACTGGCCGACTTTCATGCAGCCGGAGCAGCTCTAGCCGAACGTCAGCGTGGCATCTTTGAGAAGAATTATGATCGGGGATTTTTCAACAAACATGTTCGTGGCTACGAAGGAATAATGAAGAACATTCTGAAAGCCTTGTCGCGCACCCTAGAGTCGAATCAGGATCTCAAGGATCGTTATCAGGCGAAGATCGATCGGATAATCGATCATGTAATGGACTACGGCGAGAGATCGACGAATATAAATCCCGGGGACTTTGTGACCCTGGCGCATGGAGATCTTTGGACCACGAATGTTATGTTCCAGTACGATGAGAAAGATCATCCGATAAATGCCATCTTCATCGACTTTCAGTTCAGTGTTTGGAACTCTCCTGCCATCGATCTGCATTATTTCTTTTGCACCTCGATCCACGAAAATCTTCGTCTGCATCATCAAACGGAGCTGGTACAATTCTACTATTATAAACTCGTGAAGGCCCTGAAAAAGGTTAACTATGCGGGTAAGGTTCCCAGCTTATTTGAGTTCCAACTACAGTTCCAGGCGAAGGCTTTTTATGGTGAGTTCTCATTAGAATTTCAGTTAATATAATTTATTAAATTCATTTTTTCTATCTTTCTTAGCTGTATTTTCTTCACTGATTTTTGATCCCATTATGGTCTATGATGGCATAGAAGAGCCATCCATAGAGAGCTTCATGACCAATGATGAAGAGGGAGCACGGATAAGGCAAGCCGTTTATCAGACAGAGGAGAACGAAAAGAAATTGCTTCTGGAGCTGCCGTTCCTTGATCAGTGGGGATTGTTGGATGAAATGTAATATAAATGTACTAGAATCCATTAAAAATTCTAAAACCAATTAATTTATTAGAAGTAGTTTCAAATTGGTATGAAATAGTTTTTCATCACATTTTCTCATCGTTAATTCAAGTGAGCTAATAGCTCTTATCTGTGACAGATAAGTGAGATAGATTGATAGATAGGGCTAGAATAATAAACACCTACTTATCAATTATAAACGAGGGGCTATAAAAGCCGAGCGCCAGCAATGAAAAATCTCCAGTAACAAGTTACTAGCGCTACGGATCGGTATAATGTCTCATTCGGCACCTGCTTGGCTCACTCGGGATTACGTGGAGGAAAGGCTGCGTTCCTACTTCAAGGATGAGTCTTTAAGACTGGAGAATTTGGACATCAGGCCGGCACTTGGCAATGGGGAGAATTGGGCCAGCGTGATGACCCGCATCAATGTGGAATACACCAAGAAGAATTCGAAGGATAAGGAATCCACTCGATTCCTGGCTAAGACAACTTTTCCCGACCGAGATCCAGCGGCGGAGGTGCTAATGGGTTATGGGGTCTACACCCGGGAAATGGACATGTATGAGCAGATTCTGCCCAGGTTGGCGGTTTTGGTTCGCGATGAGTTGGGAGACTCGCGAAAACTGTTTGCCGGCACTGTGAATGTGGACCGCAAACGGGACTCGATCATCTTTGAGGATCTATCGCTGGAGAATTACAGAGTGGCCGATCGCCTCAAGAAATTAGATCTGGAGCACACTTATCTGGTCCTGGAGAAACTGGCCAATTTTCATGCAGCTGGAGCAGCCTTAGCGGAACGACAGCCGGGAATCTTTTCGAAGAATTTCGATCGCGGATTTTTCAACCAGCACACCCGGGGATACGAATCCATTATGCGGAACCTTCTGCAGGCCCTCTCCCGTTCCTTGGAACTGGAACCGGAGTTGCGTGAGCGTTACCAGGCGAAAATCGATCGCCTGGTCGACCATTTAATGGATTACGGCGAACAATCGACCTCTATTATTCCCGGCGATTTTGTGACCCTGGCCCATGGAGATCTTTGGACCACCAATGTCATGTTCCAGTACGATGACGAGGGTCATCCCATCAATGCCATCTTTATCGACTTTCAGTTTAGTGTTTGGAACTCACCGGCCATCGATCTGCACTACTTCTTTTCAACCGCATTGCAAGCCAATATCCGACTGAAAAAACAGCCGGAGTTGGTTCAGTTCTATTACTATAAATTAAGAGATGCTTTGAAGGTTGTCAAGTATTCGGGAAAGGTCCCCAGTCTGTTTGCCTTCCATCAGCAGTTCCGAAACAGAGCCTTCTATGGTGGGTACATAGCACTTATTATTTAAATAATTTAACTAAATTTATTATCGTATATTTTAGCTGCCTTTGCATCCCTGATTTTCGAACCTTCGATGGCCTACAATGGCAAGGAGGAGGCCTCCATGGAGCAGATTATGTCGTCTTCGGAAAAAGCAATGCGGTTCAAGGATGACCTCTATCAGTCGGAGGAAATCAGAAAAAAGATGCACTTCACCCTGCCCTTTCTTGACCACTTGGGATTATTAGATGTTATGTAAAATAAAAACTAAACCTTACTTTTAACACAATCTAAGCAATAAATAAAACAATTCATATTGTCACCTAGTTACTTCTTCTTATCTAAATTTAATTAAAAGTGTACTCAAAAATATTGATTTTATATGGTTTATGGGTGTTAATTTGGGGCATTCGTAGATGTGAGAAAATCAAATAAACGCCACAAACACCATATTAAATAGTTTCTTAATTGTTTTATAGATATTGACTTTGAAATTAGCAAAATAAAGTTGATAAGCGGAAATTCCTAGAAAAGTTGTAAGTGCGCACAAATAATTTAATTCTCTGCCTTATAAATTTATTTTGTTTTTATTTTTTATGTATACAGAACAAGCTTAAATAATTTCATTATACATTTCCACAATGAATCGAGAGACACACACTTTTAAAACAATTATTTTTGTAGTGAATCTGTAGACTTATCAGTTGGTATTTTGGATTTCCTGGAAATCGTAATGCCAGTTGAATACTTAAACGAAAGTGCATTGTAAAGGCATTCAGCTAGACTCGCAGATCGTTCAAGTGTTGTTTGACCATGACTAGGCTAATCGCCACGACATACTTGCACTATACTTATCACCTTCCACTGGATAAGGCTATAAAAGTAGTGCTCGCCAGTCGCGAATGTCGCAGAAACTAAAGCTCCGAGTTACGGTTAGGATCATGGCTGAGAAGAAAACTACCCACAAGGTTCATCCGGCGCCCGTTTGGCTCACCGCGGATTATGTGCAGGAAAAGCTGCGGATATACTTGAAGGATAGTTCCCTGAAGCTGGCGAAGATGGACACCAAGCCAGCCGTTGCCAATGGAGGAAACTACGGCAGTGTGATGACGCGCATCAATGTGGAGTACACCACCAAGGAATCAAGGGAAAAACAGGCCACCACCTTCCTGGTGAAGACGACATTTGCGGACCGGGATCCTGCCGGCGATATTCTCATCCACTATGGCGTCTACTCCCGTGAGATGGATATATACGAGAGCATCCTGCCCCAACTGGCGGATATGGTGAGGAAGGAGCTGAAGGATCCCAGGAAGCTGTTTGCGGCCACCATGAATGTGGATCGTCAGCGGGATTCGATCATCTTTGAGGATATGTCGCGGGAACACTACAAGGTGGCCTGTCGCCGAAAGAAACTGGACCTGGAGCACACTCATCTGGTGCTGGAGAAACTGGCCAGTTTCCATGCAGCCGCATCCGTTCTCGCCGAGCGGCAACCGGGAATCTTTGCAAAGAACTACGATCGAGGATTCTTTAATAAACACACCCGGGCCTACGGACCCATCATGACCAATCTCCTGGAGGCCCTTTCCCGCTCCCTCAGCTCGGATCAGGAGTTGGGTCCGCGGTACAAGGCCAAGATTGATCGGCTAGTCGAACGTCTAATGGATTATGGCGAAAGATCGACGACAAATCAGCCCGACGATTTTCTAACCCTAGCCCATGGAGATCTGTGGACCACCAATTTTATGTTCCAGTACGATGATAGAGATCATCCCAAAAATGCCATATTCATCGACTTTCAGTTCAGCGTTTGGAACTCACCGGCCATCGATCTGCACTACTTCTTCACTACCTCGTTGCAGGATAATCTCCGTTTCAACCATCAGTCGGAACTGGTTCAGTTCTATTACTATAAATTAGTGGAGGCCCTCAAGAAGTTCAAGTATTCTGGTCGAATACCCAGCCTGTTTGATTTCCAATTGCAGTTTCGCTCGAGAGGTTTCTATGGTGGGTATATATCTTTATAACTTCCTAATTTATTAACTGAAAATTGTAAATATCCTTAGCTGTCTTCTGTTCGCTGGTCTTCGAGCCTGTTATGCAATACGAGGGCAAGGAGGATGCTTCTATTGAGCAGGCCATTTCCAATTCCGAAAGTGGAATGCGTTTCAAAGATTCCGTTTATGCACCGGAAAAAATTAAAAAGAAATTAAGTGTCGTCTTACCATTTCTTGATCAGTTCGGATTGCTAGATGAAATGTGAATAGTTTAAGTAAATAAAAGTTATAGATATAGTATGTATTTAACAAATACCGCCGTTTCCATTTGGTAGCTAATCACATATATGTATATATTCCAGGAAATTTAGCTATCAGAATTTCGCACTTTGTTGTCTACGAATGTTTGTTTAGCCCTATCAGTAGATAATTGCAATTCCTGCATTTATTTCGGCCATAACTGACCTTTTCTTGACTGATAACAAAAGGATCTACTTGAAAACGGCAAGATAGTGTTAACTTCTCGACCAACAAGCAGTGCCAACAATAATAAAAATCTCAGGTGATAACAGTTACATGCCCTTGAATCATGGTGAAATACAAATGGGCGAGATACGCTAAAAGATAGACGGCAAATGTCTAAGCAAATAAAATAAAATAAAATGCATTTAAAATATATAAATAAAGAGGATACGTACATTTTATAAAATGTAAATGTATGTACGCATTGTAGAATTAGCTACATTTATCTCATAAAATAATAAAAAAGTTTAAAAGGGAAGAAAACAAAGTTTATTGGTAGCACAGTAATTATCACTTATACGCACTGTTGTTTCTGCTTATCTTTCGGTTTTATAAGCACGCTTCACGGTTTACATGTGGATGGTGATATGAGTGCAAACATTAACGAAGTAGCAAATACCTGACGTATTTTGTAGTCTTTTATTCGCTAAGGTTTTTCACACTTTACCGAGAATAATACAAATAAAATAGGTAATTAAATCATTTTCTTTTTAATATATTTTCCATTTCAAATGGGGACTAGTTATTCTAATGAGATTATGGCTTCAGTCGGTGACATCCAGTAGACCGCTCCGATCGAAGCGTGGCAGCATATATTTGAGATTATCCTGCAATCTCTTGTTGGTGTACAGCACTTTCCGGAAGTTGCGACCGCGCTCATCATCCTTCATTAAAGCATGGAAATCGGCATCGGCGGTCTGATCGTTGGTCAAAATGGCCTGGCAGACCAGTGAGACAGTGACGGCTATTAAAGAGAATTAATTAAGTTATTAAATTAACTATATATTTAAGGTTCCTAATCAGCTCACCAAAGAATCTTCCCCTCTCCAGCTGCAGAACAAACTGCCTCAGTGTGGGCGTATAGCCAGCAAAGTTGAGATCCTTGAGCGTTTCGACCAACACCGAGTGGTAATACTGAATCAGGGCGTCCTGCTGCTCATACCGAATGGCGGTCTGCACCGAGGTGTTGAAGAAATAGTGCAGATCCACTGCCGGCGAGGACCAGCTGCAGAACTGGAAGTCGATGAGGGTCATGTCCAGCGGTTCCTTCTGCTCCCCATACCGCAGCATCACATTGTTGACCCAATAGTCACCGTGCACCAGGGTATTAAAATCCCCCGGCTGTGGATCGTAGACCCGCGTAGAGTACTCCATCACTCGCTTCTGCAGATCCTTCAGTTTCCGGGCGTAGTGCTCACCCAATTGGGGACTCTCGCTGGCAAAATCCGCTGCCACGCCCACCGTGTTCACAAAAAAGGGCGCAAAACCCTGGGTATGGCGATTGAAGATGCCATGATCGAATTTGGTTAGTACACCCGGCTGACGTTCGTTTAAAACAGCAGCAGCAGCATGCATCTTGGCCAGCTTTCGGAGACCCAGACGGGTGTGCTCCAGGTCAAAGCCTATAAGTCGATCAGCTAGTTCAAATTTCGCCACCGCCAGATCTTCAAAAATGATGGCCTCATGCTCGTAGTCCACATGCAAAGTCTCGGCAAAGAGCTTCTCCGGCTGGCTGGTCTTCGCAATGAGTCCAGTCAACTGGGGCAAAATCTTCTCGTACATTCGCATTTCCGTAGTGCTGACCTGGTACTGGGAGAATATGCCCGAGGCAAAGGCATCATTCTCGTACGTGGTCTTCACAATATAGTACTCAGTTTCAGGATTTTTAGCGCCACTTTTCAAATACAAAATCTTAACGCGCGTCATTACACTAGCATAGTTATCACCCTTGGCAGTGGCGGGTTTGATTAACAGTTCGGTGATCCTAAGACCCGGATCCTTCTTCAGATCCCTGAGCAGGCGCTCCAAATAGGCTTCATCCAGCCAAACGGGCGCCGGATGGAAGTCGGTGGTTGCCTCCTCTTCTTTGGCCAGTTCTACCATGATGATGCTCTACTTGATTTCTAGATCGCTAAATGCCGCCGGTGGCCCCATTTATAGGCAGCCGGATAGTACAATCTTGGCGACGACAGATCCCACATTATGGTAGCCGTAAAGCAAGTCGACTCAGACAATTACGTAGCGTAGATTTCGATTCCTACGTTAGAGATTCGCGAGTATCTAAAGCTGACTAGATAAAGGCAGAGCTCAGAGCGCGATGGTGAGATAACAGACCCCGTAGATCGGTACACGCTTCTCTATATGATGTAAGTGTGCCCGGCGTAATTCACTCTAAAACCTGCTGACGTGGCGTTTAAAGATCGCTCTGACGGTCCCTTGTCAAATTAATCTGCTTCACAAGTCGTAAATCCATGTGCCATACGCCCATTTGCATAGTCAAGCCCACATAAACGTGAATCGGGAATCTGAGTGGGTTTCACTTGACGGGGTTGTATTTTCGCATTTACAGTTAGTCCGATTGTTTTTGATTTTACCTATTTATAGGCGGTATTGATCGTGAACTTGGAATTTCACAAGGATTTTCACAGCCGAATGAGCTAGAAGAAAAACGTTTAGGAACAGTATGATAGTACATTATTTACCATTTATTGGTATTGGTCGTGAACTTGGAATTTCACAAGGATTTTCACAGCCGAATGAACTAGAAGAAAAACTGTTAGAAACGTTTTCAAGAGGTTTGATAAGCCGCTGCATACTTTCAGGTGTTAGCGATAGCTAATCTGCCGAGATACGAGATATTAACTTGACAATTATAAGAAAAGACCTAATTATTTTCAACAAGAATTTTTTCTACAGATTTTAGTATTGCTTACTTTTAGGCATATTTTTTCTGCAGATCCATAAACACACTGACTTAAGCAAATTCTTTTTCCAATACACATAGCTTAAAATACATAGAAGGTGCGTGATATTTCATTAGGTGTTTTTAGGTGTGAACGCCAATCAATTGGACACTTTAGGCGGTATGACATCACGTATTTGAAAAACTTGTTTTATACAAAAGATCTTCTTTGATAAAGTTAATAAAAGAAATTTTTATAAAACGTGTTTATTTTTTTGTCAAAAAATGGTTATGTATAAATTATATTGGGAACTTTTCTACAAGCTCAACGCTGCATGTCATTCTATATTTGCCAGTGACCCCACCTGCAAGTACTCTGAATATTTTAAGCGATTACTTACTTACATTCGTAAGTTCGTCAATTTAATTGCATTTAATACAAATATATGCCAAACTGGAATATTAGTGGAAGATGGTAAATCTTCTACAATAGAAAAAGTTTTCTATATAATAAAGGTAATCCAAAAATATTTTCAAAAATAAGAGTATTTATTATAACTTAACCTAATACATGTATTTATACTAACAAAAGTGGAAGCCCATTTAAACACTCTCGTGTGACCCATCAACAGGTTTGATTCACCTCCAGCAGTCCCTTTCTATCGAAGAAGGGGACTAACGAATGCAGATTTTGTTGAACTGTGGGATTATTGTACAAGCGGTTCTTGAACCGAATGCCACGCTCATCATCGTTCATCAAGGCATTGAAACAGGCGTCCGTGGGATCCTGGCTGATCATCACTGGCTGAACGACCACAGTGGAGTGCATAGCTATAAGAAATAATTTAATTTATTATAATAGGAATAACACTTATTGGTTTAAAATGATAACTCACCGAAGAAACGCTTCTGCTCCACCTCCAATTTGAATTGATGCAGACTGGGAATGGGATTCTGACGGTAGTCGAGCTTTCGCAGTGTTTCACTGAAAATACTGTGGTAAAACTGGAAGAGACCACTCTGCTGATCCCGACGCAGTGGTTCCTTTAGGGAAGTATTGAACAGATGGTGGAGATCGATGCAGGGCGAGCCCCAAAAGGAATACTGAAAGTCAATGAGCAGCACGTCCAAGGGTCGTCCCGTTTTGGGATCGTACTTGAACATCACATTATTGGTCCACACATCGCCATGCGCCAGGACATTCACTTGCCCCGGCTTGGGTGCGAAGCACTCCCTCCCGATGTCCATGTAGTGGGGCGCCAAGGCGAATAGCTTCTCACTGTAATGGGCCAACTTGGGCACCTGGCTCATCCAGCGGGCGGCAGCCAGGAGACCACCGACAAAGTAGCCACTATAGGCATTGGTATAGCGATTGAAGAACCCACGATCGAAGCTCTCGAGACTTCCATTTTGCCTTTCATTCAAAACCGCCGAGGCCGCATGGAGTTTGGCCAACTTTCGGAGGATCAAATGGGTGTGCTCCTCGTTCAAGCGACGCACTCGATCGGCCATTACATAACCGGCCACGGAAAGATCCTCAAAAATGATGGCCATACGTTCGCGATCCACAAAGATGGCTGTGGGAAAGATACTTTCGGTATCTCCGATTTCGTTCAGGAGCTCCTTAAGTTTCGGCAACACTTCCTGGTAGATGGTCATCTCCCGATTGTAGATATCATAGGGAGCCATCAGTTCCTGGGTCAACTCATCGTCATCGATTTCCGTCTTTACAATCAGATTTTGCAGCTGTTTCTCTCCATTAGTTAGGGTAAATTGCACCCGAGCACGGGTCAAAACCCCGCCATAATTTTCACCAGGACCCAAGGCTGGATTTATCTGGAGATTAGTGATGACCAGTCCATCATCCTTGTAGTGGGAGCGCAGGGCGTGCTCGATATATTCGTGGGTCAGCCACTCGGGTGCTGCTGCCATCCTGTTTGGTTGCTTTAGTTTCTCAGACTGAATTACTGACGGACGACCCTAAGCCGTTGGTTTTTATACTGCCCCTAAATGACGTACATTTGTCACGGTGCACTTACCTGTACCCTCTGTATGAGATGTTGTGCTGCACTCGGAAAAACACATTGTTGGAATCGAGGGAAGTTCATAATTCTAGAAATAACAGTGAGGAAAAAATAATACCATTCTTACATAATATAAAATTCTATGCAAATATCCATTATTATTAGATTCACTTAAAATAATAATAATAATCCTAAAAGTTACAACGGGAAAACAATAATACCATTCTCTTATAATATAGAAATTCGATGTAAAATATAATTTTTATTAGTTTCACTTAATATATGATAATATATCATATACCATTATATATGATCTTCAACTTTTCCTTAACTCAATTCTCAAAGTGTATTCGATTCCGTACTCCTATCTGCGCTTTTCTTTTTTTGCAACTTATTTCTTCTGACTTTAGCTGACGCTCTTGGCTTTTATGACTCTTGGCAAACAATTGCAGCTACATTTGCCATAGGGATTACCTCCGTTTGGCAACAGGTCTCAAATATGCGTATCGTGTGCCAAGAATCGTGCCATTGCTCAACACTGCGCTTCTAAATAAACATTATATCTTTGGATTTATGTGCCGGGAACAGACGCCCACGGTTCACATCATTAAGATACCCGAAATCCCAGGAAAGTTCCCATTTCGCTTGAGGCTCGGCCGATTTCGTTAAGATTAACGTTCATTTCTCTATTCCGTTTTAAGTTTTGTGCCCGACTTATCACGCGTATGCCCATTCATCATCATAACTTAGCAATCGACTGCTCTCATTGTCTTACGTAAACCGTTTTAATGGACACTTTTCTACACGTACTGTTTAGGATGATATTTTATCACAAAGTCCCAGAATTGCATTGTGTCAACAGGGTAGTATGACATCTTTCTGAGTTGTTTGCCCAGACTCCTTAGTAACTGTTTAAATATTTAACGAGTCATGTAAAGATTGTACAATTGGTTTAAGTATATTAAAGATGTTTTAGTAAAAGCAATATATTAAAAAAATTTTTTAAAATTGTTTATAATTTTTTTAAATTTTTTCAAAAACGATTTAACATTAAATGAAACTTACCTACACAAATATAAAGTTTAAAAAAATGTTTTCTAGGTTTTTGGTTTGACGTATAACTTATAAAGATTATCATTCATTTGGCTAATGGGAGACTTTTGCAAACTTGGAGTTTTATTAACAAGCTGTAAACCATTGAGAAAATAGTTTAAATACTCATGTTTACCTAGACAAAGTAAACCTAGATTATCAGGGAAAGGCTAACTAAATTTAGTAAGCCGAGTGATAAAGCGATTTGAAACTCAAATTTTGAATAAAATGTATAACATTTGTTTAGATTTGATATAGTATCAAACTCTTTTTCCCATTACTTAAAATGTATTATTTAAAGATAATATTATGTTTTCAATGCTAGTAATTTTTTTTAAATTTAATTTAAATTTGTACTTATATCTCAATTCTAATGAACTTTGCGCAAAGGGTTATCATTGATAGCTTATAATCCAGTTATTGTAAATTTTTCGTGCATCCCTAAGATTTCTCCCGCCGGCTGACGTTAGCATTTTGACAAATCACACCCATTCGGAATGATATGGCTGGCAAACGTTTAGCATTTCTGAGGCTAAATTACTAAAAAAAAGAACACTTGTGCTGCCCTAAACCGACAGCAAGTGCTATAAAGATTAACTGGCTTGCCTTTGGCAAACACAAACAATTCGCAATTAGGCAGTAGCCACGGCGTGAGAGGTGGAACCCAAGAGCCATCCAGATTACTGGACGGGATTGGAGGCACGGGGCGGATGCCGAAATGGGTTTCTGGGGGTGGGAGGCCAATAAAAAGTGTAATCTGTGCGCCCGTGTTCACAGCTACAGAATCTGCTACAGAATTTTACGGTTATATTAATCACAATTGTGACGAGAAGCCCTCGGATATACACACAGTTTCATATCTAGGAACTGGGAACAGTTTAGACGGTCTGAGAATTTTCCCATAAAAGCGGCAGTGCTCCGAGTTTTAGGCACCAATTCGTTCACTCAGTCCCACAGTCAAAGATCATCTTCAATATGTCGGTTTCGGATTTGATCGGTGCCATCGAGGCCATTCCCAAGATCACAGTTTCCGATGCTCCTGCGCCTCCAACTTCCGTGTTCCTTGATGCTCCTGAATGGCTAACGGAAAGCTATCTGCAGGATGCCCTGCGCAAGTACTACAAGGACCAAAGGATCCGGATCAACTGGGTCAAGGTGAATCCCGCCTTGGGCAAGGGTGAAAACTACGGTGGAGTCCTGACCCGCGTCAAGGCCCAGTTCACCCGCGGTGATGGTAGCTCCCAGCTGGGTCACTACATTGTTAAGTCGACCTTCGAGGGCAATGAATTTGCACAGAACACAATGGAACCCTACGATATCTTCAATCGCGAGATGATTATCTACGAACAGGTGCTGCCCAAGCAGAAGGCTCTGCTCCGCGAGATCGGCGATACGGAGCAGATCTTTGCCGAAACCATGGCTGTTGATATTGATAATTCGGCGTTGATATTCGAGGATCTGAATGCTCGTGATTTCGTAATGCCCGATCGTTTGGTCGGATTGGATCTAAAACTGGCCCGAATTGTCCTGCGGAAATTGGCCAAGATGCATGCCACTTCGGCGGTTTTGAACGAACGTGAGAATCACTCGCTGGAGTCCTACGATCGGGGCTTCTTCAATCGGTACACCGATAATTATGAACCCGCTTTTGTGGGAATGTTTGAGGCGGCCACTCGCCGGGTGGCCCAGTGGCCGGGATATGAAAAGTACGCCGAGAAGATGGAGGCTCTGGTGCCCATCTACATGGAGCTGGGCAAGCGAATCTTCGACATCTCGCCCGGTCACATAAATGTTCTGGCCCACGGAGATCTTTGGACCAATAATGTACTCGTGCAGTACGATAAGGAGACGGGGGAACCCTTGGATGTCGTCATCATTGACTTTCAATACACCGCCTGGGGATCGCCTGCGCTGGATCTTTTCTACTTCATGAACACCTCGCTGGAGTTCGATCTCCATCAGAATCATCAGGAGCAGCTGATCGCCTACTATTTCGGCTTTTTCACGGACACACTGAGGAAGCTGCAGTACCAGGCTTCGATTCCCAGCTTGCATCAGTTCCACCAGCAGCTGCAGCAGAAGAAGTTCTACGGTAAGTTGAGAGTGATGTATAAAAATATTTATTTTTGGGTACTAATTTATTCCTTGCCTTGCAGCTGCTCACACTTCCATCTCGGTGTTCCCGATTCAGCGAAATGTGGAGACCGCCGATGCCGATTTCAATGCTCTAATGGAGACCAACCAGCGGGCCATTAATTTCAAGGATGCCTGCTATAGGAATCCCATTTCTCAGAGGATTTTGCGTGAACTTCTGCCCAGTTTCGAGGCCGAGGGTTTGCTCGATATCGATCAGTGAGGGAGATGTACAGACCTTACACCTGTGTTATATAGTACACACTATACCAAATTGTATATAGATAAATAGTAGAAAAATTATACGTATTATAGTTTAGATAATGTAATCACAATTGTATTTTATAACAGAAATATAGAAAATATTCAACTGAAATTGTTTTTTACATGGAAGTGTGGTCACTTATTCTTACCACTCATCACTCTTTCTGTAAGTGATCTAATCAGGTTGATAGGAATACCGGCAGTGGGTAAAAACTTTAATAATCGAAAAGATTCCGTGAGTGCAGCTATTGATTAAAAAACTAAGATTTGATATCAATGTTTATACCCTTGCAGAGGGTATTATGATTTCAGTCAGAAGTTTGCAACGCAGTGAAGGAGACATTTCCGACCCCATAAAGTATATATATTCTTGATCAGCATCACAAGACGAGTCGATCTAGCCATGTCCGTCTGTCCGTCTGTCCGTCCGTCTGTCCGTCCGTCTGTCCGTCCGTTTCTACGCAAACTAGTCTCTCAGTTTTAAAGCTATCGGGATGAAACTTTCGTAAAAGTCGTATTTCTATTGCAGGTAGTATATATGTCGGAACCAACCGGATCGGACAACTATATCTTATAGCTCCCATAGGAAGGATCAAAAAAAAAAAAACGCAAAAAAATTCTAGCTCCGGTGTTTTTTGAAATTTTACCTTCTACTCTTGGGAATATTTTTTTTTATATATTTCTGAATTTCGGTTTTTTTGTTTTTTAAATCGGATCACTATATCATATAGCTGCCATAGGAACGGTCGAAAAATTAAATGGAAATTAATGGGAAAAAAATTATATCTTTGTTGGTTTTTATTACATTCCCTTCTACTCTGGGATATGGCTATTTTGAAATATTTCCGAATTTCGATTTTAATTTTTAAAAGATCGAACTACTATATCACCGTCATATACCCAGCTCAGCTCAACTAGTATTCGGACGTGTTTTTCTAAGCTCCTCCTTCACATCGCGATTTCCCTGTGAAAACCTATTCGGTTCATCTCAGTTTTTGAACATATTGTCAGTAACACTGCAATCTTAAACAATACGAGCCGTTTGGATACTTTAAAAAGACAGTAACATAATAACTTGCAAAACAAAATTGGCAACAGAATATATTTGCTAATGCTCTGTTTGCCAGCGTTACCGCTAAACCTACAGTTTGTTTTTGTTGTTCTCTCTGTGTTTGCCGCGAACATTCACACAATCGCGCTCTGTTTTGCCAGCGTCACAGCTAAACATAAAGTTTGTTGTTGGTGAAACTGCTCTCTTTGTGCTTGCCACGAACATCTACACGAACTTGCAATCACTGCACTGCGCTTCGATCGGTTCTTCAGCGCTAACTTCGTCTCTCTGGAGTGCTGCTGCCTTTCGCTGCTTTTCGACGCTTACATCCAAGCGCTCTCTGCCCAGCTGCTGCTCTGCTCTTCGACGCTTACAACCGACTGCTCTCTACTCTGCTGCTGCTCTGCTCTTCGACGCTTACATCCGACTGCTCTTTGCCCTGCTGCCGCTCTGCCCTGCCGCTATTGCCGCTTATACACCTACGCTTGTCTGCTGCACAGTGACCTGATACTCAGCCAAAATGACTATCATTTGCACTGCTAAAAAATGCGAGTATAATAACATTATCAGCGGAGACACTTTCCTTATATGCTGGCTGTGCGACAATTGCGCGCACGTTAAGTGCGCCGGAGCCGGTTTCAATGGCCGTATTGGGGATTTAATCTCCAAAAAAGTCGGCTTCACCTGGTCTTGCACGGCATGCCGTGAGATGACGGATGAAATGCGCACCTTCATGAGGCAAACTAGGACCGGATTTATGGAGGTTCGAAAACTCCTCACCTCTATGAACGACAAGTTCCTGGCAGTGGAATCCCAGTTTCTCGGTCTCAAGATTCTAAGTGAATCACCGAAAAGGAAGATTCCAAATAATCTCCAACTTCCTGCAAACGGGCTGACAACCACGATGCTCTCTACTCCTACTGGTGCTAACATCATGGAACACTCTCCAATCTATCTTACACCGTCTCTTCCACCTGCTCATACTACTCCATCTGGATCTTCAGACAACTTACCAATGCAGTCGCACTCTGCATTAGCTGCGGCATCCCCTGGTAATATTCCACCGGAACAAAACCTCGCCACTCCTGGATTGCAGCTGGTTCCTGATGTCTCAGTCTCTGCATCATGTGCAGTTTCTACTATAAACGATCTGCCTAGCCCAAGACGGCTGGCTCCAGGTCGTTCTAACATCCCTTTGAGTGGTGTTCCAAGCCGAACGGACCAGAGAAAAAGCGTGGGGACTCCTGCAGTCTCGGGCATCCCTCTAAGTGGTGTCATTCAAAAATCCATATTTGTATCCAGACTCAACCCAGAAGCCACTGCTGAGGATGTGAAAATCTACCTTTGCGATAAACTTCTTGCTCCAGATAACGCTATTTCTGTCTACAAATTTAATTTTAAGCAAAAGCGTAACATATCTTCATTTAAAATTCTTCTTACAGACCATTTGTTCCCTAAAGCACTTGATTCTACAATTTGGCCAGTGAATACGTTAGTTCACGAGTATCTCCAAAAGGACAAGACTCGGGGTTCCAGTTCAGCTGCTTCAAAAAACTAGATAACTTGTCAATACTCTACCAAAATGTGCGAAGTCTACTGGGAAAACTGAGTAGGGTGTATGTTAACAGTCTTTCCACCGATGCCGACGTAATAGCTTTAACTGAAACTTGGCTTAATTCTTCCGTCTCTGATCAAGAAATATTTGCTGATAACTTTGTTGTTTATAGAGTTGATCGCCCCACCCTAGGTGGAGGCGTTTTAATTGCAGTTCACAATTCACTGTCTTCAGAGCTTTTTGCTTTTCAGAATGATCATTCCATTGAATTTATAGCAGTCAAAATATCTTTAAATAGTAGCAACATTTACATAACTTGCTCTTATATTCCACCTAAATCGGATGAATCTCTGTACTTAATGCACCTTTCTGCAATTGATTTAGTTTCATCTGCAACTGGCGATGAAGATCATTTCATTGTAATGGGTGACTTTAACTTGCCTAACCTGCTTTGGGTGACTTCACCGGACTCCAATCTTCTTTTTACTGAGAGTCAACATGATTTTATCGACGGCCTATCTGATTTGTCTTTGGGTCAGATTAACTTTGTGGAGAACAATAAAGACAGGCTCCTAGATTTAATCTTTGTTAATAACGAGACCCTTACAATTGTGCTCCGATGCTCACCCTTCTCCACACCAGAAGATCCTTACCACCCAACCTTGTTGTTGAAAGTTGAGATTAACGCTGAAACTCGTAGTACATCGGCCACACGAGTCAAATGTTTTCGCAGAGCAAATTTCTACAGTTTGAGTCAACATTTGGGTGCCATCGATTGGTCATTATTAAAATCATGTTATGATCTAGAGACCGCAGTGTCAACGTTTTATGAGTTCTTGCACTCGTCGATCAACATTTTCGTCCCAGATGTATCTGTTATTGACTCATCCAAGCCTCCATGGTTTAATAAGCACTTATCTTACCTCAAAAACAAAAAATCAAGGCTATACAAAAAATATCTAAAAACCAACCTCTCCGTTGACCTGGCGAAGTACGTATCGATTCGCTCTGAATTTACTATGGCTGCTAATCAGAGTTATGCTCGCTACATTGCTCAATGTAGAGAAAACATTCGCTCGGATCCAAAACACTTTTATTCCTTTGTGAATTCTAAAAGAAAGTGTAACTGTTATCCCTCATCTCTTCATTATAAAAGCTCTTCTGAATCCTCATCATTAAACATATCTAATCTTTTTGCCAAATTTTTCCAGTCAACCTACTCTCCACAGTCCTATAGCTCCTCGACTCCTTATCCATACCCTCTATCCCACATTAATAATATCTATGTACCATACTTTGAAGTCAAAGACGTTCTGAAAGCCCTTCTGTCTCTTGAGATATCGTTTTCTCCGGGTCCTGATAAGATACCAAGCTGTGTCCTTAGAAACTGTGCCGAAACTTTGTCCTGGCCAATTACTTTTTTATTCAACCAATCTCTGCTTCTTTCTGAATTCCCGAGAATCTGGAGTGAATCTTTCATCATTCCTCTGCATAAAAAAGGCTCAAGATCCGATGTTGAAAACTATCGCGGTATTGCCAAACTCTCTGCTTTACCTAAGCTTTTCGAACAGTTGGTCACCTGCCAACTTCAACATATGTGTACATCCATAATCTCTCCAGCTCAGCATGGTTTTGTTAAGCATCGGTCAACTACTACAAATCTCCTCGAATTCTCTTGTCTCATTCATCGAAGTTTCCTTAAAAAATGCCAAACTGATGTTATTTTTACGGACTTCAGCAAGGCATTTGATTCAGTAAACCATAGCCTTCTCCTTCACAAACTGTCTCTTCTTGGATTTCCACCAATTTTACTAAACTGGATTTTGGCATATCTCTCAAATAGAACTCAACGCGTTCTCTTTAATAATCAATTGTCTTCTGTTGTAAATGTTTTTTCTGGTGTCCCCCAAGGCAGTCACTTAGGTCCACTACTGTTTGTACTCTTTATAAACGATCTTCCAAATGTCATATCTTTCGCCACTACTTTAATGTATGCTGATGATGTAAAAATTTGCCTTTCATACTCCGACCAAATCTCTCACCACCGCCTACAATCGGATCTAAATGAATTACAGTCTTGGTGCTCCATTAACTTGTTACATCTTAACCATGCAAAATGCAAGTCGATGTCTTTTTATCGAACTTCAGCTAATATTCAACCCTACTATCTCGGGAATTGTATTTTGGAACGTATTTCCAAAGTAAATGATCTAGGTGTTTTATTCGACAGCAAATTATGTTTCAAAAGCCACATCTCCGTTACTATTGGTAAAGCTAGGGGGTTTTAGCCTTCATAAAACGTTGGGCCAAGGAGTTTGACGATCCATACACAACAAAAACTTTGTATGTTTCCATGGTTCGCCCTATTTTGGAATATTGCTCGAGTGTATGGAGCCCTCAATATAATGAACAACAAAAACTAATTGAGTCAGTTCAAAAGCAGTTTCTATTATTCGCTTTGCGTCAGCTAAACTGGGATCCGAATAGACACTTGCCACCCTATGAATCGAGATTAAAATTAATTGATTTACAATCTCTAAAACATCGCAGAATGTGCGGTGGAGTAATTTTTTTACATAAACTGCTTTTGGGTGAGGTAAATTCCCCGCGTCTCCTGAGCTACATTGACATCGCTGTCCCTTTAAGATTCACTCGAACTTTTCGCCCAATTCACCTGCCAATTTGTAGGTCAAATTTTGCAGTTCATGAGCCCTTTAGGGTTCTTTGTTCAAATTATAATTTATTGTATACTGAAATATCATTGGAAAACTCGATTGAATGTTTATCAGCTAAAATTTACTCCTTTCTTGAATCTTCGAATAATCTGTACTAATAACACTGCTTTGTTAAACTCTTATTTAAGTTATATTTATTTAAGTAAATAATTATGTTAATATAAGTTAGCAGATTTATTGTTAACTATAAACCCCCAATAAATATAGCTGTGATAGAAACGATCGAAAAATTAATGTGAAATAATAAGAAATTTAACATTTTTGCGATTTGTAAATTAATAGAATGATCTGCAAGGGTATATAAGCTTCGGCTTGCCGAAGCTAGCTTCCTTTCTTGTTTTTTGCTGAAGTATGTAACTATTGTAAATAAAAGTTCCTAAGTGGCTAGAATATTTTATTTAGTTGTGACAAATCTCCTGCAAGCACAATACATTTGAACGCAATTAAACTAAATTAATTATTTATTTATTTGTAATATTTCCTGCCAGAACCTAGTTGTTGATATTAAATAATCATAAGTTTATAAGTTAAAACTGATTATACTCAGTAATAACAATTATTGATCACTAGAACCGAGGGTGGCGATGAATACGAAAAGCTTGAGCAAAAAGATTTGAAAGCTCAACCATTTTGCTTAAAATGGGCCAAGCCCGTGATCGGGTTTTCCATAACAAACTACAACAGCACTCAGAATAGTCGTGGCACTTGTCGACTTATAGATTGTGCAATAGCAATCCCAATAATACAGAATGAGTGACAAGATAGATGCGGAACAGTTCAACGACGACGAACTGGAGGCCCCGGCTTGGCTGAATCCCCAGTTTATCGAGGGAATTCTAAGCGCGTACGAAGAGGCCCCGGAACTGAAAGTGATTGATCTGAAAATCACACCCGCGAGTTTTCAGGGAGATCACTATGCTAGCGTTATGTTCCGCACCACAGCGGAGTATACCACCGCGAAAGGAAAGTTCTCAAAGCCCCTTATCATCAAGACGATGCCGGAGCAGGAAGGACACAAGAAGGACATGCTGAGCGAATCGCATCTGTTCGAAACCGAGATTGGGATGTACTGCCAGGTTCTGCCGGAATTCGAGAGAATTCTACGCGAGGCAGGGGACAACACCAAGCTCTTTGTTCCCTGCATCTATCACAGCCTGGATCCGCGTAGAGTGATGATATTTGAGGATCTGGTGCCTCACGGATACTATGTGATTCGGGATCGTCCTGTAGCACTGGATGAACTCAAAACAGCCTTCTCGAAGTTGGCCAAATGGCATGCTGTTAGCATGAAAGTTATAAAGGAGGTGAGTTAAATAAATAAGGGAAATATTATATGATTTTAATGAAATTTTTAAACTCCTAGCAACCTGCATTTCTTCAGGACTTCAAATATGGCCTTTTTGATATGCCCGCCATACAGAACGACCCTTTCATAACCACTGGCATGAAGAGCTTTATTGAAATGCTAGATAAATTACCTGACCTAAAAAAATATAAGCCATATTTTGAAAAAATTAATCTGAAATATATGAAACGTTTGGAAGCGGAGATGCAAGAATATCATAAGAATCGCCGGAACGATGGTTACTATGTCCTGTGCCACGGGGACTTTCATCTTCGCAACATGATGTTCAAGAACAACAAGGAGACGGGAGACCACGAGGATACCATGCTGGTGGATTTCCAGATTAGCAACCTTTGTCCCATTACCGTTGACTTAACGTATTCCATCTATATGCTGATGGAACCGGAACAACGGAGGGAAATGGGAAAGGACTTGATTAATTACTATTTCACAGTTCTGGTCGCTACCCTCAAGAGAATTAAATACAAGGGTAATATGCCAACCCAAGCGAAACTCTGGGAGCAAATTCATCGCAATAAGTATTATGGTGAGATAGTTAGATCGTCGAAAGCAGGAGCTGAAGAATCTTATACTCTTTTTAATCTACTTTTAGATTTCTTTTTGATAAGCACTTTTCTTCCCCTGATTCTGGCGATCAAATCAAATAGTTTTAAAATGCATGACCTTATTCAGAATCCGGAAAGTCGTGAGAAGACCTACTTTTTGGATACATACGTCGAAGATGTTACCAAACTTTTGCCCAAATTCGAGGAGCTTGGCTACTTTAAGGGGCTATAACTGAAATTACTAATATTTGAAATAAAAAATGGTTTGTAAATTAATAATAAAAGTATTGAAGTGAGTTTACTGAATCTAATGCGTTTATTTAATATTAGTATTGGTTGCATACATGTTAACTATAGAAATTTTCACTCAGCGTATTCAAGATAAAGAAAAATAGAGGAGATTGCAATAATTTTAATGACAACGCTATTGAGCTGAAAAAAAGAATGTATAGTCATTGTTATATCGCAGCTTTTGGTTAATTTACTTTTGTAGGCGGCAATTGTCTAGAATGTTACGCTGCTTATTTTAGATTTAAGATTTATGAACATTAGAAAATAAACATTTTCTTGACAGGTCTGGTTTTTCTAAAAAAAAATTACAGAAAAAATAAAAACGGTTGTTTTATTTTTATGTATTTAATCGAATTTAAAAAAAAATCTATAACAAGGATAACGAATAGGATTGATAAGATAACAAAATTTCACGAGCAATTGAAAGTTATAGGAATGAAAACTGCTAGAAGCCTTTGAAAAGCTAAATAAAAGCTTGCCCAGTTCTATTTAAAGCGATTGCAGTATCACAAACCTCTCGCACTATCAACTTTGATTGCTAACTGAACGGTTGGAATATCAAGAGTATCTATAAAATGGAAAGCCAAATTACTGAATTCAACGCAGACGAGCTTCAGGCGCCAGCATGGCTGAATGCGCAGTTTATCGCGGAAATTTTGAGTGCCTACGAGAAGGTAGATCTTAACGTAACCGATCTGCAGATCTCCCCTGCGACTGCCCAAGGAGATCACTATGCCAGCGTTATGTTCCGCACCAAAGTGGAGTACACCACCGCCAAGGGAAAGTTCTCCAAGCCGCTGATCATCAAGACGATGCCGGAGGAGGAGGGTCACAAGAAGGACATGCTGGCCGAATCGCATCTGTTCGAAACGGAAATCGGAACGTACTGCCATGCACTGCCAGAGTTCGAAAGAATTCTCCAGGAGGCTGGCGATTATACCAAGCTGTTCGTGCCCTGCATTTATCACAGCCTGAAGCCGCGTCAGGTGATGATCTTCGAGGATCTGGTGCCCCAGGGATACACCGTCATTCGGAATAGTCCTCCCTCGGAGGGGGATTCGAAATTAGTCTTCGCCAAACTAGCCAAATGGCATGCAGTCAGCATGAAAGTCATTAATGAGGTAGGATACATACATTTTTCTGGTTTTAAATGTATGATTTTATAATTACCTTGTCCCTCAGCAACCTACTTTCTTGAAGGAGTTCAAGTATGGCTTCTTTGAAATGCCCACTTTCAATACTGATCCCTTTATAACAACTGGCATGTCAGACTTTATTAAAATGCTGGACAAAACCCCAGAGCTGAAAAAGTATAAGCCTCATTTCGACAAGATAAAAGATAATTACCTGGACAGACTGAAAGTTGAGATGCACGAGTATCACAAATATCGGCGGAATGATCGAAACTATGTCCTGTGCCACGGAGACTTTCATCTTCGCAATATGATGTTTAGGCACAACAAGAAGTTGGGAGCCTACGATGATGTCATGCTAGTCGATTTCCAGTTCTGCAATCTTGTTCCCATCACAATTGATCTAACATACTCCATTTACATGTTGATGGAGCCGGAACAGCGTTGGGATATGGGAAAGGACCTAATCAACTACTATTTCTCTGTTTTGCTCGAGACTCTTAGGAAAATTGGATACAAGGGGGATATGCCAACGGAAACTGGTTTGTGGGATCAAATACACAACAACAAATACTTTGGTAAGAGTGTGGCTCAAGTTGCAATTGGAGATTTAAGTACTAACATCCTGTTTTAATCCATTGCAGATTTATTTTTGATTAGCACATTGCTTCCACTGATGATGGGTGTTAAGTCAAATACTCTTAAAATGCACGAAGCACTACAAAATGCAGAGGTTCGGGCGAAGTCCTACTTTTATGAAGGCTATGTGAAAGATGTCACTAAGCTCCTGCCCAAATTTGAAAAATTGGGTTACTTCAATGATCTATAGTTTATAAATTTAAAATATGGCTGAAACGGTATCTGAACAGTAAAATACTAACATTACGATTATAAATTTGTAATAAAGAATTGTTTGAACTGCAAATCAACAAAACACTGTGTTATCTTCCTACTTTTATTGAAGTACCAATTGTAAGGAAGTCTTGGGGTTCTATTGAAAGGTGAAGTTCAATGGCACTTGGTGACGCAACTCTTATCTACTTCTCTAGCAAATAAACAAATAAATACATTTTTGAGAAGTAACAATCGTTTGTCAATTTAACAATGATGATCATCAAATTTGGAAAGCTGCCCATTTTGTTATGAAATGGGAGGTACCTACACCCAGAAAAAAATCAGTTCGAATCTTTAAAAAATCAAGCCCAAACGGGGTCAAAAAGTGCGTAAGCCCGTTTGTTGTCAGTTCATGAACGCTTGGTCATAAAATTTGACCGAAATATTGGCATGCTTTGAACGAATGGGGTCACTTTTAGAATTGGTGTTGAATTAGGAAGATTTGAGAACAATATTTATTTTTTATTAAAATTTTTAATTTACAGATCTTTAAAGTATCCCAATTCCTCATATTTCTTAAGAAGCTTGGAATCACCTTTTACATAGGCATCGTTAAAAAAGGACTTCTGCCGAGCCTCTGGATCGTGGATTATTTCGTGTAAATTTATCGCGTTTGATTTAATACCCATCATAATTGGAAACGATGTGGTAATCATGTAGAAATCTTTAATGAATTAAAAAAGAATGTTAGTTACTTAATATCCAATTTTATGTTGCTTTATCCTCTTACCCAAATATTTGTTGCGATGTATTTGTTCCCACAATCCATTTTGCGTGGGCAAACTGCGATCGGTTGGGCTATGGTGGGAATTCTTGAAAGTCCGGTTGTTTTATACGATTTTGTGGCAAAAGCTTTGTTTTTAAAGATAAGCCAAAGACTTTTTAATTTCCTAATAACTTTGAATTTAAATACATAAGCATGAGAATTGTTTTTAAAAAAAGCTTAAAAGGCTATACAAGTTAAAAATAAATTCATATTGATAAGGCCTGGTAATTTTTACATTAAATTTTGTATTCCACTACAGTCGATTAGATTAATTTGTTTATTTTGGATAGACAAAATAGTGCTAAAATCTTATATTAATCAGTACAGTGAAAATGTTTTAAGCAGTCCAAACCAGCTTAAATTGTTAAGTAAATAGTTCGATTTCGAATGATAAGATTGCAGAAGTGGCTCTAAAAAGTCGGACGATGACATTTATTAATTAAACGCTAATGAACCGGCTTATCTAACTGAACACTTCTTTGGTGAAATACTGGGAGCACAGAAAAAGGATCTGAGATTTCATCATATTTTGAACCCTGAAAATTTCAGCATTCAAGCTATTTTTACTTTTTATATATATTTTATATTTCTTTCTGACTATTACTTTTTTAGCAATGGTTTTGCAAGACCATTCCGTTAGGCATAAATACATAAGCACTGGGATAAAACCAAAATAAATAAATTAAATTAAAAAACATATATTTTTAAGAATTTGTTCTCCGTGGGTGATGCAATTGAAGAGTTTTGTAAGTCAGAAAACAGTAATCTAAAATAGTTTCTAAATGTTTGCTAAACATCAGCATGACTTGGTTAAATATTCACTAGAAAAGCACTGTTCGTTAAACTTTATAAAGCTTTGCAATAATTGGGAAAGCAAGAGGAAAAATATTATAGCTTAGCTGTTTTTGATCTTATTCTCTTCAGTGGTTCTTAATTTTGTTAAGATTTTGAAAGCCTTAAAAAAAATTTATCTTTAGCTGCCATAGGGACGATGGGCCAATTAAAAGGAGAATTATGAAAATAGACACAACTTCGCATTTTCAAAAATAAAATAAAGCTTTCTCACCTGCGGGTAAGCTTTATTTAGAATCGTATAAAATGAGCGGACCCCCAATAGTTCTCGCCATAACCCGAACGATCGTTAATCATTCTAGTTAAAGTTTAAAAAGGGGTTCCAGAATGACAGAAAATACAGATACATCGCAATTTAATGCCGACGAGCTGCAGGCACCAGCTTGGCTCAATGTCCAGTTTATTGAAGAGGTTCTAAGTGCATACGAAAAGGTTCCATTGCACGTTACCGATCTGAAAATAACCCCTGCGACTGCCCAGGGAGATCACTATGCCAGTGTCATGTTCCGAACTGTGGCGGAATACACCACAGAGAAGGGAAAGTTCTCCAAACCCCTCATCGTTAAGACGATGCCGGAGCAGGAAGGTCACAAAAAGGATATGCTCTCGAAGTCACACATCTTCGAGACAGAAATCTTGATGTACACCAAGGCTTTACCGGAGTTCGAGAGGATTCTGCAAGAGGCGGGGGATAACACTAAGCTCTATGTGCCCTGCATTTACCACAGTCTGGAACCGCGACAGGTGATGATTTTCGAGGATCTGGTGCCACAGGGATACACCGTTATCCGGGATCGTCCTGCCACCAAAGAGGAACTGAAGAAAGTCTTCTCCAAGTTGGCCAAATGGCATGCAGTCAGCATGAAAGTTATAAATGAGGTAATTAACCGCATTATTTGGGAAATATTAAATACCATTTAAATCTATTATTTTCCCCTTTAGAGACCGGACTTCCTTAAAGAATTTAAATATGGTATGTGGGACATGACCGAATTTTTGAACGATCCAATGGTGACCTCTGGGTTGCCCTGCTTTATTGAAATGCTGGATAAAGTTCCGGAACTCATGAAGTACAAGCCATATTTTGAAAAGATAAAGGAAAACTACATTCAGCGGATGAGTGAAATTATGCTGGAGTACCGCAACGGTCCGCAGGCAAATAGGTATTATGTGCTGTGCCACGGGGATTTCCATATTCGCAATATGATGTTCAAGAACAACAAGAAAACCGGAGCCTTCGAGGACGTTATGCTGGTGGATTTTCAGATCAGCAATGTGTGTCCCATCACCGTCGACCTCACTTACTCAGTTTACATGCTCATGGAATCGGAGGAGCGCTGTGAACTGGGAAAGGACTTTATCAATTATTATTTCACCGTATTGGAGGACACACTCCAAAAAGTGGGTTTCAAGGGTGAGATGCCCACTCAGAGTGGGTTGTGGGAGCATATTCGTGGTCATAGATATTATGGTAAGCGGAATAAAATATATAAAAAACTTAATTATAATTTGTTCATTCAAATTCCTCGTTGCAGACTTCTTCCTGATGACCTCCTTCCTGGGCATGATGCTCGCCATTAAAACCAAAAGTTTAAAATTGACCGATTTAATTTTGGATCCCGAAACAAGGCAGAAGAGTTATTTCTTAGATGCTTTCCTTAAAGATGTTAAGACCTTGTTGCCTAAATTTGAAAAATTGGGATATTTTGAAAATTTATAACTTAGATACTTGTTACTAAAAATTGTAATTTCTTAGCAATTAAATGAAATTAATAAACAACAATTATAAGGAAATACTACTGCTCTTATCACTTCATTTCAAACTAACATCGCCATGGACTAGAGCAATTTGCAGCTGATTGCCTAGGACTTATCAAAAATTATGGTCGTGTCTCTCGAGCTTTTGAGTTTAACTGATAGTCATGCTTACTAAACAAACAGAACAACGTATTTGTTTCCGTGTTTGCAAGGAACCATTTCGCAACAGGTGCTTCCAGCAAATGAAAATATTTTGGTTTTTCATGAAACTTTTGAATGGTTATTTCATCATACCCTACAAAATTTCGAATTTAATTTTGGAAGAATCAGACTAATATCGTAAAACTTCCATAGGAAATGAATTTGAAAATATAATTGCTGTGTTGATTCTGATCGTTTTTCGTAAAAAGTATTTGTTTTATATTTTAGAGTTACAAAATAAATTTCAAAAATTGGACCACTATTTTATAATTGTAATAGTATATTGTTATAATTTTTAAATTTTATAGAAACGATCTGCAAGGGTATATAAACTTCGGCTTTGCAAGTTCGATTCCTTCCTTGATTTTAGATTACCAGTGATCAAGAGGTATTTATCCTACTGATAAGATAGATGAGTACGTGTATTTCACACAAAATTGAAAAGTTTAAGTTCAAAAAAGCTCAAACCGCTTTCGAAAGCTCACTCGGCCAACCTTTAAAACGAGCGAATACCCAATTGATGTTAGTATAACCAGCTTGCACAGTATTCCGAATAGTTGTAGATTCCGAGACCGCGAAACGAAAATGCCAGATAACGCAGATACAGAACAGTTCAATGCCGACGAGCTGGAGGCTCCGACGTGGCTGAATGCCCAGTTCATTGGTGACGTTCTCAGCAATTACGAAAAGTGCCCAGAACTGAAAGTAACCGATCTTAAAATCACACCCGCAAGTGCTCAGGGAGATCACTATGCCAGCGTTATGTTCCGCACTACGGCGGAGTATACCACCGCGAAGGGAAAGTTCTCCAAGCCCCTTATCATCAAGACAATGCCCGAGCAGGAAGGTCACAAGAAGGATATGCTGAGCGAATCGCATTTGTTCTCCACCGAAATTGGGGCCTACACCAAGGCTCTACCCGAGTTCGAAAGGATTCTTCGGGAGGCGGGCGATAATACAAAGCTATATGTCCCGTGCATCTATCACAGTCTAGAGCCTAGACAGGTGATGATATTCGAGGATCTGGTGCCACAGGGATACTCTGTCATTCGGAATCGTCCTGTCAAAGAGGAGGAACTGAAAACAGTATTTTCCAAATTGGCCAAATGGCATGCTGTTAGCATGAAAGTTATGAACGAGCAGCCCGATTTCTTGAAAGAATTCAAATATGGCTTGATTGAGATGCCCACCTTGATGTCCGATCCCATGGTCACCAGTGGAATGGGTAGTTTCATAAGAATGCTAGAAAAGACTCCTGAACTTGGAAAGTACAAGCCGTACTTTGAGAAAATAAAGGACGACTACATGCAGAGAATGGCTGATGTGCTGCAGGAGTACCGTAAAAATATCAAATCCGATGGATATTACGTGATGTGTCATGGGGATTTCCATTTGCGTAATATGATGTTCAAGGAAAACGGAGATGTGATGTTCGTGGACTTCCAAATCTGTAATCTGTGTCCCATCACTATCGATCTGACTTATTCGGTCTACATGCTTATGAACCCAGAGCAGCGATGGGATCTCGGCAAAGATCTTATCAACTATTATTTCTCCGTTCTGGAGGAAACCCTGAAGAAAGTGGGCTACAAGGGCGAATTGCCCACTCAAGCTGGTCTCTGGAAGCAAATTCACCGTCACAAGTTCTATGGTAAGTTACTATATCTACTTTCTGTTTTTAATTACTAACTCGAATCTTTTGACCAACAGACTTTTTCCTCATGACCACTTTTCTGCCAATGATTCTGGCCATTAAAGAAAACAAGCTGAAAATGAACGAAATAATTCAGGACTCAGAAACCAGAGAATTAGCCTTTTCATTCGATTTCTTTGTTGATGAAATCAAAAAGCTTCTACCCAAATTCGAAGAATTGGGATACTTTAAGGATCTGTAAGGCAGGTGGCGAATCGATAAATAGCTTTTCAAAATTGTGATATTGCTATAAAAGATTGAAATTTCTAGGTGCTAAATAATTGTATATGTATATATGTTTAGCCCCCATTTAGGATTAATTTTTAATATAATTTTATAACAATTGTCGATACTATATTTGTTTGTGTGAAAATACTCATGTGTCTGCAAAAATAAAAGCTTACTCTATCTGGAAGCCCAAATACTTTTGATCGAATGTAAGGTTCTTTGTTTAAGTGCTCTCTATATGTCAATTTCTCTCCTCGGTTCATTCAGTTAAATATCCAAGAATCCGGACAGCTCGAACTCCTTGATGGTTCGCTGCAGGAAAGCCCGGTACTTGGGATTCTCGACATTTTCCCGCCGGAAACGATCGCCGTCCTCAGTGCGCGAGTTCAGATCCTCGAGGTTCTCGAAGCCAGCTTCCTCCCGGAAAATCAGGGGAGTCAGGCAGGTGGCACCGATGACACCTGAAAGAGTAGATCATTAGCATTTATATATTGAAGTAATGAGAAGTAAACTTACCCATTAGGCTGGTGTGGATCATCTCGATGTGGAGTTCCTTGAGGGTGGGAATGTGTCCCTTGTAGTTCAGCTTCTGCAGTGTCTCTGTAAGCGCCCTCTGGTACTTCAGAACGATATACTTGAAGTGAACCTTGCGAACATTCTCGTTCAAGGAACCGTAGAGGAAGTAGTTGAGATCAATGGTTGGGGATCCCACGTAGGCCAACTGGAAGTCCAGCTGGAATGCAAAATGGTATATAAATATTTATTAATTTTCTTTTCTAATAAAAGAATAACAATTTTAGAGCTTGAAAAATATCGATATTTCCGATAAACATCGAAGTTTGAAACATATCGATAATTTCGATGTTTGAAAAATATCGATAATTTCGATGTTTTTGCAGCTCCTATTTAAATACCTACCGCAATCACATCGTCTGGCTCCTTGGTCTCATTGTTGATATGGAACAAGAGATTGTTGATCCACATGTCGGTGAGGTTAAAGACGCGGAACTCCTTGCCGGTGGACTCGAACATGGCCAAAGCCCTTTGCAGGACGTTCTCGGCCAGCTTGAACATCTTCTCGGTGATCTCCTCGTAGCCCTTCCAGTGGGCCACCTCCTCGGCGACGCATCTTATGTTCACGGGGAAGAAGGTGAGGAAGTCGCGGCGATCAGGATTCCGGGAAATGGGCGCCTCGTCGAAGAACTCCAGTACCTCGGGGTTGTCCTGGGCGATGACGGCGCTGGCGGCATGCAGCTTGGCCAACTTCTCGATGGTGGGCAGTACGTAGTCCAGGTTCAGCAGACGACCCCGCTCGAAATTCTCAAAGCCCGACTGTTGCATATCCTCCAGAATCAGAAAGGGTTCCGGCGATTCCGTGGTGTAGTAGCATGTGGGTGCGATTTTCGTTTGATCTCCGATAGATTGGAGGAGGGCCTGTACCCGCGGCAGCACCTCCTTGTAGGCCAGAATCTCGCGCTTGAAGAGCTTACTCCGCTGAGCCACTGCACCCGTCTGCCCCTTGGGATGATCCTTCACAATCACCGAGAACTTGCTCTTCGGCGCCGAACCCCGCTGAAGATTGAAGCTGGCCCGGTGCATTTCACTGGCGAATCCCGCCGCCTGGTCACCAACTTGGGCGCTCTTCACCAGCAACTCGGTGACTGCCAGCTGCTCCTCCTTGAAGTGCTCCTTCAGCACATCCTGCAGGAACTCCGCGGTTAGCCATTCCGGAGCCTGGTAGTTCTTGCTGCCGGTTCCCATTATTTATTTTTTGTTTTTTTTTCAAGTCACCTGACCGCACCGAATGGAAGAAAAAAACCGAGAGCAGAGCAGCTGAGCAACAACTTAATATGGGGGCTATCGAATCAAGAATGTGGGGCGAAACATGTGACGGCTGGGAGAATGATAGAGCTTCCATAAAGCTCTCTCTGTTTTTAGCTGGCTTATCAGCTGATTTAGGTATATATAATATGTACAATGTATATTGTACATGAGAGAGCTACCAAGCATGTGGCACTCAAAACCAGTTTGTGGATAAATGTGGAACGAATCTTGTGGATACTGTTGGCTGATAACAAAGACTGTGCTCCCATTTCCATATTTCTTGGAACAGCAAAATATAAAATGACTCAGTATAACTGAGTTAGTATTAAATATTTATTTCTATAAATAAGAAATAAAATAAATGAAACGTTTCATGATTCTTATTATCGATTTATTACTGTTCTATTTAACAGAGATAAACAAAACGTGATCTGAATACAGGCACCTGTTGCGATAAGCTTCAATGACTTGACAACCGTTTGCTATATTTGATCTAATTATTAACGAAAATGTGAATCGAAAATAGCTTGAATTTATTATTTCTTTAAATAAAAAATCGATTTTTGTAAAAGTTAATGTTGAAGCTAACGGCCTTCGTTTTGGATAGGGTATAGAGATATGATAAGGCAATATAATAAAATACTTTTACATTAGCTTGAAATATATTGTACAACTAAGTAAAAATTTGTGTGTGTTTAGTGATTACCGGTTTGTTCGGTTAAATTCTAAGTTTCGCTTTTAATTCGGAATAAAGTGTATAAAAATATCAGACAGGGCTATTAGTTATAAGTACATAGATGACTAGCTTTAAAAGTCCAGGATTCCACGCCTGTAAAGGAAGGGGAATATGCTGAGTGCAGCGCGGACGTAGAGGGGATTTGTGTAGACCTTCGACCGGAAGCGATCTCCTTCCTCTCCGGGCTGCATAAGCTTCACTAAGCTGGCCTCCGTGTCCACCGGCAACAGGATAAATACCAAATGGGTAAAGGTGTTAAAGTAACCTGGAAAAAAGGTCAAATTAAACACAAATTATAGCATCGTCTCCTAAAAACTCACCCCAAAAACCATATTTGATCATGTTCATATGCAGTTCCCTTAGCATCGGCATTCTTTCTCCATATTTAAGGATCTTCAGGCAGCGCACAAGGTGAGTATGGTATATCCTGATGAAGCAGTCGAAGTTTTGTATCCTTATACTGTGACGGGCCGAGCAAATGATGAGTTCCCACAGGTCCTGAGCCGGACTGCCCCATTTGCACAGCTGGAAGTCCACGAAGCGCAGTTGATTGATTTCACCAGATTGAGTATAGCTTAGCATAATGTTGCTGGACCAAAAGTCGCCATGATTGAGAACCTTGAACTCCTGCGGATTGTTATTGAAACAGCGGGCGTAGGATTGCACAAATTGATCGGCAGTGGGCTGTGTAAAAAAAAATATATATTAAAAAATGAATAAAATATGTATTTTGTAAACTTTTTTTGTACTCACTATGCGACTCACGTACTGCTCGTGATCGGTGAGACCCCAACTGGCCATTGCTGTTTTAAAACTCTGGAGTCGCGCCTGATACGACTTGGATCGATTGTAGTTGGCGGGCAGGTAAATCCTCTGAAAATCCTCGGGAAAGGGTCCTTTGCGCTGACGCCAAACGGCACTTGCCGCATGAAATTCGGCTAATTTCTCCAGGACTCGTTGCATATGAACCATGTCGAAACCCTTCAGTCGATTAATATTGCGGTACTTTTTCGTTTGCAGATCCTCCTGCACCAAGCAAATCCTTCCCTTAATGTCCTCCGCCCAGTGGCATTTGGGTGCGAACTTTACACTCAGTCCAGCCTCCTCGTATAAGGATTCCAAATTCGGTATGATCGTCTCGTACATCATCTTTTCCTTGGGAAATATATTTAGGGTATTTACAAAGCCACCATTTCCCTGGGCATCGTCCAGCATCGTCTTTACTATGTACGACTTTTGCTGTGAGAATCCATCTGTCAAAAAATAGGTTAATTGTTTTAAATATTTGATTTAAAGATTAGGATTTTATAAAATGAAATATTACTCATTGCTTCAGATGAGGTTCTATAATTAGAATAAGTATAATAGCAAATGACAAACGACAGTGATTAGAACTTATTGCTAATCGAATCGATTCTCATTACATTTCACATGAAGTCAAGAATAAATATTCTTGCAAAAATGGTCAGAAAACCATTTTGTTTAGATTTTACGAGTCTAACGAGGCATGCCATTCCAAGTTTAGACAATATAGTATAATATTAAAATATTTTTTGTGACAATTTTTCCGTATAATAATCCTTTTTATGGCTGATCTAACTTTTTTCTATTAACAGGCAACAGTGCGTATGAGTGATAAAAATAAATCATTTTGAAGAACAGTTGATTTGTATAGCTTTTGAACAAAAGGTGTATATTGAAATGTTTATAAGGGGTAAAGTTCGAAGCTAATAAATGTTATTTAACGTGAATAGTGTAGATGACCGCCCCCTTTTTCTCACCTTTCATCTCGATGTCGATGACGATGCGCATCAGCAGCGAGGTGTAGGTCTCTCCGGGCGGCGTGGCCGGTATAATCGAGAGGTTCAGGATGCGCCGAAACTCCCGAAAATCCCGCTTGAGCAGCCGCTTGAAGTAGGCCTCATTGATCCAGTCCGGAATGCGGACATCGCTGGATTTGCAGAACTTGTTGCTGTTATCGGGCATTTTTCGCTGGGATTCCGCCGGAGTGAGCTCACTGCCCACCGATCGTATCTTTTCGGATCGGATCGAAACGGTTATGCGTTGTTCCCGGTCCGAAGTGTGCGGCGCAACTGTTTTGCCTCGCCGCTCCTTATCGAGAATGTTTTTCTTGTTTGAGCGACGCGATGTTATTTTTGTTTTACTGCACGCACAGCAACAACAAAAAACAAAACAACCGCAGTACGTCGAGGTGGGTGAGGTGCGCACTTATCAACGCCCCGAAAGCAATGCCGATTGCCCGTCCAACTGGTTCGTCAACAGCTGGTAAACTGAGCATCGTCTGGCCCAAAGACTCTCCCAGGAGACAGTGGGTGATAATTGGTATGGGTAGAGCTTTCCCCCTCGAACACCCCGAACGGTCAAGCAGTGCAGCAGGCGCCGGTCTTATCAGCAGTGATGGGAATACCTGATAACCTGACAGTCCGGGGAGCCGCAAAAGCTCTGGAAATCTAAAAATTCTTAACACATTTTTTATTTAAAATATTTTAAAAAATTAAAAATAATTATTATTTAAATCTCCACAAAAAATATATATTTTTAACCTTGCTCGTAAGAATTTTTATACATATGTATATCTCTTGAAGTGCACACTATTTAACTTGGCTATCACTTTAGAGCTTTTATCAGCTTCTTGATGTAGATACGGTGAGTACGTGATAAGAAGACACACCATATTTTATTATCTCAAAGTTTAATATGCAAAAGAAAAATAAATGTACAAAAATTAAAATTAATTTTATTTAGATAAGTTCTACTATTTTTAAGAAAATATTTAAATGCAAGTATTTCGAAAGCTGAAAAACTATTTCAAGGTCTTCCCGTTTCAATTGCGCTGCAGTCGCGGCATTCGCCATGAAAAACTCGTATAAACCAGAATCAATATTCGCACACAATTTATTTAATGGAATCGTATGCAGGCTGCAGTTGAGGAGGAATGAACTTCCAATCAGTCAAAGTCTTCGAAATTGAAGAGACCGCGGTTGCAGCAGAAGGGATAAAACTCTCTGATGACCTCCACGAAGGCAGGATTTGTGTAGGATCGGTTTCGGAACTGCCTGCCCTCTTCGTCCTTTGAAATGAGGGTGTGCAGGTTGCTTTCCTTGCAGCTGGGCAGCAAATGGGTGGGCAAGTGATTTATCACGGGAAAGAAAACTAAGGAAATATGGGATATTATTTAGTAAATTGTTCAAGATCCCTTTTGTTTAAAGAAATTTTTACCAGAGAATGTGTTATTTTTCTTAAAGATGGCCGACTGCAGCTCCCTCAGTTGAGGCATCGGCTTTTCGTAATTCAGCACTCTCAAGCAGTCGATGAGATATTCCCAATAGATTCTTATAAAATTATCAAATTCCCTGACGCGCAAATCCTTCTCCGCCGAAAGGGTTATCATCATTAGAAGATCCTGTGCTGGACTTGCCCATTTGCAGATCTGAAAGTCCAGTAGGAGTGCACCACATAAAGAGCCATAATCATCATACTTGTACAGAATGTTGCTGGCAGAAAAGTCGCCATGGGTGAGGACATTGAAATCCTGGGGATCCACATTGAGGGCTTCCAAACAGAGTTTGCCATACTGCTCAGTGGTGGGCTATAATGAAATCTATTATATCTATATTTTATCAGGAAAATCAAATAGAATCCTTACGAAATTCTTAAGGTAACGCCCATCCATGCCCCAAGTTCGCATGGCTGCCTTGTAATCGGGAGCCTTTGTTTCGAAGCCACTCACGCTATGTTTGAGATTATCCTTCTTGGTGAATCCATGCTCAAAGTCGGGGTGGTAGGATCCATTTCGATCTTTGTAGATAACACTTGCGGCATGCAGCTCGGCCAACTTTCGAAGAGATACTCGCATATGCTCCATATTCACCCCTTTGTTTCGATCTGCACCCACATAGTTTTGGGCAGAAAGATCTTCAAATATGAAATAGAGGTTTCCCTCTATCTCTCCGATTTCCAAGCATTTTGGCATCAGCTGCACTGGATGTCCAGCCTCGCGATAGATTTTCTCAAACTCGGGTAAGTAAGTGGAGTACATCAGCTGCTCCTTCTGAAAGTAGCGCATCTCATCCACTGCCTTGCCACCCCTATCTGAATTCAGGGTGGTCTTGACCACATACGACTTTCTTTTTTGAGTTCCATCTGAAGAATACTCCATACCTTTCACATTGGTGTTTACTATATAACCCAAAGCACTTTACCTTTCATTTCTAAATCCAAGTAAACACGAAACATGACTGATGTAAAATTTCCTCCTGGCGGCACAGCAGCCACTGAGGTAAACTTAAAAATCTTGGTATAATTAGGTTCATCCTTAGCCAGCAAGGACTCAAATTTAGACTTATTTAACCATTTCGGTGTAACGAGACTCTCGTTGGGGTTCTCGATCTTCTCGGGGCACGACATGATTTCAACTGATTTAAAGGGGAAACATTATGTTTAGTTTATCTTGAAAAGATAACAATTCACAGCTTTTTCGAAATGTAAATAAACATTTTTATGGAATTATGATGACTAGAACATTTTCGTAAGCTAACTAAGACTTTTGCAGATAGTCACTCCAAAAACACTGAACCTCTTATATCTAAACTAACCATCAACTTGACTCGAGTCAAAGTCATTTTGACAAGCTACACACTTATTCGACACTCCAAGATAAACATGATTTCGTAATACCTATCTATCGTTTATTGCCTGTCAACAAAATCACTCATCGTAGTCATCAAAGTTTAGAATTCCGCGGTTATATAAAAAGGGATAGAGCTCCTTCATAACATTTCCGAAGGCGGGATTGGAGAGCAAACGCATTCGAAGACTCTCTCCTTCCTCCGTTTCAGCGGTCATGTTGTGCAAATTGCTGTCCTTATCGGTAGGGAACAGGATAATGGGCAGGTGATTTGTCAGACTGAAGAAAGCTGCAGGAGAATCACTTGGTTAAGTAAATGAATAATAATAATTTCGTTTAGAACTGACCGTAAAACGAATGGTGCTTGTTGTTCATGGAGCTTTGCAGGTCGCGTAGTTTTGGCAGCGACTTCTTCAGTTTTAAAACCTTTAAGCACTCGATCAGGCGTTCCCAGTAAATTCTCACAAAGTGATCGAACTCCTTGATACGCAATTCCGTGGCTGGGGAGAGGGTGAGGAAGAAGAGCAGGTCCACCGCTGGACTGCCCCATGTGGTGATCTGGAAGTCGATCAGTATGAGCTTATCGAGACTTCCGTCGGGCAGATAGCTGCTCATCAGATTGCTAGACCAAAAGTCGCCGTGATTAAGAACTTTGAACTCTTCGGGATCCTGATCCAAAGTGCTAAGGCATTGGGCCCAATATTACTCGGCAGTGGGCTGTATAAAAATAGAAGATATTGACATATCGTTAACTGTCTTAATTATCTTAAACTTACAAAGTCCTTGACATATTTCTCAGCATCTTTCATGCCCCAACAAATCAAATTTGATTTCAAATCATGATTCTAATCAATTGAATTGATTTGATTTGAATTGATTTGATTTCAAATCATTTGATTTCAAATCATGATTCATTTGATTTCAAATCATGATTCAAATCAAATCAAATCAATTCAAATGATTTGAAATAAAATCAAATGATTTGAAATCAAATCAAATCAATTCAAATCAAATTTCAAATCATTTGATTTCAAATCATGATTCATTTGATTTCAAATCATGATTCAAATGATTTGAATTGATTTGATTTGATTTCAAATCATTTGATTTCAAATCATGATTCATTTGATTTGACTTGATTTGATTTCAAATCATGATTCAATTCAAATCAAACTTGATTTCAAATCATGATTCAAATAAATCAATTCAAATGATTTGAAATCAAATCAAATTTGAAATAATTTGAAATCAAATCAAATTTCAAATCATTTGATTTCAAATCATGATTTGAATCATGATTCATTTGAATCATGATTTGAAACCAAATGAATCATAATTTGAAATCAAATGATTTGAAATCAAATCAAATCAATGATTCAATGATTTCAAATCATGATTCAAATCAAATCAAATCAATGATTCAATGATTTCAAATCATGATTCAAATCAAATCAAATTTGATTTCAAATCATTTGAATTGAAATCAAATGATTTGAAATTTGATTTGATTTGATTTCAAATCATTTGATATTTCAAATCATTTGAATTGATTTGAATCATGATTCATTTGATTTCAAATCATGATTCATTTGATTTCAAATCATTTGAATTGATTTGATTTGATTTGAATCATGATTTGATTTGAATCATGATTTGAAATCAAATAAATCATGATTCAAATCAATTCAAATGATTTGAAATAATCAAATCAAATCAAATGATTTGAAATCAAATCAATTCAAATCAAATCAAATCAAATCAATGATTTCAAATCATGATTCAAATCAAATCAAATTTGATTTCAAGTCATGATTCAAATCAAATCAAATCAATTCAAATGATCAAATCAAATTTGATTTCAAATCATTTGAATTAATTTGATTTCAAATCATTTGAATTGATTTGATTTGAAATGATTTCATGAATCATGATTTGAAATCAAATGAATCAAATCAATGATTCAATTGATTTGAAATCATTGAATCATTGATTTGAAACCAAATGAATCATTTCAAATCATGATTCATTTGATTTCAAATGAATCATTTCAAATCAAATGAATCATGATTTGAAATCAAATCAAATCAAATCAATGATTCAATGATTTCAAATCATGATTCAAATTCATTTGATTTCAAATCATTTGAATTGATTTGATTTGATTTGAAATCAAATGAATCATGATTTGAAATCAAATGATTTGAAATTTGATTTGATTTGATTTCAAATCAAATCAAAATTTGATGAATCATGATTTGAAACCAAATGAATCATGATTCAAATGATTTGAAATCAAATCAAATTTCAAATCAAATGATTTGAAATCAAATCAAATCAAATTTCAAATCATTTGATTTCAAATCATGATTCATTTGATTTCAAATCATGATTCATTTGATTTCAAATCATGATTCAAATCAAATCAAATCAATTCAAATGATTCGAAATCAAATGAATCATGATTTGAAATCAAATGAATCATGATTTGAAATTTGAATCATGATTTGAAATCATTGAATCATTGATTTGATTTGATTTGAATTCATTTGATTTCAAATCATGATTCATTTGATTTGGAATCATGATTTGAAACCAAATCAAATCATTTGAAACCAAATGAATCATTTCAAATCATGATTCATTTGATTTGATTTGATTTGAATTGATTTGATTTCAAATCATGATTCAAATCAAATCAATTCAAATGGTTCAAATCAAATCAATTCAAATGATTTGAAATAAAATCAAATGATTTGAAATCATATGAATCATGATTTGAAATCAAATGAATCATGATTTGAAATGATTTGATTTGAATTGATTTGATTTGAATCATGATTTGAAATCATTGAATCATTGATTTGAAACCAAATGAATCATTTCAAATCATGATTCATTTAATTTCATGATTCAAATCATTATTCAAATGATTTAAAATCAAATGAATCATGATTTGAAATTTGAATCATGATTTGAAATCATTGAATCATTGATTTGATTTGAATTGATTTGATTTCAAATCATTTGATTTCAAATCATTCGAATTGATTTGATTTATATTGATTGATTTATGATTGATATTTATTGCTTGGGAAATTAACATTCATTTGAAGTCGGAAAATAATAAGACAAGATAAGATATCAAACATATTTAGTAAAATATCATATATTGAAGACTATTCATTTATTAATTTTAGCATAAATCGAAATCCAATGTCATAGAACTCATAACTTCAAAACATCTTTAATGGCTTGTTAAATTTTAAATTGATTTTTATTGTTTCCACCCAGAATTTATTATGTTATTGTACAAAAACCATATTTGGAATTAATTTCAGATAATCAAATCAAATCAAATCAAATCATTTGATTTCAAATCATGATTCATTTGATTTCAAATCATGATTCAAATCAAATCAAATCAATTCAAATGATTTGAAATCAAATGAATCATGAAATCAAATCAATTCAAATCAAATGATTTGAAATCAAATCAAATCAAATTTCAAATCATTTGATTTCAAATTATGATTCATTTGATTTCAAATCATGATTCATTTGATTTCAAATCATGATTCAAATCAAATCAAATCAATTCAAATGATTTGAAATCAAATGAATCATGATTTGAAATCAAATGAATCATGATTTGAAATTTGAATCATGATTTGAAATCATTGAATCATTGATTTGATTTGATTTGAATTCATTTGATTTCAAATCATGATTCATTTGATTTGGAATCATGATTTGAAACCAAATTAAATCATTTGAAACCAAATGAATCATTTCAAATCATGATTCATTTCATTTGATTTGATTTGAATTGATTTGATTTCAAATCATGATTCAAATCAAATCAATTCAAATGATTTGAAATAAAATCAAATGATTTGAAATCATATGAATCATGATTTGAAATCAAATGAATCATGATTTGAAATGATTTGATTTGAATTGATTTGATTTCAATGATTCAAATTTCAAATCATGATTCAAATTTCAAATCATGATTCATTTGATTTCAAATCATGATTCATTTGATTTCAAATCATGATTCAAATCAAATCAAATCAATTCAAATGATTCGAAATCAAATGAATCATGATTTGAAATCAAATGAATCATGATTTGAAATTTGAATTCAAATGATTTGAAATAAAATCAAATGATTTGAAATCATATGAATCATGATTTGAAATCAAATGAATAATGATTTGAAATGATTTGATTTGAATTGATTTGATTTGAATCATGATTTGAAATCATTGAATCATTGATTTGAAACCAAATGAATCATTTCAAATCATGATTCTTTTAATTTCATGATTCAAATCATTATTCAAATGATTTAAAATCAAATGAATCATGATTTGAAATTTGAATCATGATTTGAAATCATTGAATCATTGATTTGATTTGATTTGAATTGATTTGATTTGAATCATGATTTGAAATCATTGAATCATTGATTTGAAACCAAATGAATCATTTCAAATCATGATTCATTTGATTTCAAATGAATCATTTCAAATCAAATGAGTCATGATTTGAAATCAAATGAATTCAAATCAAATCAATGATTCAATGATTTCAAATCATGATTCAAATTTCAAATCATGATTCATTTGATTTCAAATCATGATTCATTTGATTTCAAATCATTTGAATTGATTTGATTTGATTTGAATCATGATTTGAAATCAAATGAATCATGATTTGAAATCAAATGATTTGAAATTTGAATCATGATTTGAAATCATTGAATCATTGATTTGATTTGATTTGAATTCATTTGATTTCAAATCATGATTCATTTGATTTGGAATCATGATTTGAAACCAAATCAAATCATTTGAAACCAAATGAATCATTTCAAATCATGATTCATTTGATTTGATTTGATTTGAATTGATTTGATTTCAAATCATGATTCAAATCAAATCAATTCAAATGGTTCAAATCAAATCAATTCAAATGATTTGAAATAAAATCAAATGATTTGAAATCATATGAATCATGATTTGAAATCAAATGAATCATGATTTGAAATGATTTGATTTGAATTGATTTGATTTGAATCATGATTTGAAATCATTGAATCATTGATTTGAAACCAAATGAATCATTTCAAATCATGATTCATTTAATTTCATGATTCAAATCATTATTCAAATGATTTAAAATCAAATGAATCATGATTTGAAATTTGAATCATGATTTGAAATCATTGAATCATTGATTTGATTTGAATTGATTTGATTTCAAATCATTTGATTTCAAATCATTCGAATTGATTTGATTTATATTGATTGATTTATGATTGATATTTATTGCTTGGGAAATTAACATTCATTTGAAGTCGGAAAATAATAAGACAAGATAAGATATCAAACATATTTAGTAAAATATCATATATTGAAGACTATTCATTTATTAATTTTAGCATAAATCGAAATCCAATGTCATAGAACTCATAACTTCAAAACATCTTTAATGGCTTGTTAAATTTTAAATTGATTTTTATTGTTTCCACCCAGAATTTATTATGTTATTGTACAAAAACCATATTTGGAATTAATTTCAGATAATCAAATCAAATCAAATCAAATCATTTGATTTCAAATCATGATTCATTTGATTTCAAATCATGATTCAAATCAAATCAAATCAATTCAAATGATTTGAAATCAAATGAATCATGAAATCAAATCAATTCAAATCAAATGATTTGAAATCAAATCAAATCAAATTTCAAATCATTTGATTTCAAATTATGATTCATTTGATTTCAAATCATGATTCATTTGATTTCAAATCATGATTCAAATCAAATCAAATCAATTCAAATGATTTGAAATCAAATGAATCATGATTTGAAATCAAATGAATCATGATTTGAAATTTGAATCATGATTTGAAATCATTGAATCATTGATTTGATTTGATTTGAATTCATTTGATTTCAAATCATGATTCATTTGATTTGGAATCATGATTTGAAACCAAATTAAATCATTTGAAACCAAATGAATCATTTCAAATCATGATTCATTTCATTTGATTTGATTTGAATTGATTTGATTTCAAATCATGATTCAAATCAAATCAATTCAAATGATTTGAAATAAAATCAAATGATTTGAAATCATATGAATCATGATTTGAAATCAAATGAATCATGATTTGAAATGATTTGATTTGAATTGATTTGATTTCAATGATTCAATGATTTCAAATCATGATTCAAATTTCAAATCATGATTCATTTGATTTCAAATCATGATTCATTTGATTTCAAATCATGATTCAAATCAAATCAAATCAATTCAAATGATTCGAAATCAAATGAATCATGATTTGAAATCAAATGAATCATGATTTGAAATTTGAATTCAAATGATTTGAAATAAAATCAAATGATTTGAAATCATATGAATCATGATTTGAAATCAAATGAATAATGATTTGAAATGATTTGATTTGAATTGATTTGATTTGAATCATGATTTGAAATCATTGAATCATTGATTTGAAACCAAATGAATCATTTCAAATCATGATTCTTTTAATTTCATGATTCAAATCATTATTCAAATGATTTAAAATCAAATGAATCATGATTTGAAATTTGAATCATGATTTGAAATCATTGAATCATTGATTTGATTTGATTTGAATTGATTTGATTTGAATCATGATTTGAAATCATTGAATCATTGATTTGAAACCAAATGAATCATTTCAAATCATGATTCATTTGATTTCAAATGAATCATTTCAAATCAAATGAATCATGATTTGAAATCAAATGAATTCAAATCAAATCAATGATTCAATGATTTCAAATCATGATTCAAATTTCAAATCATGATTCATTTGATTTCAAATCATGATTCATTTGATTTCAAATCATTTGAATTGATTTGATTTGATTTGAATCATGATTTGAAATCAAATGAATCATGATTTGAAATCAAATGAATCATGATTTGAAATCAAATGATTTGAAATTTGATTTGATTTGATTTCAAATCATTTGATTTTATTTCAAATCATTTGAATTGATTTGATTTGAATCATGATTTGAAATCATTGATTTGATTTGATTTGATTTGAATTGATTTGATTTCAAATCATTTGATTTGATTTGATTTGATTTGATTATCTGAAATTAATTCCAAATATGGTTTTTGTACAATAACATAATAAATTCTGGGTGGAAACAATAAAAATCAATTTAAAATTTAACAAGCCATTAAAGATGTTTTGAAGTTATGAGTTCTATGACATTGGATTTCGATTTATGCTAAAATTAATAAATGAATAGTCTTCAATATATGATATTTTACTAAATATGTTTGATATCTTATCTTGTCTTATTATTTTCCGACTTCAAATGAATGTTAATTTCCCAAGCAATAAATATCAATCATAAATCAATCAATATAAATCAAATCAATTCGAATGATTTCAAATCAAATGATTTGAGATCAAATCAATTCAAATCAAACCAAATCAAATCAAATCAATCATTTGATTTGATTTGATTTGATTTTAAATCATTAGATTTTATTTCAAATCATTTGAATTGATTTGATTTGATTTGAATGTATTATTTTTCTTATAAATGGCAGACTGCAGGTCCCTCAGTTGAGGCAGCGGCTTTTCGTACTTCAGCACTCTCAAACAGTCGATGAGATATTCCCAATAGATTCTTACAAAATTATCAAATTCCCTGACGCGCAAATCCTTCTCCGCTGAAAGGGTTATCATCATTAGCTGCTCCTTCTGAAAGTAGCGCATCTCATCCACTGCCTTGCCACCCCTATCTGAATTCAGGGTGGTCTTGACCACATACGACTTTCTTTTTTGATTTCCATCTAAAGAACACTCCATATCTTTCACATTGATTTTTACTATACAACCCAAAGCACTTTACCTTTCATTTCTAAATCCAAATAAACACGAAACATGACTGATGTAAAATTTCCTCCTGGCGGCACAGCAGCCACAGAGGTAAACGTAACAATCTTGGTATAATCAGGTTCATCCTTTGCGAGCAAGGACTCAAATTTGCACTTATTTAACCATTTCGGTGTAACGAGACTCTCGTTGGGGTTCTCGATCTTCTCGGGGCACGACATGATTTCAACTGATTTAAAGGGGAAACATTATATTTAGTTTATCTCGAAAAGATAAGTCATACTGATAAGCTACACACTTATTCGACACTCCAAGATAAACATGATTTCGTAATACCTATCTATCGTTTATTGCCTGTCAACAAAATCACTCATCGTAGTCTTCAAAGTTTAGAATTCCGCGGTTATACAAAAAGGGATAGAGCTCCTTCATAACATTTCCGAAGGCGGGATTGGAGAGCAAACGCATTCGGAGATTCTCTCCTTCCTCCGTTTCAGCGGTCATGTTGTGCAGATTGCTGTCCTTATCGGTGGGGAACAGGATAATGGGCAGGTGATTTGTCAAACTAAAGAAAGCTGCAGGAGAATCACTAGTTTTAGTAATTGAATAATAACAATTTCGTTTAGAACTGACCATAAAACGAATGGTGCTTGTTGTTCATGGAGCTTTGCAGATCGCGTAGTTTTGGCAGCGGCTTCTTCAGTTTCAAAACCTTTAAGCACTCGATCAGGCGTTCCCAGTAAATTCTCACAAAGTGATCGAACTCCTTGATACGCAATTCCGTGGCTGGGGAGAGGGTGAGGAAGAAGAGCAGGTCCACCGCTGGACTGCCCCATGTGGTGATCTGGAAGTCGATCAGTATGAGCTTATCGAGACTTCCGTCGGGCAGATAGCTGCTCATCAGATTGCTAGACCAAAAGTCGCCGTGATTAAGAACTTTGAACTCTTCGGGATCCTGATCCAAAGTGCTAAGGCATTGGGCCCAATATTGCTCGGCAGTGGGCTGTATAAAAATAGAAGATATTGACATATCGTTAACTGTCTTAATTATCTTAAACTTACAAAGTCCTTGACATATTTCTCAGCATCTTTCATGCCCCAAGTGAGCATTGCCATCTTGTAAGCCTTCTCCTTCAGCTTGAACCCATCAATGTGGAATTTTTTCACATCCCGCTTAACGAATCCCTCATTGAAGTCACTGGGATAGGGACCATGCAGCTCCTCGTACACCGCACTGGCCGCATGGTATTCGGCCAACTTGTGGAGGGACTTGGTCATGTGCTCCATGTCCAGACCCTTGGTGCGATCCATGTTCTTGAATCGCTTTACACACAGATCCTCGAAAATGAAGTGAATGTCGCCCTCACGCTCCTCGGTGTGCAGGCACTTGGGCGCCAATTGAAGGTCCCAGCCCGCCTTCTTGTAGAGTTCCTCAAAGGCAGGAATGTAGGTCTCATACATCTTGGCCTCCTTGGGAAAGAGTCCGAACTCGGTGATATCACTGCCTCCCCGCTCCTCGGGCAGCATCGTCTTGAAAATATACGTTTTCGTTTTGACACTACCATCTGAAATACAAAAAAAAAGTATATATCATTTGGATTTGATACTACCATCTAAAATAGTCAGAGAAATTGGTATCTAAACTGTATGCAGCCACTATCAAGCACTATAACTATTAATACCCCTATATGGGGTTTTTATAACTCATAATTAATATGACTATTGACATATGGTTATCACCAACTCACCTTTCATTTCCAACTTAATATAGACCCTCAGCATGGTCGAGGTGAAGTTCTCACCGGGAGGAATGGCCGCCACTACGGTGAATTTCAATACTTTGGCATGATCGGGTTCGTCCTTGGCCAGAACGCCTTCGAAGTACTTTTCATTGATCCAATCGGGAATGATTAGATGCTCATTGGGGTTTACGATCTCGTCGACGTCGGACATTTTGCTATTTAATCTAGTATATTTGGCTAACACAACCTCTTCCGGCACCTGCTAGTTTGGCACTGAATTTGTACACATTTCTAACGCAGCTTTAAAGGGGATTCTCTGAGTTCCCTTATCGATAACTTATTTCATAATGTGGGGTAACACCTATTCGCTGCTCGAGTTTGTCTCCTTGATTATCAAAACTATCTCTTCCATCTTATCAAGCGTGGCTTGATAAATATTTTCAGTGAATCTTCATTATTTTTTATGACTGCTTGGTTGATATAACACCTAAATGACGTATTTAGACATTATGATTATGGGTTATTCTCAATAAAGATTTATTTCATTTGTAAAATATAGTTAGCCTTACGTAAGCCTTAGTGCCATCTAGAAATGTTCCTACCTTATCAGCTAAAAATTTCCTTTTTTAAGAGTATTAAAAAATTGCCATGGTGGAGAATGTTTTTACTTAAGTTTGCTGGCCTTGACAACCAATTGATAGCCCACGAGCGTATTCATTACTCATTAATCAGTGTTTGTTTGCGATACACTATCAACTGTAGTGAGCCAATTTCAATTTGAGAGAGCCTAAAGAACGAACGGTTTTTGTGCGAGTATTTCACCATAAATTATTCAATGAAATTTGTTACAAGTCACATAATTTGTTTGTTTCTACACCGCAGATAGTAAAAATAATTAATTTGACTCACGCACGCCTTCTATGTATATAATTAAGTCACCTGTTTCTTTTTTTTTTTGCCAAGTCATTATTATTGGTAGTTTAAAATTATTTGCGACAGCAATTATTTTTGTTTGCTTTGTTTTGTTTTCGTATCTAGTGTCTAGCCAGTCATCGTGATGTTATGATCTTGTTTGAGTCGTCATCAGTTAAGCGTAAGATTAGTTTGCATAGTGATTGTAGTATAACCAATTAAATCCGGCTAATTATATAAAAATCTCAGTCAAAAATAATTTATACTTTATTTGAGACCCTTAAAAAAATCAATAAATAATACATTTTATCTCCTATTCAAAGTCAATAAAGTTAAAGATTCCTCGCTTGTAGAAAAATGGATAGATCTCCTTCATGAGGCGGCAGAAACTGGGATTTGTGAAGAGGCGCATACGGAATTTATCACCTTCTTCGTCGTCTCGCATAAGGGAATGCAAATTGGATTCTTTGTCGGAGGGGAATTGAATCACAGGCAAGTGATTGGAAACGGCAATAAAAGCTGGAAATAGAATTCACGAAAATGTAAATTATTTGCACATTCAATGAACCTTGCGTTCATGAATTTACCATAGATAGTATTGGTATCCTGGTACAAGGACGTCTGCAGATCGCGCAGTTTGGGAAGAGGTTTCTGGTACTTCAGCAGCTTGAGGCATTCCACCAACCGCTCCCAATAGATTCTGACAAAGTTGTCGAACTCTTTGAGCTTAATATCACTGGCAGCCGAGAGGGTGATGAAGAAGAGCAGATCCTGGGCAGGACTGCCCCATTTGCACAGCTGAAAGTCGACCATGATGACCTCATCGATTTGACCATTGCTCAGATAGTTGCACATGAGATTACTGGACCAAAAGTCACCATGCGTAAGAGTATTGAAGGTTGTGGGATCTGTTTCAAGATTCTTCTCGCACATTTTAGAGTACTGCTTCACTGTAGGCTATTTGGAATATATTTTTAGTAATTTACCAGTTTAAACTTATATAGCTTACTTACAAAGCTCTTGATATATTTTTCTGGTTCCTCCAAGCCCCAAGAAGCCATAGCTTTGGGATAGGTTCTCGCCTTTACCAAGAAACCCTCTTCATGGATCTTCACCTTGTCCCTGCCAATGAATCCCTCCTCGAATTGCGAGGGGATACGGACCATTCTTCTCTGCATAAACCGCTGCAGCCGCATGGAATTCGGCCAGTTTGTGGAGGGATCTCTTCATGTGCTCAAGATCCAGTCCCTGGATGCGATCCACATTCTGGAACTTCTTCACGCCCAGATCCTCGAACACAAAATGGATCCCATTCTCACGTTGATCGGTGTGCAGGCATTTCGGAGAAAGCTGAATCTTTTCTCCGGCGGAACTGTAGAGCTCCTCGAAGGCGGGCAGATACTTTTGGTACATCATAAGTTCCTTGTCGAAAATGCCTCCTTCGCGAATCTCCTTGCCACCACGTTCCTCCGCCAGCATAGTCTTGAAAATGTAGGTCTTGTGCTTGGTGCTGCCATCTGTGGAAATAGAAACAAAATTATTAATTTACTAAAATCCATAACTAATTTCAAAAGCGAATACTAATTAACACATATTAGTGGGGAATAAGACGGGAAGTTATTTCATGAGATCACTATGGACGGCAGTCCATGTAGTGACGAAGCGCACCAGGAGAGTGTGCGAAGGCGACTATCACTATGGACGGCAGTCCATGTAGTGACGAAGCGCACCAGGAGAGTGTGCGAAGGCGACTACTATATATACACGAAGAAATGAAAATCTACTGTGATGGTCCGATCATAATGAATAATACACCTATCGAAAGGTATTGCGAAAACTAACAGGATTGCTTACCAAGACTTTAAGAAAATCAATTGGCTTGGGAGAGAGAGCGGTGAAAGTGAAAAAGTGAAAATTTCGAAATTTGGAGCTGTTGGGGCCGGTGGGGATAAATGCCCCCTTGCAATATTTTAGTTGTATTCCTTTTGAAAATACCCGTCGAATGAAGGGTCATTTGTCAAAATCCGACTCTCCGTTCAAAAGTTATAGTCAAAATAAGATTTTCTTCTTCTTCCCAAAATGAAGGTAATACTATACATTAGCGGGCTCACCCCCGAAATTCGCGAAAAAATTATCCTCGATGGACCGCGATTTCTTAAGAATTTACGTGCAAAAAGAATTTGGCGGTCGGCCATGGTTCTCTTGTAATTGAATTTTAAAGTTCCCGGGTTTGCTATAAAAAACAAGTATGCTTTTCTAACGTTTGCTATAAAAATTATATATGTATATATGTACCCTTTTCCTTTTTTGTCAAAATAAGACTAATTTAAAATTCCAAACATCTGAGTAATTGGTATTATAGGGAACTAGTCCTCACAACCGCGTAAAAATGATCCTCGATGGACAGCGAGTTCTTAAGAAATCTCATAACCATGGATGACCACATGTGTATTTTTATTATGATAATCAGAAGAAATCGCGGTCCAAGGAGGATTATATATTTTAACCTTTCTTTTAGTCTTTTCCACCCAAAACTAAACTTAAAGATTGAATTTGTTTTTTCTGAGCGACACACCAACCCTAATTCAGCTGAAACTACTAGCTTAATATTGAACAAAAGAAACTGCGCCGCAGGCAAAAAAAATTTAAGAAAAAATCGCGCGATTTTTTCTTAAATTTTTTTTGATTGCGGCGCAGTTTTTTTTAAATTTCTTTTTTAAACGCACTTCTTTCAAATACTTCCTATTCGGGAATACTTCAGCAGAGAGATATCTAGGCCATAAAAGGTTATTAAAGAAAAAACCTGGAACTTTACCTCAATGGTGGTGCGGAAAAGTGTTCATTAAAACTTTTAATTTAAAAAAATTCTACATTTTTTTATAGGAACTCATTTAAACAATTAAATAGTTTTATAGGAACTCATTTAAACAATTTATTAATTTAATAGGAACTCATTAAAACTTAATTACTTTGATTGAAAATATGAGAAAAGCACCCTTGTTTTTTATAGCAAACCCGGGAACTTTGAAATTTAATTACAAGAGAACCATGGCCGACCGCCAAATTCTTTTTGCACGTAAATTCTTAAGAAATCGCGGTCCATCGAGGATAATTTTTTCGCGAATTTCGGGGGTGAGCCCGCTAATGTATAGTATTACCAAAATTTGATATGACGTTCATCACATCGATATAAAAAACTTTTGTTCTACCACTTTTGGAAAAACCCGCTAGTTTAGCGGAAAAATAGCTATAAATAGCTAAAATTCGGAAAGCCGTAACTTCTATACTATACTAAAGCTACAGACTTGTGCTGCATCTCGTTTGAAAGGTATTTTTAAATGCTATAAACGCCTTCTATATGCAATTTGTGTAAATGTAATAGTTAAAAAGATATGAACAAAAGAAAATTTGTTAAAACTTTTTTTTTAGCTTTTTTTTAATTTTCTCAAAAACGGCTCTAACGATTTTCCTTACAACTTTAAACTGTATAGCCCTTGAGATTCCTTAAATTTTGGTATACATCATGTTTATGTAAAAAATCGCGTTTAAAAGTTATTCAGAAACGAAAATAGCCACTTTTGCCAGCTCAGAACAACTAACGCTCCCTGAGTATTGAATTTTGTGGGAGGGTATCCGAACTGTATTTTAGGGTCATGGAATCAGTAAATTTGCACTTAAGAGTTCCATATAGGAATCTTTTGTTCTACGACTTTTGGAAAAAGCCGCTACTTTAGCGGGAAAAAGCTAAAAATAGCTAAATTTCGTTAGTTTGTAAGTTCTACACTACTAAAGGTACAGACATGTGCTATACCTTGATTAAAAGGTATTTTGAAATACTTCAACGCCTTTTTAACTTAATTTGTTAAAATACAATAGTTTAAAAATTATGATTGACCAATTTAAATTTAAATGTATATATTAGCTCCTATGAGAGCAAATGTAAACAAACAAAAACTTCTGATATCAAATAAAAACACCTCTTAACGAGGTAAAAAACTAGTGACGACCGCACCTTCAACATACAAAAGTTCTGATATCAACATTTGTGACGAAAAATTATTACACTCGTCATTAAATAGACTTTCTAATATTTTCTCATTCGGCCCGCCCTAGCAAACTATTCCAGCCTTTTTCCCTTTACAGGCATTTACTATTGCAGCGTGCCGAATGAGAAAATATTAGAAAGTCTATTTAATGACGAGTGTAATAATTTTTCGTCACAAATGTTGATATCAGAACTTTTGTATGTTGAAGGTGCGGTCGTCACTAGTTTTTTACCTCGTTAAGAGGTGTTTTTATTTGATCTTTAAGAACTACAGATTTTTAAACTTTTTACCCTTCATCTCAAAATCAAAGTGAATCCGCAGCATAATTGATGTGAAATTCTCGCCAGGCGGAATCGCAGCCACCGGCCTAAAGTTCAAAATCTTCTTATATTCCGGCTCATCTTTCTGCAGAACTTGCTGGAAGTATTCGGCATTTATCCACTTGGGAATCTCCAAGTGCTCGTTCGGATTAACTATTGACTCTGTTGGGCCTGCCATTTCGTATCTGTGGTACTAGCGATCCAACGCTTCTGTTTCAACTGACTTGGTGACGTTGGTTGTAGAGATTTTATGACGAACGTAAGCTTTCTCTTCTCAGATAAAATGTATATCGTAAAGCTTTTAGGGTTACGAAGTAAAAGGTTGTCAGCGTGACTTCACAGTTACCTGTAATCAACGCATTTTGAAAACAGAAGATAGCGGTAATCAATTACACTTTTATTTTAGGGTTCTAAAAGCTTGAAAGCTCTAAAAAAATCAAAGAGTCAAGAGAGCGTGAGCGGATAAATTTCCTACATGGCTTTTGACTCAATCCTAAGAGCCAAAATCAAACTGATAATAATTTCGTCAAGCAAAGCGTTTATTACATTTACACAAAAAGCTTTCACATTTCGAACGTATATATGAGCCCCCAGTGAACCAGTCTAATATAGTGTTAGAAATAAAACCAAAGACGCAACAACATGGCTGAAGAGAGTTTTAATGCCGACGAGCTGAATCCTCCGGAATGGCTGAATGTTCAGTTCATAACGAAAGTTTTGAGTGGCTACGAAAAGGCAGCTGACCTAGAAGTCACTAATTTGAGCTTCACACCGGCAAGTGCCAAAGGAGATCACTATGCCAGCATTATGTTCCGTGCCAAGGTGGATTATAAAACCCAGAAGGGAACCTTCTTCAAGTCGCTGATCATCAAAACAATGCCCGTGGAGGAGGGTGTCAAGAAGGATATGTTTGCCGATTCTCCACTATTTATAACGGAAATTGGAATGTACAGTAAAGTTTTGCCCGAGTGGGAGAGAATTCTCCGGGGAGTTAACGATACATCCAAGCTGTATGTGGACTGCATCTATCACAGTCTGGACCCATACCAGATTATAATCTTTGAAGATCTCGTAGAGATGGGTTACGAAGTGGTGCGAGATCGTTTTCTCACACAGGAGGAAATTTGTAGTGCCTACTCAAAGTTGGCCAAAATCCACGCAATCAGCATGACAAAAATTTACGAGGTATATTGGAAAATAATATTATTTTATATTCAGAACTAAATATTTTGTATTTTTTAGAACCCCGATTATCTGAAAGAGTTCAATTACGGAATGTTGGATATGCCTGGGCTGATGGACAGTCCCATTATAAATGCCGGAATGGCACCCTTTATCGATATGTTGGGTCGAATTCCCGAACTGACCAAATACCAGCCTCATTTTGAAAAGATTGCACTGCACTTTAAGGACCGATTGCGGGATATCATGCGAGATTATCGAATTAATCCGCATTCGGGATACAATGTCCTGATCCACGCAGACTACCATTGCCGGAATATGATGTTTAAGCACAATAAGGAAACCGGAGCCTTCGAGGACTGCATGCTGCTGGATTATCAGGGCTGCAATGTGGCACCCATGGCCGTGGATCTGATTTACTCCATTTATATGCTGATGGGGACGGAGCAGAGAAGCGGAGAATTGGAGACTCTGCTGAACTACTACTTATCCGTCCTGCTAGAGACTCTCAAGAAGATTGGCTACCGGGGTGAAATGCCCACTAAATTGGGCTTCTGGGCGGAAATTAAACGCCACAGATATTATGGTAAGTTAAAGTTAAAGTTAGAAGTAAAAATATTTATTTAAAATTATTTCGATTTCAGAGTTCCTATTGCTGAGCACTTTCTTGCCAGTGTCGGTGGGTCTTAGAACCCATTCCATGGACTTGGCGGATTTGCTGCACAACGAAGAAACTCGGAAGCAATTATATCTACTGAAAGAAGTGGTTGAAGAAACCAAAGTTATAATGGCCAGATTGGATAAAGCTGGATATTTCGAGGATTTGTAAAGTGAAATGCATACAATTTAAAAAAGAATAAATCACTAAAAATGAGTCACTGCTTCATAACGTTTTATTGGCATTGTTTTGAATGGAAAAATTTTATATTATTGGGGCAACACAATTCTCTTAAAAGCTTTTTAGGTATACCTATAATTTGGCTGCTTCTATTTTGTTGTAGTGTTATGGCATAAGAGCAAGCCCCTTTTAAAAATAAAAGTTTTATGGATCGCAAAGCTTAAAATAGCTTCAAATAGCCAAATTCAATGAGCTTTAAAGCTCAAAACAAAACCGAAAATTCAAGAGAGTGAGATTGATTTTAGTTCATATCGAGCGTATGGTCGTCACGTGTGTAAATAGACGAATATTTGGCCAAGCCAAACTCTTATTACAAACAGATATTTTTTATAAAAAAGTTTTAAACAATATTATAAATTCTTAGCACAAAATGGCCGAAGATAGTTTAATTCTGTTTGTCAGTTTGTCCACTTGTCCACTTGTCCAAAATATGTTTTTTAAGTTTTGAAAATTTGATATGACGTTCATCACATCGATATAAAAAACTTTTGTTCTACCACTTTTGGAAAAACCCGCTAGTTTAGCGGAAAAATAGCTATAAATAGCTAAAATTCGGAAAGCCGTAACTTCTATACTACTAAAGCTACAGACTTGTGCTGCATCTCGTTTGAAAGGTATTTTTAAATGCTATAAACGCCTTCTATATGCAATTTGTGTAAATGTAATAGTTAAAAAGATATGAACAAAAGAAAATTTGTTAAAACTTTTTTTTAGCTTTTTTTAATTTTTCAAAAACGGCTCTAACGATTTTCCTTACAACTTTAAACTGTATAGCCCTTGAGATTCCTTAAATTTTGGTATACATCATGTTTATGTAAAAAATCGCGTTTAAAAGTTATTCAGAAACGAAAATAGCCACTTTTGCCAGCTCAGAACAACTAACGCTCCCTGAGTATTGAATTTTGTGGGAGGGTATCCGAACTGTATTTTAGGGTCATGGAATCAGTAAATTTGCACTTAAGAGTTCCATATAGGAATCTTTTGTTCTACGACTTTTGGAAAAAGCCGCTACTTTAGCGGGAAAAAGCTAAAAATAGCTAAATTTTGTTAGTTTGTAAGTTCTACACTACTAAAGGTACAGACATGTGCTATACCTTGATTAAAAGGTATTTTGAAATACTTCAACGCCTTTTAACTTAATTTGTTAAAATACAATAGTTTAAAAATTATGATTGACCAATTTAAATTTAAATGTATATATTAGCTCCTATGAGAGCAAATGTAAACAAACAAAAACTTCTGATATCAAAAAAAACACCCTTAACGAGGTAAAAAACTAGACCACAAAATTCGATATCAACATTTGGACGAAAAATTATTACACTCGTCATTAAATAGACTTTCTAATATTTTCTCATTCGGCACGCTGCAATATGCCTGTAAAGGGAAAAAGGCTGGAATAGTTTGCTAGGGCGGGCCGAATGAGAAAATATTAGAAAGTCTATTTAATGACGAGTGTAATAATTTTTCGTCACAAATGTTGATATCAGAACTTTTGTATGTTGAAGGTGCGGTCGTCACTAGTTTTTTACCTCGTTAAGAGGTGTTTTTATTTGATCTTTAAGAACTACAGATTTTTAAACTTTTTACCCTTCATCTCAAGATCAAAGTGAATCCGCAGCATAATTGATGTGAAATTCTCGCCAGGCGGAATCGCAGCCACCGGCCTAAAGTTCAAAATCTTCTTATATTCCGGCTCATCTTTCTGCAGAACTTGCTGGAAGTATTCGGCATTTATCCACTTGGGAATCTCCAAGTGCTCGTTCGGATTAACTATTGACTCTGTTGGGCCTGCCATTTCGTATCTGTGGTACTAGCGATCCAACGCTTCTGTTTCAACTGACTTGGTGACGTTGGTTGTAGAGATTTTATGACGAACGTAAGCTTTCTCTTCTCAGATAAAATGTATATCGTAAAGCTTTTAGGGTTACGAAGTAAAAGGTTGTCAGCGTGACTTCACAGTTACCTGTAATCAACGCATTTTGAAAACAGAAGATAGCGGTAATTAATTACACTTTTATTTTAGGGTTCTAAAAGCTTGAAAGCTCTAAAAAAATCAAAGAGTCAAGAGAGCGTGAGCGGATAAATTTCCTACATGGCTTTTGACTCAATCCTAAGAGCCAAAATCAAACTGATAATAATTTCGTCAAGCAAAGCGTTTATTACATTTACACAAAAAGCTTTCACAAATCGAACGTATATATGAGCCCCCAGTGAACCAGTCTAATATAGTATTAGAAATAAAACCAAAGACGCAACAACATGGCTGAAGAGAGTTTTAATGCTGACGAGCTGAATCCTCCGGAATGGCTGAATGTTCAGTTCATAACGAAAGTTTTGAGTGGCTACGAAAAGGCAGCTGACCTAGAAGTCACTAATTTGAGCTTCACACCGGCAAGTGCCAAAGGAGATCACTATGCCAGCATTATGTTCCGTGCCAAGGTGGATTATAAAACCCAGAAGGGAACCTTCTTCAAGTCGCTGATCATCAAAACAATGCCCGTGGAGGAGGGTGTCAAGAAGGATATGTTTGCCGATTCTCCCCTATTTATAACGGAAATTGGAATGTACAGTAAAGTTTTGCCCGAGTGGGAGAGAATTCTCCGGGGAGTTAACGATACATCCAAGCTGTATGTGGACTGCATCTATCACAGTCTGGACCCATACCAGATTATAATCTTTGAAGATCTCGTAGAGATGGGTTACGAAGTGGTGCGAGATCGTTTTCTCACACAGGAGGAAATTTGTAGTGCCTACTCAAAGTTGGCCAAAATCCACGCAATCAGCATGACAAAAATTTACGAGGTATATTGGAAAATAATATTATTTTATATTCAGAACTAAATATTTTGTATTTTTTAGAACCCCGATTATCTGAAAGAGTTCAAGTACGGAATGTTGGATATGCCTGGGCTGATGGACAGTCCCATTATAAATGCCGGAATGGCACCCTTTATCGATATGTTGGGTCGAATTCCCGAACTGACCAAATACCAGCCTCATTTTGAAAAGATTGCACTGCACTTTAAGGACCGATTGCGGGATATCATGCGAGATTATCGAATTAATCCGCATTCGGGATACAATGTCCTGATCCACGCAGACTACCATTGCCGGAATATGATGTTTAAGCACAATAAGGAAACCGGAGCCTTCGAGGACTGCATGCTGCTGGATTATCAGGGCTGCAATGTGGCACCCATGGCCGTGGATCTGATTTACTCCATTTATATGCTGATGGGGACGGAGCAGAGAAGCGGAGAATTGGAGACTCTGCTGAACTACTACTTATCCGTCCTGCTAGAGACTCTCAAGAAGATTGGCTACCGGGGTGAAATGCCCACTAAATTGGGCTTCTGGGCGGAAATTAAACGCCACAGATATTATGGTAAGTTAAAGTTAAAGTTAGAAGTAAAAATATTTATTTAAAATTATTTCGATTTCAGAGTTCCTATTGCTGAGCACTTTCTTGCCAGTGTCGGTGGGTCTTAGAACCCATTCCATGGACTTGGCGGATTTGCTGCACAACGAAGAAACTCGGAAGCAATTATATCTACTGAAAGAAGTGGTTGAAGAAACCAAAGTTATAATGGCCAGATTGGATAAAGCTGGATATTTCGAGGATTTGTAAAGTGAAATGCATACAATTTAAAAAAGAATAAATCACTAAAAATGAGTCACTGCTTCATAACGTTTTATTGGCATTGTTTTGAATGGAAAAATTTTATATTATTGGGGCAACACAATTCTCTTAAAAGCTTTTTAGGTATACCTATAATTTGGCTGCTTCTATTTTGTTGTAGTGTTATGGCATAAGAGCAAGCCCCTTTTAAAAATAAAAGTTTTATGGATCGCAAAGCTTAAAATAGCTTCAAATAGCCAAATTCAATGAGCTTTAAAGCTCAAAACAAAACCGAAAATTCAAGAGAGTGAGATTGATTTTAGTTCATATCGAGCGTTTGGTCGTCACGTGTGTAAATAGACGAATATTGTGCCAAGCGAAACTCTTATTACAAACAGATATTTTTTATAAAAAAGTTTTAAACAATATTATAAATTCTTAGCACAAAATGGCCGAAGATAGTTTAAATCTCCCAGAATGGTTGAATGTGCAATTTATAACCGAAGTTCTGAGTGGTCACGTAACGGAACCGGACCTAAAAGTTACTAACTTGGATTTCTCCCCGGGAAGTGTAAAAGGAGATAATTACGCCAGCGAAATGTATCGTGCTGTGGTTGAATATGAAACCCGGAAGGGATCCTCTACCATGTCCCTTATTATCAAAACTGAAATGTTTGCCGGCTCTGCTCTTTTTATACCCGTTACTCGTAGAGTAAAAGGGTATATTGTATTCGTGCAAAAGTATGTAACAGGGAGAAGGAAGCGTTTCCGACCCCATAAAGTATATATATTCTTGATCAGGATCACTAGCCGAGTCGATCTAGCCATGTCCGTCTGTCCGTCTGTCTGTCCGTCTGTCCGTCTGTCCGTCTGTCTGTCTGTATGAACGCTGAGATCTCAGAAACTATAAAAGCTAGAAGATTGGCATTTTGCATGCAGATTTTAGGAATTCCTACGCAGCGCAAGTTTGTTTCAAAATGGTGCCACGCCCCCTCTAACGCCCACCATCGCTTATATACGATTTTAAAAATTTTAATATTTTGGAAAAGTAAAAATGCAGTTTTATTGTGTTTATCAATACCTATCGAAATGTAGAAGAAATTTTTCAAATCGGACCATTCGTTAAAAAGTTATGCGTGATCAACGTTTTCTATCTCTATCTCCATCTCCCTCGCACTCCCTTTACCTGAGTAACGGGTATCTGATAGTCGGGGCACCCGACTATAACGTTCTCTCTTGTTAAAACTGAAACTGGCATGTATAAAAAAGTTCTGCCTGAATTCGAGAAGATACTGCAAGAAAAAACTGATACATCCAAGCTGTATGCAAAATGCATATATAGTAGCCTGGAGCCCCGACCGGTTATGATATTCGAAGATCTTTTGGAGATGGGATATGCAATGGTGCGAAATCGTTTGCTTACGGATGAAGAGATTTGTAGTGCCTACTCCAAGCTGGCTAAAATCCATGCAGTCAGCATGAAGTTTATTAATGAGGTACTGAAATATTAGAAATTAATATTTTAAAGGCACATATAATTTAATTCACATTTTTCAATTAGCGACCTGAGTTCCTGAAGGATTTCAAGGATGGAATTTGTCTTGTAGATATTCCCTATATGAGCTTCGGAATGGCTCCGTTTACGGAGTTTTTGGGACGTATTCCTGAATTGAAAAAATACCAGTCTCACTTTGAGAAGTTAGGACTTAGCTTTATAGACCGATTGCGGGATGTCATGAAGGAGTATGAAACCAATCCCCAGCCAGGATACTATGTTCTCTGCCATGGGGACTACCACACTAGAAATGTAATGTTCAAGCACAATAAGGAAACAGGATGGTTTGAGGACTGTATGCTGCTGGATTACCAGGGAAGTTATGTGGCGCCAATGGCCGTGGACTTGATGTACTCCATTTATATGTTAATGGACCGAGAGCAGCGCACTGAGAAATTGGAGACCCTACTGAACTACTATTTCTCCGTCCTCCTAGAGACCCTCAGAAAGATTGGGTACCAGGGAGTAATGCCCACTCCTCTTGCGTTCTGGGCGGAACTAAAACGCCTTAAGGAATACGGTAAATTTAAATCACTTAAGAGTTTCTCGTTGTTAAAATGTATGTTTTTATTCCAGAATTCCTATTTCTGAGTACCTATTTACCAATGTCGCTGGGCCTTAGCCTTGGAACCGCCTCAAATGAACACTCAAAAAAAAATTTTAGAAAATCGCCTATGGATTTGCTTTACTGGCGATTTTTTTCTATATTTCTGGAATATTTCTTGAATTTAATGAATTTTGATTAATTGGAAGAAAATTTTCTTTACCAGTAGAAAATTTTTTTATTTTAAAGAAAAAATCGCCAGTGAAGCAAATCCATAGGCGATTTTCTAAAATTCAGGGCGATTCATTTTCTGAGTGAACAAAATGATCAAAAATTAACAGAATTTATTGAAGAATGTAAAATACTGCTGGCCCGATTCGAAAGGTCAGGATATTTTGAGGATCTCTAGGATTTCAAATTAATGAAAGTTGTTACTGAAGTATTTTACTCAAGACCGGACAATATTAACTGTAAAATATTATATTTTCTAATATGTGTACCAAAAGAAATAAAAGAACTGTGCAAATATTTCTCTGCAAACCCAACATACTGTGTAAAAGTAGATGTACATTTTGATAAGGCATTTGAGACCGGTGATAAAAACACTCTCTTTCGGACTTTCAAATAGAGAGATAATAAATATTAGTATTTAAAAAATCAAACGAAAAGCTCTCCTATATCTCAGGCAGAAAGCTTCTTTAAGTTCCACACAATTGCATTCTAAATCGAAGTTCTCTCTGAAAGTCAATTTAAGCTGCAGCGGAATGCAGCTTGGTACAGTTCGCAAATTTTCTCAAATCGACATAGATGTTAGTAAACAAAAAGTTTAAGAATAAATCACAATTTAAATGTTTCAATGCCAAATGATTGAACACAAATCAGTTGGAATCCCTGATTAGGAAAACTACTTCGAAAATTTTTAATAGTTTTTTACCAGATTTTATTCTGGTAAAGTAACATTTTTTCAACAGGTGTTTAACTAAGAGATATATGGATGCTTCTATTATCAGTTCAAAACTCTTAAAAAAATAAAAGTGTTTATGGATCGCAAGGATTAAATAAATTGTATACAAAACCAAATCTACACATCGGTCAAATACAAAGAGCTTAAAAGCTTAAAACAAAAACGAAAATTCCAGAAAGGGAGGTTGACTTTAGCTCCCATTGAGCGTTTGGTCGTCATTTGTGTACATAGTGCAATCTCAAAATATTTTCGCATAATATTTTAAAACAATATTATAAATTCTAAGCACAATATGGCTAAAGAATATTTATATATCCCACAATGGTTGACTGTGCAATTTTTAACCGAAGTTCTGAGTGGACACGAAAAGGAAAAGGACCTTGAGGTTACCAACTTGGATTTAACCCAGGGATGTGTTGAAGGAGATAATTATATATGTAGTATGTATCGTGCAAAAGTGGAATACAAAACCCAGAAAGCAACCTTATCCAAGACCCTGATTATAAAAACGGTGTCGGAAGGGTATGCCGTTTCTGCTTCATTCATAAATGAAATAGGCATGTATAAAAAAGTCCTGCCTGAGTTCGAGAAGATTCTCCGAGAAAAAAATGATACAACCAAACTGCATGCAGAATGCATATATTATAGCCTGGAGCCCCGACAGGTTATTATATTTGAAGATCTTGTGGAGAAGGGATATGCAATGGTGCAAAATCGTTTGCTCACGGATGAGGAGATTTGTAGAGCATACACCAAGCTGGCTAAAGTCCATGCAGTCAGCATGAAGTTTATTAATGAGGTAATAAGATATCAAAAATTAATAATTTAAAAACATATATTAATTACTATATCTGTTCATTGATTAGCGACCTGAGTTCCTGAAGGAGTTCAATGATGGAATTTGTCTTTTAGAAAGTCCCTGTATGAAATGCGGAATGGATTCGTTTACGTCTTTTTTAGGACGCATCCCAGAATTGAAAAAATACCAGTCTCACTTTGAGAAGATCGAACTCAACTTTACAGGCCGACTGTGGGAGGCTATGAAGGAGTATCAAACTAAACCCCAGCCAGGATACTACGTTCTCTGCCATGGGGATTTTCAAACTAAAAATGTAATGTTTAAACACAATAAGGAAACAGGAAGCCTTGAGGACTGTATGCTGCTGGATTATCAGGGAAGTTATGTGGCGCCATTGGCCGTGGACTTGATGTATTCTATTTATATGATAATGGGCCGAGAACAGCGCACTGAGAAACTGGAGACCCTACTGAACCATTACTTCTCGGTCCTGCTTGAAACCCTCCGAAAGATTGGCTACCAGGGAATAATGCCCACGCCTCAAACGTTCTGGGCGGAAGTAAAACGTCTCAAGGATTATGGTAAGTTTAAAGCACGCAAAAGTTTCTCGTTCTTAAAATATATACTTTAATTCCAGAATTCCTATTCCTAAGCACCTACTTACCATGGTCACAGGGGGTTTGGCTTAGGGGTTATGAATCCTACTCCAACGCAGAAACTGATCAAAAATTAAAAGAATTTATTGAAGAATGTAAAATAATGCTGGCCCGATTCGAAAGTTCAGGATATTTTGCGGAGTTGTAAGATTTTAAATTTTTAAATATTTATTCAAGATCCAACAATCTAAATGTACTATTTTCTTATATGTGTACCTAATAAATAAAATATCTTTCTCTGCATACTGTGATACCAGTAGATCTAAACTTTTTGTGGGTGCATCATTCACTATGCACATAAGTGATGGGATACCAGATGGGTAATAAAAACACTCTCTTTCGGATGTCCAAAAAGAATACTTTCAAGTATTTATAAAAACAAACGAAAAGCTCTCATTTATCTCTGGGAGAAAGCTTCTTTAAGTCCCACACCATTTCATTCTAGGTCGAAATTCTCTCTGAAAGTCAATTTAAGTAGCAGCGAAATCGAGCTTTGTTCAGTTCGCTCTCTTTTGGAAATCGAGCTACAAGTTGGTAAACAAAATGTCCGGGAACCCCGATAACAGTCAGTTCAACGATGACGAATTGGTGCCACCTGAGTGGCTAAACTCGGAGTTCATGGCCCATGTTCTGGGGTCCCATGAAAAGGAACCCGTGGTCAAGGTAATCGACTTGACCTTGTCCCCGGCGAGTGCGAAGGGCGATCACTATGCCAGCATCATGTTCCGGGCCAAGGTCAAGTATGCCAACGCGAATGGGGAGTTCGAAAAGTCGGTGATCATTAAAACGATGCCAGAGGCGGAGGGTCACAAGAAGGAGATGCTAGTTGGATCGCCCATATTCGAAACGGAGACGGGCATGTACACAAAGGTGTTGCCCGAATTCGAGAGGATTCTTCGGCAGGCCGGCGATAGCACCAAGTTGTACGTGAATTGCATATATCATAGCCTATCGCCGCATCAGGTCCTGGTCTTTGATGATCTCGTCGAGATGGACTACTTTGTACTGAAGGATCGGGACGCCACCCTGGACGAGATTCATCGAGTCTACTTTAAGCTGGCTAAATGGCATGCAGTCAGTTTAAAAGTACAGCATGAGGTAAGTTCTTAAAAACGTATATTATTTAATAATAGGAAATAGAAAAAAAATGTAAAGTAAATCAGAAATCCAATCATAAAATACAAATTCTTCATTACCTACACAACTTTGTTTGCTTGTCTTTTTATATTTATTTATACTTTTTATTAATATCATTATCATCCTTACTTTTTAGCAACCCGAATTCTTAGAGGCCTACACCCACGGACTGTTTGAAATGCCACATTTTATGTCTGATCCCTTTATGAAGACTGGAATGCAGTTTTTCGTGGAACTTTTGAGCAAGGAGCCGGATCTTAATAAGTACCATTCCTATTTCAAAAGCATACAGGGAGATTTCCTGGAGCGGCTTGTGGCCGAGTGGACGGAAATCCGAAACAACCCGAAAGTAGACCCGTACAGGGTACTTTGCCACGGCGACCTGCACCTTCGAAACATTATGTTCAAGTATAAGGATCCTGGATCTTTCGAGGACTGCATGCTACTGGACTTTCAAATCTCCCATCTTTTTCCCCTGACATTCGATTTGGTCTATTCAATATACATGCTTATGGAGGCGGAGCATCGATTTAAGCACTACGATGATTTAATCGACTATTACTTTTTCGTTTTTGAGGATGTTTTAAAGAAAATCGGCTATAAGGGTGAAATGCCTACCCAAGAGGGTCTTTGGCAGCGCCTGCTTCAGCCTAAATACTACCGTGAGTTCTTTGTTAAAACCATTATCATATTAACATTGCGTAATTCCTTGTTTGATCGTTTCAGATTTCTTCCTTTTAAGTACCTTTCTTCCTTTGATGTGGGCAGTAAGGGATAAGTCTGTTGACTTTGGCGATCTGCTTCAGAATGAGGAGAAGCGACGGAAATGCTCATTTTCTGAGGGTTACATTAAGGATGTGAAAAGAATGCTGGCCCGATGGGATATGTTCGGTTTACTGCAGGCTTGAAAAAATATTACTAAAAATATAAAAAAAATTTAAAAATATTTAAATATGGAACCCCTATAATATGTTTGTGTTATTAGGTCTGATAAGCACGTCTCCACAACGACCCATGTCAAACAAACCTAACTAATGATTTCAAAAACAAACAATTTAAAAGTTTGCCTCATTTGAATAGCTAATTTCCATCGCTCTATGGTCGCTCATCTGGAAGCCCCTTGAATGAGAATTATTTGCGTGTTCCTAATTGTATATGTAGTCTGACTGCCGCGGGCAATTAAAACCCCATTTATGACTCAGCCACCCAGCCATATTTCGCTCAATGCCATCTATGAGGAGTGCACTTATTTTATGGAATGTTTCCGACTGATTAAATGAGCGGCAAATAGATAAATGTGGAAAACAAGTGTGGTTTTGAGGTTCAACAGATTAATAAATATGAGAAAATAGATTAAAGACAAATCTGTGGTCTCTGCTATTTATTGTTTATCAGGTTTCCAGTTGTGCGAAACGAGTCAAATAAATGGTTATCGCCTTGACAATGTCAATTTCCGTTAATTGATTGAGTGATAACAACGATCAACAACTGCGTATTGCTTTTGACACTAACGTCACTATTTTGACACCCACAAATTTCTCGAGAGAGAATTGAAGAATTTACACTTTAATAAAAATAAAATACTATTTGATGAACTGCTCTTCTCTTTGGGCTCAATAAAAAAAGCCCCCATTCCGAGCTCAACGCACGCGTATCCATTTTTAGCCAGTCATGATGATTGTTTTCTACGATTTCGCCAAGCGAATTGTTACTGTCCAAGGTCCAAGCTAGCGATTTCATTGGGAAAACGGTCAAAAGTATGTTTAAATTAAATAAAATTTGCTTATTTATTGTTCGCTCTTATGATTTATGATATCACAAATAATGTACAATGGGGCTACACGAAATGAAACCTAGACCGACTTCAAAAGTCCTTTGTTCTCGAAAAACGGCAAAAGCAACTTCATGGCCCTGGCGTAGTAGGGATTGATAAAGGTCCTGTAACGCAGGGCATCGGCCTCGGGTCCTGGGGCCATCATCATTTTCATGTTGGCATCCTTGTCGGTGGGCATCAGTGTGGCCACCATCACACCCATGGCGGTCAGGGGTCCTGCAATCCAATAAATATATTGTTAATCTGCTAAATATCCAATTAAATATCCAACTCACCCCAGAATCCATACTTCAGCATCATGATGTGCAGATCCCTGAGTGTGGGAATGGATTTCGAGTAGTTCAACAGCTTCAGGCATTCTGCCAGGCGCTCGTGATAGATCTGAATGAAGTGATCGAACTCCTTGACCTTGATGTCCAGCGAGGCGGAGGTTGTGATCAGGTACCAAAGGTCCTGGGCCGGAGTGCCCCACTTGCCGATCTGCAGGTCCACAAATATGGTTCTATCGATCTCACCGTTGTCCTTGTAATTGAACATAATGTTGTTGGACCAGCAGTCACCGTGATTGAGCACGTTAAACTCGGTCTCGTCCACCTGATTGATGGCCAGAGCTTCCTCGAACACTTCCACGGGGCTCCACATATTGGCGATGTATCGCTCGACGCCCTCGAGCTCCCACTCCCTCATCGCCTTCAGGAACATCACCTGACGCATCTCGCCCAGAGCCTCGAAAAGAGGACGACTCTGCTCATTATACATCGACATGGAGTACAGAGGATCGTAGGGTCCATTTATTTCCCTCGCCACCACGGAGGCGGCGTGAAGTTCGGCCAATTTCCGGAGCACATGGCGCATGTGCGGCATATCGAATCCCTTTAGCCGATCGAAATTCTTGAAATGCTGCCGACTCAGATCCTCGAAGACCAGGGTAATCAACTCAGCGGTGGCCTCGACATGCAGGCACTTGGGCGCCAACTCAATTTCCAGGCCCGCCTCCTTGTAGAGCTTCACGAACTGCGGTATGTGCACCTCGTACATTTTCCTCTCCTTGGGGAACAGTCCCATGCCATTGACCACATCCGCTCCACTGTCCGCCTCCAGCATGGTTTTCAAAATATACGAGAGTTTCTGCTCGCTGCCATCTGAAAGTAAAGAAAATCAACATAAATATTTTGTATTTCTCTGGGCTTAAATATTTGAGATTGTAATTATGTTTTATTTTAATAAAGGAAAATCTACACTGATAAAAAATGTAATGGTAAATTTCGTATTAAATATTTAAACTGAAATAAAACTAGATTTTTCCATTTAAAAATTTGTAAATTAGTGTAGAAAATACTGAAAAAAAAAAAAAAAAAAAAAAAAAAAAAAAAAAAAAAAAAAAAAAAAAAAAAAAAAAAAAAAAAATAAAAAATTTTTTTAAAATTTTAAAAATTTAAAATTATAAATTTTAATTTTTTTTTATTTTAAAATTAAAATTTGTTTTTTTTTTTTTTTTTTTTTTTTGTTTTTTTAATTAAAAAAAAAAAAAAAAAAAATATAAATTTTTTTTTTTTTTTTTTTTAAAAAAAAAATTTTTTAAAAAAATTTTAAAAAAAAAAAAAAAAAAAAAAAAAAAATTTAAAAAAAAGGTTTTGGTTGGGGTTTTTTTTTTTTTTTAATTTTTTTTAAAAAAAAAAAAAAAAAAGAGGGGGGGAGATTTTTTAGAGTTTAAAAGTTTTTTTTTTTTTTTTATTTAAGGGGGGTAGTTTATAAACGGAGCAATATTAAGGGGGGGTGGTTTTTTTGTATAAAAAAAAATAAAAAATTTTTTATTTTTTTTTTTTAAAAGGAATTATTTTTTTTTTAAACCCTCCCCTAAAAAAAAATTTTTTTTGAGAGGGAAATAAAAAGGGGAAAAAAAAAAAAAAAAATTTTTTTTTTTGGAGGAAATAAAAAAAAAAAGAAATTTTTTTTTATTTAAAATTTTTTTTGGTTTTTGTTTACCAAAAATTTTTTCCTTTTTTTTCTGGGTGTGGTTTGGATGTTGGTAATATTTACGCCAAGCTTCTTAGAGTTGAATTGAAAATTTCAAATTGAAATCAAAGTTCAAAATCAGTAAACTACCAAAAATTGTTGCATATAATATTTCCATATTAAGTCACATTGATTATAAAATAATGGATTTACTACTTTTTTTATCAGTGTAGAGTTACAATTTTCTTTTCTTACCCTTTAGCAGTATATCCACAATGACCCGTATCATAATGGAAGTATAGTTCTCCCCAGGCGCGGTGGCCGCAATGGGTATAAAGTTCACGATCTTGTCAAAGGTTTCCATATCTTTCTGGAGAATTGGCAGGAAGTAGTCCTCATTCACCCACTTTGGAATGTGCAGGTGCTCGTTTGGGATTAATTGGCTTTTCCGAGTTGCTGTTCGGCGACATTTTTGTTCTGATGCTGTAATCGTGGAAATCAATTAATTGACTCTCGACGGAAATGATCAGCGGTTCAAGATCAAAATAGTTAAACAATTTCATTACAATTCCCGTTCGTTTTAATTAGTGTTTACGACAGAGAAAGCTGCCTATTACGTGAAAATCTTAAAAGTGATGGGTGACCAAAGACGAAAATATAAAAACTTTCTTTCTTTTCCGCTTTGTCTTATTTAGATTTACATTTTTTATACGCTTCTCTTTACACAGATCATTACAATGGTTGAATTTTTAATAATTTTCTGTTTGAAATTCACTGAAACTCATGTTTGTAAGCGACATATAATTATTTTATATTTTTAATGTATTTAAAAATCACTTGCTCCACCAGCTTTAAATCATTTGTTTATTTAAAGGTATTTCCGTAGATTTAGCACGGAGCAAAGTTTATTTCCGCATTAAATGATTGCCTCCGAACCGCCCACCAAATTTGCCACAATTGTTATTTATTACTGACCGACTTTGTGGATTTCTAGATTGAATTTAAATTCCCGCTGGGAGAAAAGACTGCGGCTGTGTCCGACGATTTCTAACGACAAACAAATACTGAACTCTCCGTGCGATTCCCATACTTTTATACGAATAGACCCCGCGTAGACAAGTGTGGCGGTTTGTGTGTAGAGGTCTATGTGTTTGGGCCGAGCTGATAGCGTAAACTCGTTTTTGTTTAGGCGGACTGACTGACTGACGATACTACATGTGGTGTTGAACAAAGGTAGTAATAGAATATAACCATGTAATCGCTTCCAATATCTCTGGATAGCCGTAGCCGTAAAAGAAATCATCGTTGACCCTTTGCAAACGCATTTGTAGGTTACGCTTTTGTTTTAGGCATGCCTAACCTTCTAACTTATCTTATCAATTTATGGGTTTGTCATTAAAATGGACGGCTTTCCTAGGAGACCTATGAAATTTCATTCATAATCTAAAAGAACTTTGAATTTTCAGATATGTTTTCAGAAATTTTGTATTCCATTTCATCATGCCTATAAAGTGTTTTTAAAATCTTATTCCTAATTTATTTAATGCACTATAATATTTATTTTCTTTACTGATTCTTTATTTATAGATATTTTTTTTAATATTTTACAAAAACGTTGAGCGGACTACTCAAAGTCCAGGAAACCCTTTCTATCCAAGAAGGGAAGCAGTTGCTGCATGGCCTTCACATAGTAAGGATTTATCAAAGTCCTGTAGCGGATCGCATCTTTATCCGAGGGCATCAAAGTGGCCACCATCACTCCATTGGCCGTGAAAGGTGCTGAAATGGGGAAAACATTTTAAATTAATTTTATTACCTCGGTAAAATTCAGTTTATCCCTTAGAGTAGGAATTCGTTTTGCGTAGTTGAGAAGCTTAAGGCACTCCACTAATCGTTCGTGATAGATCTGTATAAAGTGATCGAATTCCTTAGTCTTAATGTCCAGCGAGGCCGATGTGATGATCATGTACAGAAGATCCTGCGCCGGGGAACCCCACTTGCACATTTGAAGGTCCACAAAAATGGTGCGATCAATCTCCCCGTTATCTTTGTAATTGAACATTATATTATTTGACCAGGAGTCGCCATGGTTCAGCACATTGAAGTCACTCTCGTCCACTTGATTCATTTTGATTCCCTCGTCAAAGAACTTGGAAGGAATGGGATATTTCCGAATGTATTTCTCCACATCTGGAATGCCCCATTCGCGCATTGCCTTGAGAAAACCAGGGTCTCTCATCTCCCTAATTTTAGTGGCCATCGGTTTGTTTTCAGGCGTAAACATGGACTCTTACGACTCCTTTACCTTTAAAAAGTAGATCTATTACCACCCTAACCATAATGGAGGTATAGTTCTCGCCGGGAGCCGTAGCCGCAATCGGAGTGAAGTTTACAATTTTATCAAAGTTAGTCACATCTTTCTCAAGAATCGGTCGGAAGTAGTCCTCGTTTATCCACCCGGGAATGACCAAGTGCTCGTTGGGATTAATTGGTTTTGGTGGCATGATTACAATGTAGTTAATAAATTTATTTCGATGGTTATTATTGACCGACCGGTACAACGAATGTTATTACAAGAAAGTTCTGCTTAACCGAAGGAACGAAGTGATACTAAAGTTTACTCTACCGGTGGCTCAGGTTAAATAGCCAATGAAGTACTTTGAATATAAGGGTAACGCTTATTAGCAAAAATTAGCGATTTGATATCGCCAATGCAATAAAAATACATTTATGCCATCGAATTGTCTACGCCTTAATATTCGAGGTTATTTACATTCTATATTTATAAATATCTATAAAATATTACAGTTCTTGTCATAATTGAGCTTTTAAGCAGTAATACATTAATTGAAACATCCATGAATAACAAGCAGTTAAAATAATAAAATTCGCATAAAGCAGTTGTAATTTTATACGTATATCTCCTCTCGGTATTTGTTGAGCTCACATAGAAATATTCAATTGTTGTCCAACAAATTAATTAAAATTCCGCATAGTGCTGTTCATTGTCGTTTTTCCTATTTCTATAGATACACATATTCTGGCCTAGCCATATAGTATATTGTACAACTGAGAAATGTTTGTTGAAGCAGCGCAGTCATCCCGAATTGAAATAATTGGGGCTCGTCCAAGTTCAGGGAGTGTGCCATGAGTATTTGCTTGTGGCCGTGGTGGCCTGATAATAAATATTATCAGTTTAGATTGAGGCTCAATTAAAATTAGTTTGTCGTCAACGATTATGTCGTTATCAATAGCAAACGTAACCCATGGGGAACATTCGAAATAATGTGTAAAAAGAGCGTAGCGACATGACTGGCGTTTAAGAAGGAAATCAGTCCAAACAGTATTGATAAGATATTTAATCCTTGTTTTAGCACCTATTTTAAAATGAACATATGATTAGTTATACCATTCATTAAATGTTATAAAAAGAAAGAGGAAATCATTTATTTTAATTTTATTTAGACCTAATTGAGCAGTAAGCGCTCCTCCATCCAGGGCAGAATTTCCTTCATCGCCTGGATGTATTTTCGATTGGTGAACATGGCACACTTCATTTTGGAGGCATATCGTTCGTTGACCTCGTCCTCGAACTGACTCATCATCGCAATGGGCAGAGCCCGGGTCACCACCACATAGGCTGAAATTACCCCACCGATTAGATTTAATTTACTTAATAGTAACTTACTCTAGAACTTACCAGCCAGGCAATTCTTATTTAGGGAATCACGAATATCCTGCAGCTGCGGTAGGGTGCCTTGACAATTCAGAACTTTGAGATTATCCAGTAAGTGGTAGAAATAATACTGCACCATATCATCAAACTGGACCAGCTTGATGTCCTTCTCGGCGGATGAAAGGATGGTAAAGTAAATATCAATGGCCTGAAAATCGAAAATTAAGTAAATGGAATTTGTTGTTTGTAAGCAGATAAACTTAAAATGAGTTAAATATTATACTATTAAAAAAATTCGATTGGGTAAATTACATATCTGAATATTAAATGTATAAAATTAATTTTTTGTTTAATTTTAATATTGAATAATATTTATTTGTTTACCGGAGAGCCATACTTGACCACCTGGAAATCCAGCAGGGCGGTATCTTCCACTTGACCGATATCGTCAAACTTGAACATTACGTTGTTCACCCAGCAGTCGCAGTGATTGAGGACGTTAAACTGCTCGGGATTGGGGGCATGGAGCTCCAATATCCGATCGACCAGGTGCTGCTCCTTCTCCACGAATCGCTTGTGGAAATGGTCGCCCATGCGCCACCTTCGCAGCTGGGAGAGAAATGTATCCGGATCGTTTAGCTCCCGGAGAACGGATCGGTTGGCCGTTGTGTAGACTCCGTTGGCCAGAAGTTTGCCGAAGGCTCCATTCTTTTCCACAAACACTACGGAGGCGGCATGCAGCTGGGCCAGTTTCTTGAGCACTTGCTTCAGGCACTCTTCATTAAATCCCTCGTGTCGCTCCACATTTCGGAATCCCCGGGTCTTGAGGTCCTCCATCAGGATGTACTGAACTCCGATTGCGTGGTCCAGCCTGAAAGTCCTCGGTCCAAAGGATATCGCCTTGCCCGCCTCCCTGTAGAGCTGCTCCAGCTTGGGCAGAAGATTGTGGTAGACCTGGTGCTCCCGCGTGAACATCTTCAGCTGACTCATCACCCTGGCCTGAAAGTCGCTGCCATGCGGAGCCTTCAGCACAAAGGATAACTTCTTCACCGTGAAGTCCGGCAACTGGACCTTTACCCGGATGGGAACGAGGACCGTGCAGTTGCGGAATTGGATGTGGTTAATGCTTGGAATGACCGTCACGATGTGGTGTCCTTCCCCCAGGATGGAGGCAACCGCCTGGTTGAGGGACAATGTGGAAACCCAATCGGGAGTTTTTGGTACTTTCATCGCTCTAAAATCACTTAATAAATTTTTACCCCTGAATTTAAGAGATATAAAACTATGTAACTACTGAGTGAAATTACTAAAGGAAGCTGCTCAAGCTGAAATTATATTTGTTTTTATATTTAGCATACCAAATATTTAATAGAGAGTCAAAGGTTATTTCGAATATAATTAGTTGTTTATTAACCTTGCAGCGTTTCAACAATTTGTAGATGACGCTATTAAATAATCGTTATTATAGTACGAATACATCATTATATCATTTTGGGAGTTAATCACTTCCAGTCGAGCAGACCGCGGTTGTCCAACCATGGCAGCACCTCCGTCATCACCTGGACATATTTCGGGTTGGTGAACATGGCGTTCTTCATTTTCGACTCGTCGCTTATATAGCTCTCCAGATTGGCGTTGTTGGTCTTGTCCAGCATGACGACGGGCAGCACCTTGGAGACCACCATATAAGCTGTTGACAAAGTATTATGAATATTTGTTTTTATAATTGTTAGATTTAATTACTCACCAGCCAATCCGTGGCGGAAAAGCGCTGCATGCAGATTCTTCAACTTGGGCAGTGGCCGGTGGTATTGCAGCAGCTTCAGATTCTCGATCAGATTATCGAAGTAGTAGCGCACCAAGTAGTCGAACTTGGCAGTCTTCAGTTCGGGGGCAGCCGAAGACAAGATCAAATAGTACAGATCATTGGCCTGAAAGAGTAAAATTAGAGATATTAGTAAAGAACTTGCAGACATAATTCATAATCTTACCGGACTTCCGTACTTTCCCACTTGAAAGTCCACGAAGAGAGTCTCCTTGATCGTTCCAAAGGCATCGTGCTGGAACATTATGTTATTGGCCCAACAGTCGCCATGGTTGAGTACATTGAATTCCCTGGCATTGTACTGTTGATCCTGCAGCAGACGATCTACCAAGTAGTCATCGCTATCAGCCTGGAAAAATCAAAAAAATATATTTATAAAAGAATTTCAGTTTTCCCATCGAAAGAAACGCACCAGCTTCTCGTAGATTTTCTGGGCATTCTTCCACTTCTTAAGCTGCGCCAAAAAGGCACCGGAGGCATTGAATTCCTGCAGCAACTGGCGGTTGGCCTCACTGAACACGCCCACCACGAACTCTTCGCCAAAGAATCCATGGTGCTCCACATAGCAGGCGGATGCCGCATGGAAGGCGGCCAGTTTCTCGAGGACCTTCTGCATGTGAACCAAATCCAGACCGGCCAGACGATTGGCGTTCTTGAAGTTCTTGCGCTGCAGATCCTCCAGCAGAATGTAGTCGACTCCAAGGTCACGATCCACCTTGAAGGCCTGGGGAGCAAACTGAATCGGCTTGCCGGCATCCGCGTAGAGCTTCTCGAACTTGGGCAGAATGCTGTGGTACATCTGATCCTCCTTCTCGAAGAGCTTCAACCTGGTCAGAATGGCGGCCATCACCTCGTTGTTGTGCTGAGCCTTCAGCACGAAGGAAAGGCTCTTGGTGCTGTGATCTGTGAGGAATAAAGTACTTATTATCCATCCAAATTTATTTAGAGGTTTGATTATCACTCACCCAACAGCTCCACTTCCACCAGGAGTCGCAGGAACTGGGATGAATAGTTCTCGCCCTCGCCGCTGCCCTTTTGGGGGGTAATCGAAATGACCTTCTCAAAGTCCCCGATCAGCGCCTGAACCGCCTTCTCCAAAGTGATGTTGGGCAGCCATTTGGGAAGATTATCGGCTGGCACCTCAGGGTGTCCATTGGTATTGGTGGCCTCAGACATTGTGAATCTGCCATAAAAGACCCCGATTTATTTACTTGGATTTAAAATGTTTGGTCAACACAAATGACGGGCTGATAACAACGATTCTAACGCTTTTACTCTAATGTTAACATGGCCAACAGGTCGTATACACAACGACTGTTCGACCAATTATCGAACATAGATGGCGCCACTGCGCTTTTTGTTTGGTCAAAGGCGCGGAATATTTGAATAACAAAATGCTTTGCTCTGCTCTGCTCTTGGCCCAACCCATCCCATAAAATTTATAAGAAATGTGAATACTTTTAGAAATTGCATCACTTGAGGCGAAGAACTTTATCTTGAGGAAGGGGTCTAATGCGGCGGCGAATTATTACCATATCGTATCAAGTACTCTAATTGCTGCAGTATAAATGTTTCTCTACATCTGAAGGACCATCAAATCGAATACACTTTCTATGAGATTTTCTAAGAAAAGGCTGGGCTATCTTAGTCCACTTATATGTATGAATCTGCTACTTTAAGGAACACAAATACTTGGTAATAGCTGGTAAACTAATGCCTTTTTCAAGTGTTTTTTTACTAATACTTGAAGATAGTTGGTGCAGCGCCTGATAATCTAGGGTTTTATTTTATATGTAGTTAGCTGGTACTATAGTATAGTGAGTATTCCTATTCCATGGAAAATATATTTTTTCCTTTAGATAAATTCAGTCAAATCATCATCAATATAGTTACGAATACGTGATTTAACAAACGGTGCTCATTCGAATGCCGTTAATTACCAACCGTTTGTGGGGCTTTCAATGATTAGGCAATTATCAGAATTATCGCTATTTAATGAACAAAAATCATAAATCAGGTCACATGTCAGGTAGTGAAACACCTGCTGTCCATTACGACATAGAGAATGAGGTATCCTACCTGGGTCAGGATCAAATATTGACTGAGGGCAGCGAAAACTTCACTTTTAATAATTTCTATTCACTATACTTGGTTTTTAAACTATTTCAAATATAATGCGTTCTTTCCACCACAATATATGTTGTTATACTAGATTTTAGGCCAATCTGAGCTACGTTTTTATAGAACTTTTCATTTCTGATAATCAAATCTAAGAGATTGGATCCCTCGAACCAGGGAATGTGTCACTGGGAAAGTACACAGCGGTAGCAAACCTTTTTCCTTAATAGGTAAACGGAGCGTTCTGATAGATCGACTGCAGTCCGCGCAACTGTCGAGTGGGAAATACGAGTCGCGATAGTCGGGAGCAACGTTATTGCCCCGATTTGGCTATGGGCAAAGAAATTCCTTATCGCATGCATTCGATTGAAGTTTATTTTGTAATTCAGTTCGCCAAAACCGGCGAAAAATGGGTGGCAATCTGCGGTGGCGAGAGCGGGAGGGAGATATAGTGTGTGCCAGAGCGAGAGGCAAGTGATATATGATATGGAGGCGAACGCCGTCAATTGTTTGATTGATAACAAAAACTGTTTCTTGTTTCGACTTCTTTATCGGCCACCCATGTTTCTCTTTGCGCTCGCCATTCGCTCTAATTATTTCGTGATTCCTCATTAATTGCTGTTTGCGGGCGTGACATGTGACGGGTAGATAGATAGACATACGCATACCCCTTCCCGGGGATCTCCTGTGATTTCTGCACGAGCGCCAGACACTCATTGAATTATTATTAGAATAATTTAGTAGTCCTACCATACTAAATATAGGCATAGACAAGGCACAATTGAGCTTTTCGATTCAATGTGAATGGCCTTTATTTGATCATTTTTGATACCCATGGTTTGACTTCATTTTACCAATCAACTTAACTTTCTGGTTAACTTAATGTGGTAAGTCTATCCCATAAGTAAATATCTTACACTCCGAGGAACACGTTATGTGGATTATTTTTTTAGGCGAGCTTTTGGTCAGGTGAAAACAGTTGGATGACACGAGTTTCAATATCATGCCATCGATTTCATCATCAAATCTTAAAAAGAATTTTCTATTTTATTTATTTTAGTTTAAATTCCGATTATTAAAAATGTTTTTGAATTTCTTACTACATTAATGCTTAAAATGCTGGCAGCCAAATTATAATCATATTGCATTTTTAAATAAAATCCATTTTTCTTGTTGTGCTTTTTTATTGTCTTACCTGTAAATCGATTCGATCGACATCAAATTAAACGGAATAGTTCATAAAATTCTGTTTTTTATGATTGTGCTTATGAGAACCGGTCATATAATAATTTCGTTTGTTTCCCAAGTTGCCCTTTATAAATAAATAAAAAATTTGCTTTGCAGTTTTATTAAATGTCATGTTCAATTTTATTTTAGTTGTCTGATAATAGCATTTCTTGTTAATTTGTTTTCTTTTCTTCTTTTGTTTCATTAGTAATATAATTGTCATGAAAGCGAAGACCTCCACCAAAATGTTAATACTTTAAAGCTTCTTTACGGATATCAAACGATTTCAGTTAGTACTGAGGGCACCTCGGTTGTTAAGCCAAGTTAGAATGGCGCTAACATGCTTCTTGTAGCGGGCATTCGAGTACATTGCCATCTTGAGACCATCGCCATTATCCGATTCGGTGACGAAATCGGTCAAATTGGCGTCATCAGTTCGATCGAGTAGCACCGGTGGGCAGAGCATCAGAACAACGTGATATCCTATGAGTATAAAAAACAAAAAACTAATAGTTTCCCAGCTTTTCGGAGAGAGCTTTTCGCCTTACCAACGCTGCCATATTTCAACAGCTGAGTGTGCAGGAATCGCAGCGAGGGGGTCTTGGCCTCGGGGTACTTGAGCAGTCGCAAGTGCTCGACCAGCTGATCGTGATAGTACTTGATAAAGAAATCGAACTGACTCAATTGGATGTCGAATTGCGTCGACCCGAGGAGGAAGTAAATCAGATCAAAGGCCACGCAGGTCACCCTGGGCAGTTGGAGGTCCACAAAGTAGGTTTCAGCTGGCACAGGGTTTTCGTCCTCATATCTAAACATAATGTTGTTGGTCCAGCAATCCCCATGATTCAATGCATTGAAATCTTCGGGATCCGGCGTGTTCATGGCATAGATACGTTCCACTATTTTCGGTTGGATCTTGTGCTGCATAGTAATCGTATTTTAATTAGTTATAATCCATAAATTATACATTTTCGAAACTGTTACTCACCACCGCCTCGCTATATTCCTCGTAGCCCTCGTAGAGAGGCAGACATTTCAAGAGGTACTTGCCCAGAGTCTCGGCCACCTGTTCGATATTGTCCCTCATGGTATCCGAATAGGTGGGTTGCAAGTAGTTCTGGGTGTAGGGACCCTTCAGATGAAGCCTATTGGCCGAGGCCGCATGCCACTGGGCCATCTTCTTCAGCACACTCTTGGTGTGGGCCATGTCCAGACCCACCAGCCGATCGACGTTCTTGAAACCGAAGGGTCCAAGGTCCTGCAGCAGAACGTAATCATCGGGGGCTTGAATTTCGTAGGCCTTGGCCGCAAACTGGACCTCCAGACCCGCGTCCTTGTACATCTTCTCCAGCTCGGGAACCACCTGCAGGAAGACATCCCGCTCCACCACAAACATGTTGTTCTTCTTCAGGATCTCGCGGTACATCTCGAAATCGTGCGGCGTCTTCAGCATATAGCTCACATTTTCGGTGGTGTGATCTGATGATGACGAAATCTTCGGCGTTACTTTCCATTGTCTGGCCAGGCGAATGACTCACACTTACCACTCAGCTCGACTTCGAAGTGGAGGCGTAGCATAATGGTGGAGTAATTTTCTCCCGGCTTGAGACCAGCCACCGGCTTGAAGCTCTTGATTCCCACATACTTATCGCCGAATCGTTCACTCAGCAATTTCTCAAATAGCTCTGCCTTCAGCCAGGTGGGCAGTGGAACCGTTGCTGTTTCCTCCGACATCGTGAACAAACTGAATGTCAATTGGCCGGCTGGTGGTGTTAAAATATGAGAGCGCACAAACTTATTTTCCCTTTATCTCTTTGTCCAATAGCTTGTTCAACAAAAACAAAGGCCGATCGGAAAGCTCAAAAAGCTTGGGCAAACAAAACAGAGAGTGCCGGCAAACAGAGAGTTCTCAAAACAACTTGTTTCCAAACACATAAAGTGTATACAGCACCCATACCAACCAAAACAAACTGAGGGAATACTAAGTATATAAAAGCCATATTTGGGCCTGATGCCTCTCTTTTGTACCATATCAAATCGAAACGTAATGGAAAAAAACTAATAAATTTCATTAAATAATGGTAAGTTACAAATTCAAAGGAAAATAGATTAGATTATTTTGCCTATAATGTTGCAATTTACCATTATTTCATGAAATTGATTATTCGTTAGGAATATTTTCCATAGATTGTATCAATTTAGTCGTACAGGTAATTAACGCCATTGCTTTTTACAGCAAACCTCTTAGATTTCCTTTCTTCGCGATTTGGAAATTTTAAAAAATTAATGATATATCTTTATAAGATAAAGTTTAAAAATGTAATGTATACATGAAGGTATATTTTCTATTAATTAACAACTTGGGTTCCTATCTTCCCAAATATATTATAATACAATATTTATATCCGTTTACTTCTAAAATTTTACATAAGTGGGTAGAAACATAAATACTATTCCATAGCACCTCGATGTTGTAGCCATGGCAGTAGCACTTCCATATGTTTTTGAAATCTGGGATTAACGTAGAGCGACCTTTTGAACTCGGTGTCGTCGGAACCAAGGACTTTCTCAATATCAGCGCCATCTACGGGATCCAGCAGAACATATGCCATTATAGTTGAGGCGCAGATGAAACCTTGAGAATTAAATTATTTATAAGTTCCGAACACTATTTCTTAAAACGATGAACTCACCCCATCCACTGTATTTGTTAAGAGCATCACGAATACTCCTTAAAGTGGGCGGTTCTTTTGAGTAATTCAGCAATTTGAGGTGCTTGACCAACTCGGAGTGGTAAAACCAAATGAAGTAATCGAATTTTGAGGTCTTGACATCCAAACTTGTAGAAGAGAGCAGGAAGTAGTACAAATCCTGCGCCACTGTGCCCCACTTGGGGATTTGAAGATCAACGAAATAGGTATCCTGTATTTCGTTCTTGGCATTGTACTGGAACATAATGTTATTGGACCAACCATCGCCATGATTCAGCGCTTTGAAATCATCAGGTCCCGGATGGTTTAGGCTGTCCACAACTTCCAATGTCTTGGCAGAGGCGATTTTCTGCAGCGATTGTTACATAAGAGATAAGAATCAGAGATACGGATGTGGCGAGATAAGTTGCACTCACCAAATCCTTTAGATAAGTCTCGTGACCTTTGCACAGCTCGATGTTATCCATGAAAACCTTCATGCTGCGCGTACAGAACCCGTCTACGATTTCCTCGTTCTCCAAAAAGCCCTTCCTGTACTTCTCCTCGTAAGGACCCTTCGTTTCCACTCGGACGGCAGAAGCAGCATGCCACTGGGCGAATTTCCGCAGGACACTCTCGGTATGAGCCTGGTCCATTCCTTCGAGGCGATTGATGTTCCGGAAACCCCGTGGACGAAGGTCCTCCAGCAGGACGTAATAATCGCTGGCTTCTATCTCGTAGGCTTCTGCTCCAAACTTCACCTCAAGACCCACATCGCGATATAGTTGCTCCAATTCGGGCACCACTTCCAGATACATTCCACGTTCCACATCGAAAATATCCGTCTTTTCTATCATCTTGCGATACATCTCAGAGGGGTGGGGAGTCTTTAGCATGAATGCCTTTGTTGTTTGGGATTTATCTAGGAGATTTATTTTAAAAAATTAGGGAAGTATAATAAATATATAAAAATACCAACCTTTTGTCTCCACATCCAGCTCTATTCTCAGCATTATGGTGGCATAGTTCTCGCCAGCAGCGACTCCTGCTTTAGCCCTCATGCATTTCGTCTCCTTATAATCCTTGACCTCCTTTTTAAGCAGATCTGCAAAGACTTCCGGCTTCACCCAATCCGGAATTGTGACTGCTCTTTCGGTGACCTCCTCGTCCTTTGTCTGGGGCGGCATTTTAAAGAGATCTCGATGAATTCAGCACACTTACTGGAAGCTTGGAGTACTGAGAGCATCTTTTAAATACTTGTGGAGGAATCTTAATGACAATGCGAGCGATAAACCTTATCTCTTACCTAACAATCAGCCAACTGTTTTTAATTCGCTTGTGCCAAAGTGACAAGGCAGTCTGTTACACCTTTACTCGGTGGATGCGACTGGAATTATTAATACAATCCCCCCCACAGATTAGATTCTCGAAATGACCGCGCGATTTCTGGGACAGTGGTGGAAATACAAATACTTTAATATTAAAAAGTGTTATATATTAAAAATCAATTTTTATAAAAATCTTATCTTTCAACCTAAATGCAATATTTTATTACAACACGTTATCTTTAAAGTATTTTAAAGCGTGTCATTATAAAAGATATTTACTACTTGGTGCAATAAATGCATTTATCTTATCTGTTAAGAATACTGTTAGCAGTAAAACACATGTGCATATATGAATACCCCTATATAAGACAGACCTTTTAAAATGCTTTGATTGTAAAAATTTTGAAAATTATGTTTAAGTGGTATAATATCCCCATGCTGAAATAAGGAAATTGTTCTTAGATCAGGCCCAATAAAATTTATTTGATAATTTCTTAAACACAAATCCTTAGTTAATTTGTATTGATTTTTAGAATGATTTAATTCTACTCTAGGGCCCCTCGATGCTGCAGCCACGGCAATAGGACTTCCATATGTCTGCGGAATCTGGGGTTAGTGTAAATGGAATTTTTAAAGCTGGAGTCTTCCTTCGATAAGATTTTATCGAGATCACCATCATCGGTGGGATCCAGCAGGACAACTCCCATTACGCATGCAGAGCAGATGAAGGCTGCAGAATGGAGATAATTGTGAAAATTATATACATTTTTATTAAGATGATACTACTTACCCCACCCACTGTATTTGTTAAGGGCGTCGCGAATACTCTTCAAAGTGGGAAATGTCTTTGAGTAATTCAGAATTTTTAGATGCTTAACCAATTCTGAGTGGTAAAACCAAATAAAGTAATCGAATTTCAGCGTTTTAATGTCCAGGCTAGTTGACGAAATCAGAAAGTAGTACAAATCCTGCGCTACTGATCCCCATTTGGGCAGTTGCAGATCAACGAAATAAGTACTTAGAATTTCGTTCTTGTCATTGTACTGGAACATAATGTTGTTAGACCAACCATCGCCGTGGTTCAGGGCGTTGAACTCGTCGGATTTTGGTTCCTTCAGATCGTTTACCACATCAATTAACTTTTCTGAGACACTGTGCTGTTGGAAAAAGGATGAACAAGTTAAAAAATAGATCTAAGGATTCTAAAATAAATGTTTACTTACCAAATCCTTTACGTAAGCCTCGTGTCCTTCAAACTGATCGATATGTTTTAATAAGTTCTCACCACTCCGACAGAAAGCATCAGTAATTTCCTCCGAACTGAAAATACCCTGTGTATACTTCTCGTTGTAGGGTCCTTTGAGGTCCACGCGAACTGCAGAGGCCGCATGCCATTGGGCGAATTTCTTCAGGACATTTTCAGTGTGAGCCTGGTCCAAACCTTGGAGGCGATCACAGTTTCTGAATCCTCGAGGCTTGAGGTCTTCCAGCAGGACATAGTAATCGCTGGCTTCTATTTCGTAGGCTTTAGCTCCAAATTTAATCTCAAGACCCACATCGCGATACAGTTGCTCCAATTCGGGGACCACTTCCAGATACATTCCACGTTCCACATCGAAAATATCCGACTTTTCGAGAAGTCTGCGATAGGCCTCAGTATGGTGGGGTGTTTTTAGCATAAATGCCTTGGTAATTTTTGATTTATCTATAATAATAAAAGTATTTTTTGGAATTACTTTTGAAGGTTCTGAAAAAATGAACAAACCTTTGGTCTCCACATCCAGTTCTACCCTAAGCATTATGGTGGCATAGTTCTCGCCAGCAGCGACTCCTGCCGTGGTCCTTAAAGCTTTCGTTTCCTTGTAATCCTTGACCTCATTTTTAAGCAGATCCTGAAATGCTTCCGGCTTTACCCAGTCCGGTATTTGTACTTCCCTTTGGCAAATTTCTTCGTCCTTCGTCTGCGGCGGCATTTTTGAAAGATCTACTGGACTTGATCTCACTTAATATGAACTTTCTTTAGCAGCGTCTTCACTTAAATACGGTTGGTTTAGAGCACCGATAAGAAATATAAACATTATCTTTATCCCCACAGACAATCTTAATTGCTCCTTAATTGCAATATTCAGAATGACAGCGCACATTTTCCCACCTTTGGACCATTTTAGTTTTGCCTAAACCATCCCATAACATTAATTTTGAACCTGACATTGCAGTTTTGCGAGGATATAACTTTCTGTCGTTATTATATTACTTTTCGTATAGTTTTTCAAAATAGATTCCTTTTTCTGTGGACTGGAACATAATTTGTTTCTGTGTTTAAATATACAGACCCAAACGATAATAAAATCACAATACATTTCTACCTAACATAAAATTAAAGCTATGTAAGTTGGTAGTACAATTTGAGGCAACGTATAGATTGTTTAGCTCTCGAGGCAGTTAATTGTGATTATTATTTATTGTGAGTAAGCAAAATAATGGAGATATGTATATACATAGTAGTACATAAATACAGATAACTAAAAAAGTACATACTGGGGCTTTATTTTCGGATTTGTTTTGCTACCCTTTTCGCTAACTACCTTTTATGGTATACGTTTTATGACTCTCTCTCTCTCTTAGCTTACTTATCATTAGTTCGTATCTTTTTCGGTCGAAAAAAGCTTTTTGCTATAGAAGCGATACTAAAGAAGGGGAAGAAAACAAATAAGTTTGCTTGTGGTCGTCTTTCGTTATGTTTTGCTATGGTTGTTTGTTTATGCCCATATAAGGAATATTCGTATACTTAAAAGACCTCGCTCTTCTTTGGTGAGTCAGGTTCGTATTTGACTACAAAGAAGACAGCGGTTTTTAGCAAAAAAATTGTGACTATTTATTGTAATTACAAATACTACAAATATAATATTACAAATATAACATAAATATGTTGAAATGCTAATGTAGTTTTTGGTCTGTGAAGTTATATTACTAATTCAGTTCCAGGGCGCCACGATTGAGCAGCCAAGGCAACACCACCTGGATGTGTTTCCGGTACCGGGGACTGTTAAATAGACGCATCTGGAAATTAACTCCCTCTTCACCGTCACTTGCAAACGTCTCAAAGCTGGCATTATCCGTACGATCCAACAGAACGGCGGCCATCGTACCACTGGCCACGGAATATGCTGGAAAAAATTAAAAAAAGAAAAACCATTTAAGTAATACATTCAGTTTTAAGGAAACAAATATGTTAATTACCGAAAAATCCATTCTTGATGATCGCCAAGTGAATGTCCTTCAGACTGGGAATAGCCTTTGAGTACTTCAGGATCTTAAGGTGCTCCACCAAATGCTCGTGATACACCCTTATGTAGTGATCGAATTTCGACAGCTTATCCTCCAGTTTTGTGGAGGAGATCAGGAGGTAGAGCAGGTCCTGGGCCACAGTTCCGTACCTGGGCAGCTGGTAGTCCACCAGGAAAACCTCCTTGACCTTTCCGAAGGCATCGTACTGGAACATGATGTTGTTGGCCCAGGTATCGCCATGGCTCAGCACATTAAACTCCGTGGGGTCGACTTTGGCAAACTCGAACATTTTATCGACAAAAACATCAGTTAGGGCTTTCTAAGAAAGGCAAGAGAAAATTAAATGGTATAACTGTATAATATCTAACTATTTTCTACTTACGACTTTATCTATGTATTCTTCGTGACCTTTGTAGGTGGCGCAACTTTTTACGAAATTCCCACCAATTCCTTTAATCATTCCAGTCATCATCGGCCGGTTCTCCTCCTTGTAGAAGCCATGTAATACGATATCGGGATACTGGCCCTTTGTGGCAATCCGCACAGCCGTTGCAGCATGCCATTGGGCCAACTTCAGGAGCACCATTTCGGTGTGAGTTTGATCGAATCCTTCCAGGCGATCAGCGTTCTTAACTCCCTTGGCGCCCAGATCCTCCAGCGCCACATAGTCAGTCTTGGCGTTCTTAAGATTGTAACTCTTGGCGCCAAAAGTAACATTTACATTCTCTGCCTTATAGAGAGCCTCCATTTCGGGAACCACCTCGTTGTACATGCACCGTTCGATGTCGAAAACGTTTGATTTTTCCATCATCTCCTTGAACACTTCACCCTGGTGAGGCAACTTTACCATGTAGGACACCTGCTTGGTTTTTCCATCTATGAAGGATAAGTCATAAGACATTTCTTCCGGATACCAGCATTACCCACTAACTTACCCTTTAGCTCCACTTCGATCTTAACTCGTACCATAATGGTGGCATAGTTTTCTCCAGCCGCAGATCCCGAGTCCGCCTTGAAACTCTTTACTTTGGAGTATCCTTCCACACTTTTCTTGAGCACATCCTCAAAGAGTTCCGCAGTAACCCAGTCGGGAATATTAGTAGCCGCCATTACTATTTAGTTATAATAGTTTTTCATTCAAGAACAAGTAAGTTAATTGGATGCACTGTGTTGTGTTGACTGACTGCAGAAATCGGGGACCCATATTCTTATACAAACTGGTGAGCTTTCACCAAGGGCTTTCTATCGATCTTCTCTCTTTGATTATTTCACTTGTACCATTTCTGTCTCTTATAAAGCTCTCACTGAGTAATGGCGAGTAAATTTGTCCATAAATGGAAGGCGGTCTCTTTTGTTCCATATAAGGGAATGCGTCTCTAAAAATGTTTACCAGCTACGCATAAAGTTTAAGAACGAAGAATGCTTTTAGCTACAAACCTAAACATTTATATTGCTTTAATTTTATTTCAATTTCTTTATATAAATATTAAGATATATTAATTTATTAATATTAAATAAATTGTTCCCTTAGAAATGTTTGAACCTCAAGCTCGCTCGTTACTAGTCCCTCATTTTATTGTGAGCTTTTTTGTTTGAGAAGATAGTGCGGTTTATTGAAAGAGCTGATAAATATAAGCTTATGAAGCCAATGTTTTCGGATTTTTGTTTTGCTACACTGTCCGCTTATGACCTTATATGGGTTTCGGCTTCTACCTCTATCTCTTAATCACTTTGTATCATACAAATTGTGTGTCAACAAACTACTAAATTAGTTTGGGGAGTCACCGTGTTAATTGTAAAAAAAAATACAAATTTTATTATTTAAAAAATAAAATTCTTAAATATTTAGTATACTATTTAAATTAATATTCTTTATAGAAAACGTTTTTTTTTCAACAATAACCCAAAATTTAAAGAAGTAATTGATAAAAAGCTTTCTAGTTTATGCTATTGGAAAAAATTGTATCTGCCACGTTTAACAGTGTTTTTAAGTATATTTATACTTACTTCCTTATATGGCAACTTTATATTTAAGCCAGGATTCTTTACAGACTATGTTTCCTTCAAAAATACCCCAAAATTTAAAGAATTATTTGTTAAAAAGTTTTCTAGTTTATGTTATGGGAAAAAATTGTATCTGTCACGCTTAACAGAGATTTTAAGTATATTTTTTGTTTACTTCCTTATATGGCAACTTTATTTTCAAGCCACGGTTGGCTTACCCCTCATGTCATTATCATAACCGCTTTCCCTCCGAAAACACACATTATCATGGGGACTTTGTGATTGTGACTAAGTGATTGAATTCTTTTATTGTCGAAAGTTTTACGTTTATAAATACTCGTTGCCATTATCGCACATAAATAGAGATAACACTATCATGGGATTGCACATTTTTATGACTCAATTTGTATTGTTTATTGTGAAAATTGGAAATTATTTAGTTGGTTGCTCTAGATATCTAAACAGCCACGATTTAGCAGCCAGGGCATAATCGCTTGAATATGTTTGCGGTACCGAGGGCCATTGTACATCTGCATCTGGAAGTCCACTCCAGCTTCAGTATCACCCATAAAGTTCTCAAAACTTGCCGAGTCTGTGGGATCCAGCAGAACGGCAGCCATCACACCAGTGACCACGGTATAGCCTAGATATGAAATTTAGAATTTTAATGGTGTAGCTTTAAAAATTCGCAAATACTTACCGAAAAATCCGTATTTAAAGAGCGCCAAATGAATGTCCCGCAGACTGGGGATGGGTTTTGAGTACTTTAGAATTTTCAGGTGCTCCACCAGGTTTTCATGATAAACCTTAATATAGTAATCGAATTTTGTGAGCTTATCCTCCAGCTTTGTGGAGGAGAGCAAGAAGTACTGAAGGTCCTGGGCCACGGTTCCGTATTTTGGGATCTGATAATCGACCATATAAACCTCCTTGATCTTTCCAAAGGCGTCATACTGGAACATAATATTATTCGACCAGGAATCGCCGTGGTTCAGCACATTAAACTCCGTGGGATCAACCTTGGCGAATTCGAAAAGCTTATCGACAAACACGGGCTGCAGGGCTTTCTGGTAGAATCAGGAACAAATAAAATATTATCAAGACTAATCAAATTTGTCAAGTATTTATACTTACGACTTTGTCTATAAAGATCTCGTAACCTTCGTAGGTAGCGCAGCTTTTCACAAAATTTCCACCCATTCCCTTCATCATTTCAGTCATCATTGGACGGGTGTCCTCCTTAAAGAATCCGTTTAATAGGATATCAGGATAGGGGCCTTTGGTGGCCACTCGCACTGCCGAAGCAGCATGCCATTGTGCTAACTTTCGTAGCACTCTCTCCGTGTGCGTTTGATCGAGTCCTTCAAGGCGATTGGCATTCTTGAATCCCTTAATTCCCAGATCCTCCAAGGCCACATAGTCAGTCTTGGCATTCTTGAGATCGTAGCTCTTGGCGCCAAAAGTAATGTCCACTCCTGCAGTCTTGTAAAGGGCTTCCATTTCCGGAACTACCTCATTGTACATTGTGCGCTCGATATCAAAGATGTTTGTTCGCTTCATCATCTCTTGGTACATCTCCAGTTGGTGGGGCAATTTTACCATATAGGAAACCGGTTTCAATTTGCCATCTGGGGGAGGGAAATCAGACATTTTGCTCGACCTTAACCCCAACTGACTTACCCTGCAGCTCCACTTCGATGTTAACCCGCAGCATAATGGTGGCATAGTTTTCCCCTGCCGCTGATCCAATGTCTGCCTTGAAACTCTTGACTTTCGCGTATCCCTCCACATTTTCCTTGAGAATATCTTCAAACAAGTCAGCAGTTATCCAATCGGGAATTTTACTGGCCGCCATTATAGATAATCGTTATTTGCTTTTCTATAGAAGCGTAGAACACGTATACGCCTAGTTGTGCTGAGCGAGTGGACTGAGGCCAGTTAGGGAGGATCAATAGTTATATATCTGTTTGGGGAGCTTTTACCCCTCAGTTCGTAGAACAAGTGGGCATTCTCTCTGTTTTTGCCGAGCAAGCTTTTCTAATTGCACTTTAACTAATGCTGTTGTTTTGATCACATTATCACTTAAATACATACAAGTGAATAGTTGTAGATTTTTTACTATATACACTGCTTCGGGGCGAAGACCATTATAATTGGGCTTACTTATGATCCATCGTTAGGGTGAAGGGAAGTCATATTCCCAAATTCCCAACATAAAACAAAATGTTTTTGGTAAATATTTATATCTAACGCTTTAAAAACGCTGTTATTTATATTTATTTTGTTTAATACTTTCAAGAGGAATGAGTTAGGGAAGGGTATGCACTTTTACTAATTGATATCCAGAGCTCCGCGATTTAGCAGCCAGGGCAGAATCACCTGAATGTGTTTTCGGTAGCGCGCATTGTTGTACATTTGCATTTGGAAGTCCACTCCCTCGGCAGAGTCGCCAATAAAGTTCTCAAAACTGGCGCTTTCGGTGGGATCTACAAGAACGGCAGCCATTACACCTGTGGCCACGGAATAAGCTGTAAAATTATAAAATCTTATTATTACATTATCCCTTAACACCAATAGTAAAATATACCTACCGAAAATACCATACTTTGAATAGCACTTTGTGTATGTCTCGCAGACTTGGCACTGGCTTTGAATATTTCAGAATATTTAGATGTTCCACCAGATTATCATGGTACACCTTAATATAGTAATCGAATTTGCTCAATTTGTCTTCCAGCTTAGTGGAAGAGATCAGGAAGTAGAGCAGGTCCTGAGCAACAGATCCGTACTTAGAGACCTGATAGTCTACCATATAGACCTCATTGATTTTACCAAATTCATCGTATTGGAACATAATGTTATTTGACCAGGAGTCGCCGTGGTTCAGCACATTGAAATCCGTTGGATCAACTTCACCCAGCCGGAACATTTCGTCTATTATCACTGCCTTCAGAGCTTTCTAATAATAATATAATAAATAAGTATAACTAATAATTATAAAAATTATGGTTTCAACTTACCACTTTTTCTATGTACGCCTCGTTACCTTCGTAGGTGGCACAGCACTTGAGGAATATCTGTCCCATGCCGTTCATCATTTCGTTCATCATCGGCTTGTTTTCCTCTTTGAAGAATCCCTTCAGCACGATTTCCGGATACTGCCCCTTGGTGGCCACTCGCACGGCGGTCGCAGCATGCCACTGGGCCAATTTCCGTAGAACCCTCTCCGTGTGCGCTTGATCGAGTCCCTCGAGACGATTGGCATTCTTGAAGCCCTTGGTGCACAGATCCTCCAGAGCTATGTACTCGCTCTTGGCATTCTTCAGATCGTAGCTCTTGGCTCCAAAGGTAACCTCCACACCGGCCGCCTTGTAAAGTGCCTCCATCTCAGGAACAACCTCATTGTACATGGTACGTTCGATTTCGAAGATATTCGTGTGCTTCATCATCTCCTTGTACACCTCCAGCTGGTGGGGCAACTTGACCATGTAGGACACCTGTTTGATTGTACCATCTGCAGGGCAGAAATTCGGAATCAATAAAGCTCCCCCGTTAAAAGCGAACCCAACACACCTTGCAGCTCCACTTCGATGCTAACTCGTAGCATAATGGTGGCGTAGTTGTCGCCGGCAGCGGAACCACTGTCCGCCTTAAAATTCCTCACTTTTGAGTAACCCTCCACGGTGGACTTAAGAACATCCTCAAAGAGTTCCGCATTCACCCATTCGGGTACTTTACTAGCCGCCATTGTAGATTTAGTCGGGATTATTATTATTGAAACACGGAGAATACGTATACGCCTCGTTTGACGGTGTTGCGTTGACTGACGAAAACTGAGAATTAGATATTTTTATATCAGCGAGGAGCTTTCGTAGTTCCGTGGAGCTCGGCAGGTTTCTCTCGATCTTCTCTCGAAAGCTCTGCTAATAACATTCCAAATATTTTGTTGGCGGAAAAAGCGTTTGTAGTGTTTTTATTTCACCATGAGCAATTTTTGTGGTAATCCCCCAAATTGCACCTACCATTATTATTTTAAATGTTTTACACACAAAAATAATAATTTAAATTTTAGTACAAATTATTAAAATTACAAAAAATTTATTTCTAGCTCTGAATTATCTACATTTTGTATCTGTTTTGTGATTAATATGTTTAAATTGAGTTTCTATTATAATACTTGTATTACACTTTGAGCTCTGCTAGAACCTGTTTAGCATTGCATGCAGTTTATCTTATATAACCCCGGTTTATAAGCCAAGGCAATATGACTTTTATCTGATCCACGTAAGCCGGCAGAAGAAACATCTTACGCTTGAACGCCATCGCCTCCTCCGAGTTTCCCATTATATTGCCTATATTTGAATCGACACCGGGCGGGAGCAGCACTATAGGCAGCATTCGCTGTGCGCATATAAAAGCTGAAATTACGAGAGGTTTGCATTTAGAATAAAACTATAAAATACGCTTGGCATAAAAGTCTTACCCCAGAGACTGTATCTGTGCAGATGGGTGTGAAACTGAGCTAGTGTGGGAGCATTCCGATTGTAGTTGAGCAGAGCGAGATGATCGACAAGCTGCTGGTGATAATACTCTATAAAATGATCGAACTTTTCCAGCTTGATCGAAAACTTGGGGGAGGTCATTAGCATGCAGAAAAGATCCTGGGCGGGAGTGCCTAAAAATATGACTTTTATTATTAAATCATTTATTTTTTAAGACAACAATTTTATTACCATATTTAGGCAGCTGGAAATCGACAAAGCAAACATCCTCAACCTCTGAACTATCTTTGTATTTAAACATAAAATTGTTGCACCAGAAATCGCCATGGTTTAGCACGCTTAACTCCATAGGATCGTTCTTTCCGAACTCTATGTTAAGATCCGTTAATTTCGATGTGTAGTCGCTCTGGAAAAAATTACTTATTATAATAAATTTCTATATTTTATTTTTTTGAAACTCACTATTAAAACCAACTGTCCTGGATCCAAATTATATTTCTGCATACACTCCAGGAAGGGCATACAGAAATTTATGTTAAAATCATCCAGCAATTTCTGATGCTCGCTCGTAAAGAAACTTTCCCTTATACCCTTTTCGTATTCCCCGAGTTCAACGACTCTTTTGGCCGAGGCTGCATGCCACTGGGCCAACTTCTTGAGTGCTGCCTCCACTTCGAATTGCTCCAAGCCCTTAGATCGGTCGGCATTCCGGTATCCCTTTTGCCGCAGGTCCTCCAACAGAATGTAGTCGACCTTAATCTCTGAGCCTGGGAACTTCAAATGCAGAGGCTTGAATTTCGGTGAGATTGAAGTATTCTTGGCATACAGGTCCTCCAATTCCGGGATGAGATGATCGTACATGTCCATCTCGGCCTCGAACATATCATGAAAATCGTTCTCCTGATCTTCCGGCACCAAGGGAATCTTCAGTATGTAGCTGACATCTTCTGTGCTATCATCTGAATCTTATCGTTGGTTATTTGAGAAGACGCTTTCGGCATTCTTACTCACCTTTCAGCTGCATTTCAATTTGTACACGTAGCACGATTGTCAAATAATTCTCCCCCTTGCTGATCGCCGATGTGGGAACAAATTTAAGTATCGCCTTAAAATTTTGATTACTCTGTTCCAACAAGCCATGGAAAATCTCTTTATTGACCCATTTTGGAGTTGTTTGGTCCGTCATGTTCATAACTAGATGCGCTAGCGTCTGATGCTAATGCCTTCCAAGTAGTAACTGGACCCCAAAAGTGTTTTGCTGAATAAAAGCTCGTTATAATTCTCTCTTAAACAGCTTGACGTCATTCTTCATTTTACAGATACTCAATTTTTAAGAGAGGATATTGCATTCAGAAGAATCGAATTCGAATTCTTTATCACCAAAGATGAATGAATACTTTTTATCAAAAATACATACAAGTTTCGTTTTTGGAGGATTTTATAGTCTATATATATCAGAGTTTGATGATCTAATGGATTCTATATTAAGCTTTATTTACCAATAAAATATAAATTAACTACCCTATGACTTGACATTGTGCATAAAGACGTGCCGCCGTAATTTATCGGGTCGTGCAAAGTCCTTAGCGCAAAAGGTGCATTGGTAGGGTCTCTCGCCGGTGTGTTTCCGGCGGTGAACCTTTAGTTCGTAGTGGACCGTAAAGCGCATGTCGCAGAGATCGCACTTGAAGGGCTTCTCGCCCATGTGTCGCCGCATATGGATGTTCAGCTTATTAGGGGTCAGAGACTCCAGGCCGCACAGTGAGCAGAGGTACTTCTTTCCCGGATTCTTCTTGGCCACATGCATGTCCCGAATATGTTTCTCCAGACTGGGCTGCACGACAAACGAGCGCCAGCAGTGGGGACACTGGTAGCGGAAGCGTCGCTTTCTCCTCAACGGCGGCTGCTGCTCCGGAACGGTGGGTTGCTTGGGATGCTGGGTGGCCAGGTGCTGGGTCAGATTCTCCTCCCACATAAATTTGTAGCCGCAGCGCGAGCACACAAACTTTTTTTCGGTGTTCATGCACTGGGTGCGCAGGTGCTGATCCAGCATGAACTAAAATGTAATAATTAAAAATAATTAAGTATTTATTTAAATATAAGTAATTACTAGACATCGGATTTTATTTTTTTTTAAATATGATTTAAAGCCACATTTGATTGGTTAAAATTTTTTTTTAAAAAATGATGAAGTTTGCCTAAATCTAATTATAACTTGATAAATAAAATTTGTAACTAATCAAATGTAGCTTTAAATCGTATTTAAAAAAAAACGATTTCACCTAAAATCCTAGAGATCGGATTAATTAATTACAATCTTACCTTATCCACTGTCTTAAAAATGCACTGCTCGCAGGAATGAGGTAGTTTGTCGAAGCTGTGCAGCGAGTACTGATGCTCACTCATCTCCCGTCGCCGCCGGAAGTTCAGATCACAAAGATCGCAAGTGTACGACCTTCCCGTGCTTTCCTCATCACTCTCATCCGTATCCTCCAGCAGCAACTCAAATCCAGTGGCAGTGCTAATCATGTAGGCCGATGGCTGATCGCTGTGGCCCTGCATCGAGATGTGCCTTCGCAGGTCCGCCACGCTGATGAACTGAATGTCGCACATTTTGCACTGGATGCTCTTCGGTCCGGCCGGTTTGGAGGCATCCGCCAGCAGAGTTTCAGCCAGGGGCAGGTCCTGCCCAGTGAAGCCGTGCCTGTGCAAGTGTTTGTACAGCAGGGCGGGGCGGTAGAAGGTGCGAGTGCACCAGCGGCAGGGAAGGAGCTGCATATTACCATCGCGGTGCATCATCAACTTGTGCTTGGTCACGGCGCTTTTGTCCTGGAAACTGCGGGAGCATTGGTCGCACGGGTAGGTCTCTTGCTGAAATGGATAAGGGGATTTAGTTGAAAACTAAACATATTTATAGACATTTTTTTAAGTCAAACCTGGAATTCCTATTAAAGAATTTTCCCCTTATAAAATCAAATTGATAACAGAATTAAAACGATGAATTTGTGCTCGATCAGTCCAAAGGTTTGGTTAAACAAAATTTAATTAAATTTGTCTAATGTAAAATCAGTGAAAATGTAAAAAAATAACAAAAGAAAATGAAAGTCATATTATGCTAATTTTGTGATCGTCAACTTCTTAATATCCTCTGATTTGTACAGCTCCTCACCTTGCTCTTGTGCTCGACGAGATGGGCGCGGAGATTGCGGCGCCAAAAGAATCGCTGGGGACACTTGTCGCACATGAAGCGCTTCAGGGTGTTCTGGCACAGCTGGCTGGTGTGGTGTTCCAAAAGCTGGGCACTGAGAAACCGCGAATCGCAGCGCTGGCAGACATGCGGCGCCTCAAGCCAGGTGTGCTCGTTCCGGTGGTGCTGGTGCAGCAGGTACTTGCGCGGCCACCTGGCCTCCGGAGAATCGCAGAGCTCGCAGGAATAGCTGCGCCTGATGACGACATCCGACTCGACATCGCCATCGCTGTCCGTATCCGAGCTGTCAAGGGTCATCTCGTAGCGAGCCTGATTGGTGATGGAGTAGTAGCGCCCGTACACGCCCATCCTGAGATCCCGAAAGATGCGCCGCTTCAAGCCCTCCGCTGTGGACTCCACGGCCGTCTTGAAGAATCCCTCGGCAATGCGTTCAATCGGCTCGCCATGCGCCTCGAAGCCAAAGTCCGTGGGATGGGCCTGCAGGTGATCCCTCAGCTCACGCAGTTTGGTGAACCGGCGCAGGCAGATCATACACTTGATTTCCTTGGCGCCATTCGGCTCGCAGCGATGGTAGTCGAAGCCGTCGACTCTTCGGTTGATCCTCGATGGCTTGGCGGCTGCCGGTGGAAGTGCCGAGGCCGAGGATGTGGAGGCCAGTGGCTGATCGTCCTCGGTCTCCGACTGCCTATCGGACTGCTTGTCCGAGTGCTCCTTGTGCTTGTGCTTGATCAAGCTGACTATGTACTTGTAGGATTTGCTGCACTGGTCGCACTTGTAGTAGTTGTCGGCGCTGCTGTGGCCGTCCTCATCCGATAGTCTGGACAATAGATTAATAAAATTGTCAATTGAAGAGTAGCAAAGATGCGGGAATCATTCAATTTTTGTTTTATCATAGTATGCCATGAAATCTCTGATTTGTTTAATTCAGTTCTATGTGAATTTAATTGACAGTTTTTCTGATTCATTTCGAATTGAATGAATGAATGAATAATTTTTATGAATTTTTTGAATTTTCCAGATTTTTTTTCTGCTTTCTTTTAAAAAAAAAAAGTGGAACATTTTTAACAAATCTATGTTAACTGCTTAGTAAATAAAATTCAGGCAGATTTAAACACAAAATTATGGGCCTTTCTTTTTTAAAAAGAAAGTGTCGTTTGAATTATTTCGGAATTCATGCCATTCATTCATTCAATTCTATTAAACTCAAAATTCTAATTAATTCATTCATCTAAAACAAAAAATTCAAAATAATTCATTGAATCCATTCATGCAGGGCTCTAATGCGGGTGGATACAAAAGACTTCCGGCTAGGATCAACCCGCATATGAGGTAATTATAAGAATCTTACTCCACTGCCTTGATGATGCTGTGCACCAGGGTGTCGTTGTTGGTCCTGCTGCGATGCGTGGAGGTTCCCGAGGTGGAGGCTGGACTGGATGGACTGCCATCCTCCGGCAAAGTCGACGGCCTGCCGGGTAACTTTCGCCGGGAAGTCTTGGAGGGCAGCAGACTGGCTCCATGCTCGCTGTGCTTGTGCTTAACCAGTGCCATCACGTACTTGTAGGTCTTCTCGCACTGGTCGCACTTGTAGTAGTCGTCTTCATAGCTTTGGAGAGGAAGCAGAACATAAGTATTTGTATAGCAACTCCAAATAGGAGCAGCTAGCTCACTCTTCTCCGTTTTTTCCCAATATGCCGTGGTCCCTCTGCTTGTGACGATACAAATTGGTGACATATCGAAAGGCCTTGTTGCACAGCTCGCAGACATTCGGCTTCGGCGGCTCCGAGGCGCACAGCGAGGAGGTAATCTTGCGCTGCCGCAGGGGCACGTCGTCCTGGTCGTCGTCCGAGTCGCTGAAGTGCACGATGCTCCGCTTGACGAAACGCGTGCGCACCAAAGGATCGGCCTTGGCCGCTGGCTGCGTGGGCGGCAGATCCTCGGATTTGATGGTCACGCCCTCGATTTCGAACAGGTGGATGGGTGTCTCGCGGAGGCATTCCAAAGCCTCGGTGCCTTCCATTTGATCGTCCCCCAGTTTCTGCACCCACAGCTCGTGCGTCTGGCGCGCCTGCAGCACGAAATCATAGGTGCTCTCCAGCTTCTCGGCACACGCGTTGCACAACCACTGTGGGAACTTTTCCGCCTGCGCCATGGGCACCTTTGAATGTCGTTTAAGTACATAAAATTAATATAAATGCGGGCGGCAATTGGACGACAAAAGGACAATTGACCCACCTCGATGCGCGTTAGTTCGAGCAGCAGCTGGCCAAAGGTCTTCTCGGCGTACTTCTCCACGGGCGTTTCAATCCAGTAGCGACCGTCGTCGCCGCCACATATTCTGCAAGTCCGCGTCATTGCTTAAAACATTTATTTAAGTTTTTCCGAAAAAATTGTTGATAAAAAGTGTCTGATTTGACAAACAGCTGTTGGGTAAGTGTTGCAAAACGCAGTTTGGTAGTGCACAACAGCTGTTCGCCTGCAACGGTCATACTAAAAAGGCTCTTGTTGCATTCGCTTGATTTTCGGATTTGTTATTATTTATTATTTAATTAATGCATAATGTGTAAAGGAAGTTTATAGTCGACTGTGTGCCAATATGCTTCCCCCGGACATTTGTCGCACCTGTGGGTTGCAAAATGGTCAGTTGGTAGCTTTGTCCACCTCCCTAGACAGAGACGCCTCCAAAAGTTACTACGAAGTGCTCCAGGAACTGACGCAAATCGATGTGAGTGGCTTTAACCAGGTGGTTTTATGGATTACCAACTCAATCTCATTTCTAGGCACCGCTGGAGAGCTCCGATGATAATCTGCCGCAGCATCTGTGCGCCGATTGCTGGACGAGATTGCAGAATGCCCATGCCTTCGTGGAGCAGGCCAAAAGGGTCAGTGGAGAACTCCTAGCTCGGCTGAGGGAATGTCTGGATGAAATGCCCATCGACATTCCGCAGGAGGAGCAGAACATAAAGACCGAGGTGGACCTCGATGATGAGGGCACCAAGTGCGAGGATGTGGATGTGGAATCCACTGGACTAGCAACTCTGGAGCTCAAATGGCAGCCGGAGAGTGGCAGCGATGAGGAATTCCTTGATGCAGCGGAGAGCGTTGAGTAGGTTTACTGGGATTACTCCATCCAGATTCGAATAATATCCAGATTTCCTTTTAGAGATGAAGTGGACAAGAAGACCTATCATCTGCGTCGAAGTTCCCGGAAGGTCAAGCAGCCAGTGGAAAGCGAAGATGAGGAGTAAGTTATATTTCTGTGCAGCTTCTGTGCAGGCTAAACTAAAGCCCTTTTCCCTACCAGCTTTAAACCACCTGAACCTGAACCATCGCCCGTCAAGCGGCGGCGAGGACGTCCACCTGGTCCAGCTAGAAGCACATCGATGACCACCGATGGCCGCCACGCGTGCGAGGTGTGCGGAAAGACCTTCTCCTGGTACCGCGACATGCAGCGCCACGCCAGGATGCACTTCGAGCAGGCCTCGTTCGTGTGCGACACCTGCGGCAAGGGATTCCTGCGCAAGGACAAGTACATGTTCCACCTGCGCTGTCACAAGAAGCGCGAGGCCAAGTGGAAGGCTCTCCAGGTGGGCAAGGAGTGGCGCTTCGCCGAGCGTCTCTACAGCTCCGGCAGGTTGAAGAAAATCGACTGCAAGCTGTGCGGTTTGAGTTGCCAGCGAATGGAGGAACTTCGCAGTCACATTAAGAGTCATATAAACGTCGAGAGCTTGGGCAATTTGAGAAAGGATAGCGATGTGGTCAGGGAGCACTTCCCTGGCTTTCCCTGCGACCTGGACACTATCAAGCAACAGATCTGCGACGAAATAGCCGAAGGGCATTCTGAGAAGTTTGCCTGCATTGTGAATTTCCACGGATATGAGTTGGAACTCAGTGACTCTGATGAAGAGTGTGACAGCAAAGAGTCCAAATATAATTGCATTGCGTGCAATCTGTTTTTCACTCGGAAATATCGCTTGATTAAGCACACACTGGAGGAGCACTCGCAATCCAACGCTTCAAACCTTCCCTGGCAGCGCTGCAGTTCCTGTAAAGTGGGTTTCCTGTGCCCGACGCTTTTCAGCCAACACTTGAGCCACCATTGCCACAGCAAAACAAAGCGATACCGCTGCCGCAAGTGTCCGGGGAAGTTTATGTGGCCGGACAACCTGCTAAACCACGCGTGCTCACATCGCCGCGACGAGGACAAGACGATACCCAAGCAGATATTGTGCTCCCTGTGCGATGCTGCGCTGCCGAGTCTGCCTCAACTTCGCATTCACTTGACCACTCACCAGCATGACTTGAATGGCATTAGTCCGGAGTACAATTCCTCCTTCTTTCGCTCCTTTTATCCCGATGGATTGGACTGCACGGCCTCGGATCTTGCGGCTCGCATAGCTGAGGACTTTGAGATTCAGGAGTTTGATCGCTACTACAGCGTCTGTACGGAAAGTGGACAAGAGCTGGATCTTTTTGATTCCGAAACCGAGCAGAGCGATGAGGAGACCAACAAGACACACACTTGTCTGCTATGCGGAGAGGTGGCGACTACACTGACTGTTCTTATGGAGCACCAAAAGACGCTGCATGCGGACGGTGCCACCGATCTTCCCTGTCCCTGCGAAAATTGTGGAGCCCGATTTGTCAGCAAGGCATTGCTGCAACAGCACCGCAGGCATCGGTGCGCCAAGAAACACTCTCGTTTCCACTGCCAGAGTTGCGGTGTGCGATTCGTGTGGCAGTCCAACTATGAGCGCCACCTGAAGTCGCACCACAACAGAAATGAAGACCAAGAACTGGCCACCAAGTTGCAGTGCGACGAATGCGATAAGGTAAGCTATGTTATTTTATTATACATAATTTTATTTTCAACACTTTAATTCTTAGGTGTTCATCTGGCACAAGGATCTAAACCGTCACAAGCGAACCCATCAACCGCAGTCGGCAGCCCAGTTCGACTGTCCCCATTGCCAGCGCAGGTTTCACCGCAAGGATAACCTCAAGTCCCACCTAAAAGTTCATGCGGGAGAACCGGCTCAAGTAAGGGAGCGGTGTACAGTGCCTTACGCTGCCCAAGGACTACTGACCTTGTCCCGGCTTAGTCGTCCTCATGGCTGCAAGTTGATTCAGTGCATGATCTGCCTCTCGCGCCACTCGAAGATCAGTGATCTGAGGACTCACATGGGCGCCCATCAATACGGATTAAGTTTCACCGAAGGGAGGGATATTCCCAGTGCCTCGAAGGCTTTTTACCCCGAACTAGAAACTGCCTTGGAAAGAAACGAACTTGCCGAGAGGATTATGGCTGATGTGGAAAGGGGATTCGAGTTGGATCGATTTGTTTCCATCACAAGTGAGGCTGGCCTAGAACTGAGTCTCGACAGCAGTGAAACTGATACTGAGTCCGAGCAAGAGGAGGATAAATCAGCTCGCAGCTATGCCTGCAATCTGTGTGCAGCGGTTGTGAGGAGAAAGCATCAGTTGTATGCCCACCAGCTGGCCGAGCACAAATGGGAGGAAGCGTCCCTTGTGTGCTGCCATTGCCAGGCCAGGTTCGTCAACGAATCTCTGCTCGATCATCACTCCCGGACGCTCTGTCATAATGCGCAGAAGTTGTTTCAGTGTCGCAAGTGTCCGCTGCGCTTCCGCTGGCGGGAGAATCTCAAGATCCACATGGAGCTGTTCCATCAGCAAGCCGAAATTGCGGCCCCCGATGAATCCCCTCAAGCGGATGGGGATCTGCAGTGCGGAAAGTGCCAGCGCAGCTTCAAGATGCAGAAGGATCTCACGCGTCATACACTCATGCACGGCCAGGAGTCGAACATCTTCCGGTGCCGTTGGTGTGCACGTCGCTTCTATCGCAGGGCCAATCTGCTGCAGCATATCGCACGGCATGGCATAAGTGTAAGCCAATTGCCCTATGCTGAGGCCATCCTGGAGTCGTACGGGAATCCCGGAGGTCACAAGAAGGTGGAGTGCCGGGTGTGCAGCCTGAGCTTTCCCACAATCGCGGCGTTGCGCTTGCATTTGGAAACAATGCCCACAGGAAGTCACCACGACCTCCACTCACTTCAAAACTACTCGATTACCAGCCAGTTGGGCTACGAGATGGATCTGGATGATTCGGAGACTGATGATGGTGACGCTAGCAGGCATACAAAACCACCTTACACCTGTGGCATGTGCCAACTGAGGTGTTCGCGGAAGTACGAGCTATATCAGCACCAGCAGGCCATGCACCGGCTGGAGAAGATCCCCGACGGCTGTGACAGGTGCATCTTCAAGAGCGTCTGTCCGGAAATCATTGCCCATCATAAGAGGACGCAGTGCGAGAACCGGGAAAAGCAATTCACCTGCACTCGCTGCGGCTTTAAGTTCATGTGGGAATCCAATCTGTTGCAGCACATGCAGTTGCAGCATGAAAAGGTGGAGGATCAAGATCTCGATGAATCCAAGGAGGCGTCTGGCGATGAACCAAAAGCCGAGTGCCAGGTCTTCAAGTGCGGCCTTTGTACGAGGAAATACAACCGCAAGGATCGGCTCACGGCGCACTTGAAGAAGTTCCATGGTCCCGATGGCCAGGGCCCCGGTCAAGCGAAGGTCTCGAATAGATCCACATCGCCCAAGGAACCGAAGCGCTTCCTGTGTGCCTTTTGCGGCAAGGCGGTCAGTTCGTCGTCCAATCTGATCATCCACATGCGCCGCCACACCGGGGAGAAGCCCTTCAAGTGCGATTATTGCCCCATGGCCTTCCCCCGATCCTCTGACCTCCAGTGCCACCGTCGGACGCACACCGGCGAACGTCCGCATGTGTGCACCGTCTGCCAGAAGGGATTCGCCCGCTCGTACAAGCTGCAGCAGCACATGCGCATCCACAGCGGGGAGCGTCCCTACAAGTGCACCTATTGCGAGAAGAGCTTCACGCAGTCCAACGACCTGACTCTCCACATCCGCCGGCACACAGGCGAGCGGCCCTACCAGTGCGGCGTCTGCGGGGAGCGTTTTATCCAGGGCACCGCCCTCAAGAACCATCGGATGCAGCAGGGCCACTACGAGGATGGCCAGGAGTTGGGCGAGCCCACGAGGCGCACGGTTCTGGAGCAGTTTAGTGTGTAAAATAAGGAATAAAATAACTCCCTATTGTAATCGTAAAATTGAAACAAATTTATTTTTAATTTCTTTGATATAAACGAAATTTAAATATTTAAGTATATTGTTTCATTATATAATAGCATTTCAGGTTTAAGGAAGCGTTAAAATGTATTTTTGAAATGTTTAAGTTTAAACAATTAAATCAATGTCATGATTCATATAGATGAATATAAGTAGATAAGTAATTCGCTATTTATAACTATTCACTGTCATGCGTCATATAGAAGAATGAATCTAAATGAATGTAAGTAACTTTTTCGCTACCTATAACTATTCACTGCCATGCTTCATATTGATGTATGGGTATAAATGAGTGTAAGTAACTATTTATAAAGTAGCGAAATAGGGAAATAGTTACTTACTTTGCAGCGTCTTTCCAAGGGGAGAAGTACTTTCGATGAAGCCACATACCATTTTATTGGCAATTCTGATTGTCGCACTTTTGAACAGAACTTTCGGAAATGATCAGAGTCAGATGTTCGGCTGGCCAAAAGAAGGCGATGTTATATACAAAATAGAGGTAAAGGAAGAATGGAGGTTCCTGCAAGTTCTTATGCATAATGTAACATTAAGGTTTAAAAACCTGGTCAATTGTGTTAAATTGTATGATAGGTTACAAAATGACGTTGAGGTCACGATCAGTAAAGAACCCCCTTTTCATGAATCAACCCTCACTTTTACTTCGCAATCTAGTCGAGGTATACATTTTGACATGGATGTCTACCATGAGAACAAATTCAAAGAAGAATAAATTAAAGAAAGAAACTAAATAAAAGCAGAGCTGTATAAAAATTGTATGTGTGCAGACAAAAATTTTTTCGTCTTTTAATTTCTGTTCACTAGGTGCCCTAGCTTAAAGGCTGACTGCCTTGTCCACGTTATAACCTAGGCTAACAACCAACACCACTTTCGGGTAGAATTAAATTTTTTTTTGCAAGTTTTATAAGTGAGTAAGCTGATCTTGGGTGGCTAATGACAATTTCCAATGAAAGAATCCCAATGCTAAGGTATTAATAAGTTCAATTTGGTAGCTCTAAAATAAGCCCACTGTTAGCATACATTTATGAATATTTAACTATAAGTTAGCATTAGATAATAATAATAATAAGAATTAAATTTTAAATGTCCCGCTGTTTATCAAAATGGTTATATACATTTTTTTTTACTTGCTTATTAAGATTTTTTTTCGGTTAGTCCTAAAATATGATCGTAAAATTCAAACTAATTTATTTTCAAAAAGGTTTGATATTAAGGAAATAAAAAAGCGGTTTTAAAATAGACATAGTTTCCCAAATAAGTTTATTAAAAATAAAAGTATAGTGTTTTTTATAGCATTTCAGGTTTTAGGAAGCGTTAAACTGTCTTCTTGATATGTTTCAGTTTAACCCTATTAATTCAATAGTGGCAATGTAATTAATTATTACGCTATTTATAGTTATTCACTGTCATGCTTCATATAGATGACTGAATATAGACGAATGAATGTAGCTGAATGTAAGTAGCTATTTCGCTATTTATAACTATTCAGTGTCATGTTTCAAATAGAAGAATGAATATAAATGAACGTAATTAACAATTTCGCTATTCACTGTCATTCTTCACATGGAAAAAAGAATATAAATGAATGTAAGTAACTATTTATAAAGTAGCGAAATAGCGAAATAGTTACTTACATTGCAGCGTCTTTCCAAGGGAAGAAGTACTTTCGATGAAGCCACACACCATTTTATTGGCAATTTTGATTGTCGCACTTTTGAACAGAACTTTCGGAAATGATCAGAGTCAGATGTTCGGCTGGCCAAAAGAAGGCGATGTTATATGGAGATCATCCATAAAAGCAGAATGGAAGTTCCTGCAAGTTTCTATCCGTAATGTAACATTAAGGTTTGCTAACGTGGTCAATTGTGTTAAGTTGTATGATAAATACTCAAACGACGTTGAGGTCTCGATCACTAAAGAACCCCCTTTTCATGAATCAACGATCACGTTTACTTCGCAAGCTAGTCAAGGTATATATTTTGACATTGAGGTCTACCGTGAGGACAAAGTCCCGGAAGTTCTTTTAGATATCAAAAAAAATTAAATAAATAAGATCAGAGCTCTATTAAAAAAGTAATTGTGTAAAACACATTTGGTCATGGGGATAACTAAATAAAAGCAAAGCTGTATAAAAAATGTATGTGTTTTTTCTTCTTTTAATTTCCGGTGTCCTAGCTTAAAGGCTGACTGTCCACGTTATAACTTAGGCTAACAACCCACACCACTTTCGGGTACAATTAAACAATTATTTTTGCAATTTTTGATAAGCTGACATTAACTTGGATGTTGGGTGGCTAATGGCAATTTTAAATGAAAGAAATTGAAATTAAATTTTAAAAGTCCCGCTGTTTATAAACATTGTTATATACATTCTTTTTGTTTGCTAATTAAGATTCTTTTTTTGGTTAGTCCTAATAAAATAATCGTAAATCGAAACAAATTTATTTTCAAAAAGGGTTTGTATAAACGAAATTTAAAAGAGTTATTAAAGTGGATAGAGCTTTCCAAATTAGTTTATTAGGTATAAATAAATTTTGTTTCATTATATAATAGCATTTCTGGTTTTAGAAAGCGTTAAACTGTCTTCTTGAAATGTTCCCGTTTAATCCTATTAAAGCAATAGGGGCAATGTAATGAACTATTTCGCTACTTATAACTATTCACTGTCATGCTTCATATAGATGTATGAATATAGATGAATGTAAGTAACTATTTATAAAGTAGCGAAATAGGGAAATAGTTACTTACTTTGCAGCGTCTTTCCAAGGGGAGAAGTACTTTCGATGAAACCACATACCATTTTATTGGCAATTCTGATTGTCACACTTTTGAACAGAACCTTCGGAAGTGATCAGAGTCAGATGTTCGGATGGCCAAACGAAGGCGATATTGTATGGAGAAAGGAGGTAAAGGAGGAATGGAGGTTCCTGCAAGTTCTTTACCATAATGAAACATTAAGGTTTAGAGGCCTGGTCAGTTGTGTTAGATTGTGGGATAAACTGAAAAATGACGTTACTGTCACGATCACTAAAATGCCTCCTTTTTATGAATCAACGATCTCGTTTATGTCGCAAAATACTCGTGGTATACATTTTGACATGGAGGTCTTTCATAAGAAAGAAGAGTGGATCACACGCAGACCTATCACTGAACTTATCGACGACTGAATAAATACAGAGCTGTATAAAAAATGTATGTGTGAAAATAGGACTTTTTTTCTTCTGCTCCCTACGTGCCCTAGCTTAAAGGCTGACCGCAAACTAGTATATGAGTTTTTAAGCTATCGGGATGAAACTTTCAAAAAAGTCTTCTTTCTATTGTAGGTAGTATATAAGTCGGAACCAGTCGGATCGGACAACTATATCCTATATCTCCCATAGCATTGGCGGATCTATAATTTGTTGCATACTTTTTTAATACCAAAATTCCATTCATTTTTCACACGAGTGGGGGGGTGATAAATCACCCATATTACCCCCGTACATCCGTGCATGTCCCATAGGAATAATCGGAAAAATAATGGAAACAAATTATAGCTTCGGTGTTTTTTTAAATTTTACCTTCTTCTCTTTCTGAATAAATTTCAAAAAAAAATCGGACGACTTTAACATATAGCTGCCATAGGAACGATCGGAAAATAATGGGAAAATAATAGAAAGTAAATTATAGCTTCTTTTGTATTCTTTTCTACTCTAGGATATGGCTGTATTTTAATATTTCCGAATTTCGAATTAAAGATAACAAAAATGGGACGACTATATTATATAGCTGTAATGGGAAGCTTATAAAAAATAATGTCAAAATTATACGAAATTTAACATTTTGGCGATTTGTAAATTAATAGGAATGATCTGCAAGGGTATATGTTTAGGCTTCGGTTGGCCGAAGCTAGCTTTCTTTTGCTTGTTTTTTTTTTCAAAATTTTAAAAAGGGGTAAGCTAGCTCGGATCTTGGGTGGCTAATGGCAATTTCAAATGAAAGAATCCCAATGCTACAAATATTAATAAATTGATTTTTAAATGTCCCGCTGTTTATAAAAATTGTTACATACATTTGTTTTATTTGCTTATTAAGATTCTTTTTTCGGTTAGTCTTCAAAAAATGGTCGTAAATACAAAGCATATTTGTTTTCAAAAAAGGTATAAACGATATTTAAAGGTGTTATTATAATAGATAGAGTTTTCCAAATTAGTTAAACTGTTTTCTTGGAATGTTCCGGTTCAAAAGTGGCAATATAATTAACTATTTATAACTATTCACTGTCATGCTTCATATAGAAGAATGAATATAAATTAATGTAAGTAACTATTTCGCTATTTATACCTATTCACTGGCATGCTTTATGTAGAAGAATGAATAAAAATTAATGTAAGCAACTATTTCGCTACTTATAACTATTCACTGTCATGCTTCATATAGATGTATGAATATAGATGAATGTAAGTAACTATTTATAAAGTACGCGAAATAGCGAAATAGTTACTTACATTGCAGCGTCTTTCCAAGGGAAGAAGTACTTTCGATGAAGCCACATACCATTTTATTGGCAATTCTGATTGTCACACTTTTGAACAGAACTTTCGGAAATGATCAGAGTCAGATGTTCGGCTGGCCAAACGAAGGCGATGTTATACACAGTAAAGAGGTAAAGGCAGATTGGGAACTCCTAAAAAGTGTTACCCGTACTGTAAAATTAAAGTTTAGAAACCTAGTCAGTTGTGTTAAATTATATGATAAATTACGAAATGACGTTGAGGTCTCGATCAGTCAAGAGCCCCCTTTTCATGAAGCAACGCTGACGTTTACTTCGAAAAATACTCAAGGTATACATTTTGACATTGATGTCTTCCATGAGAAGAAAGTCCCGGAATATACATCACAAAATTTCAATATTACCTAAATAAAAGCAGAGCTCTATTAAAAAAGTAAATGTGTAAAACACGATCACTTTGCCACGTTATCGGGGGATACAATTTGTCATGGGGATTTTCTATAACAAACCTCACTAAATAAAAGCAGAGCTGTATAAAAAATGTATGTGTGTAAATAGAACTTTTTTCTTCTTTTAATTTCCGGTTCCGAGGTGTCCTAGCTTAAAGGCTTACTGCCTTGGCCACTTTAGGCTTACAACCAACACCACTTTCGGGTAGAATTATTTTGATTATTTAGGAAATTAAACTTCTGAGATTTGAATTCCAATACACGGTGCAACATTCCATATTTTGATTTTTAATTTGTTGCTTGGCTTTCGAGAAAATAGTGATTTGTTTGGCTCCATATGGGGATTAAAGATTAATGGAAACAACATATTTTGATTCTAAAGAATGCTAATGACGAAAAAATGCATTTATTTGGTGGGCTGCAATAAAAAATGCCTGCATAAGCAAGAAGTTTGATTATTTTGCTGAAGCGGTAGAATAAGGTAATTATAAAGAGAAAATATAATATCAGAATTTTGCAATCCTTACTGGTTTTTTAATTCACCAAGAGGCGTTTTAGCTTAATATTACTTTTTAAAAAAATTGAAACTAACAAACCCCAGAAAGTACAAGCGCCGCTATGAACGGGGTTTCTGTAGTTCTAAGGGTTGGTTTCACCTGCGATGGCACCACCTGCTCTCCACTCTCGATATTAATCGCCCGACGTCACCTTGACAACCGATCCAGGTGGCTTTGTCCTATCCGTTGACAGTGAACAGTCACATACCAAAACTACGAGCAACCAGAGGTACCGACAGTAAAGGAGGATCAAGTCGGAAATCAGATGCATAAACTCGCGAACGCCCACGTTTAAATTTAGTTACACAAGTTGAACACTCCCGAAATCGAAAATTCTCAAGTCCCGCCGACATCTGATCCAAGGTACTCAGAAATGGTCAAGCGTTACAAAGGGTCTCGTTCGGTGACGGCCAGCGATGGCGTAAGTGCTAGTTCCAAGGATTCCGACCAGGTCTATTGCGTGCTGCTCCACGTGGTCGAGGGTGAGTTAAAAAATCTAAAGTTATTATTATTAAAATTATTCTCCCTAAAGCAATCAACTTCGTGGGCCGAGATGCCGCCGAACGCGAGCAAATAGTGATGAACGCCGCGCTGAACACAGTGGACTTCGAAGTGGAGGGCACCCAGTCGACCGAGAAGGTCATTTTCAACAGCAACTGCATCTGGGAGTGCGACATGGCCGGGATCAAGCGCATCAAGACGGACCATCGTCCCGTCAAGTTGACCTTCTACGCCTGCCGTGGAGGCGGAGCGGATCGCAAGACGGTAGGAAGCCTGCTGCTGCCCATACGAGGACTTCCGGTGCTCAGCACTACCGGAAGCCAGAATTCCCCCCATCTCAAGATGCTCTGGCACAAGCTCATCTGCATCAGCAGCGAGTTCCGCTCCCACAAGCCGGAAGTCCTGCTCATGCTGGCCATCGTCAAGAAGTCCATTCTGCACACCAAGGACTTTGACCACCTGATGCAGTTCACTGAGGTAATTGTAATTAATTAATTAATAATAAATAATAACAAATTAATTAATTTTTTATAATTTATTATGGTTCCTCAGGTGAAGTCGCCGCCCACACCGCCAATGCAGTCGCCCGGTCACTCGATAACTGCCAGCATGCTCCAATCCCAGGTGAGTGGAGCATCCTCTGCTAGGGGTAAATATCTAAATTCACCGATTATTCCAGGCCAACGTCTATGTACAGTCGTTGGTGCAACTAGGCCTGCTGCAGGTGGGCAATGATCCGCTGGTCGACTGCGACATTATCGAGGTGGTGCTGCAGCTGAAGGAGCTGAAGAACGTGAGCCGTCTGGTCAAGTCGGTCAACCAGAGTAGAGAGCCGCCCGGTTCGGTGATCCTGGTATTCGACTTTGTGGGCAATGTAACCAACATCGAGCTCAAGCTGAACGAGTCCGACTCCTACACCCTCAACGATGTCCTTGGGTTGCGTTTCAAGACATCCTTGGCCAGCATGCGGCTCTACTTCCAGCGCATCTTCTATCTGCCCATCAACATGTACATGAACGGAACGGCGATAGGTGAGTAGCTAGATTTGGGAATAGTTATACTATATGCTATATTTATCATTTAACAGCCAACTACCGCATGGACTTTGCCAATCTGCTGCCTCCGGACAACTACTTCGCCGAACACCAAAAGTACACTTTCAACGGCTCCTTTTCATTTAACCGATTTGGCAGGACGGACAGCGGTAGGGAACCCAAACCGCCCCTGATGGAGTACAATTTTAGTGTGGACTTAAAGACGATATTCTCACGGCAGGGACAGGAAGATACTGAACCAACGCCTTCGGTTGCCAGCGGTGTTATCAGAGAGCCAAAGGATCGTAATGATCAAAAGGAACTCGAGGTAATATCGGTGTCAAAGAAAACCGCTTCGGTAGGCAGTCTAAATGTGGGTGCAGAGCTTTCGGGCTCAGAAGGATCCTACAGATCTTCACCTCCGGAAGACATTCACGATTCCGATGGTCCGACGGATCTACGAAAACCTCAGATAAGGCGAAAGAAATTCACACGGCTGAATAGCGGGGAGGGCAATCTGGAGAGCGAAGATGAGCAGTATCTGGGCCAGACATTTTCCGCGACGGTAGTTCGTGAGGATCTTAATTTAATTAAGTGTGAAGAGGTTTCCGTGTCAAAATCAAGGAAAACTGAAACCATGTCAGATGAATCTGAAGTGGAAGTTGCTTCTAAAAAGGTTTGCAAAGTAGTCGAAGAAATCGAGAAATCTACGGCCCAGGAACTTCCAAAATACTATGCACCCTTGCCAAACAAAGCCAAGCCAAAGTCCGTGGGACCAAAAGAATTAATAAGGGAATCCTCCCAATTAAAAATGCAGGGTCTTAAAAACCCTAGTAGACTTTTGCAAGAAAACGATTCGGAGAATTGCGAGGAACTGAATTCCTTAGACTTGTTTGAGCTGGAGGAAAAGAGGCAAGCCAAGGAAGCTGAACTAGAGTCCTTGCGGAGGCAAAGGATAAAGGCAGGGAGAGGTGAATCGTTACAAGTGCCAATGGATCGCAAGATAAGGAAAACTCGAAAAGTTGACAATGAAGTGCTGGGTAAGGAAAGCAGTGTTAATATAATTGAAGAGGACATTCCAAAATCTCCAAGTAAATTCATCTCAGGAGATAAAGTAAGGAATAAAAATTTTAAAACGAAATTAAAAACAGAACTGAACGAAGTTCCTTTAACCCAGGAAAGTGCTTCTAAACTACGGAACCAACGCCTTTATAAAAAACAACATAAAGATAATGGATTCGTAGAGGATAGCTACGAAAAGAGTGAAGAGGATCTTTCATGTCATGTTCTCCCTGATAATCCAAATTCCCCTAGGGAAAAGTTAAACAAGAAATCAAGAGGCACCAGGACCGTGAAAGCTCCAGAGTGCATGGATACAGACTTAGAAACAGACATAAGTGTCCTTAGTCTTCGAAGTAAATGCAAGACCACATCAAAATTACTGCTTCCTGAGGAATTTGAAGACTTTGAAGAAACGTCCACCAGTACCCAGGGAACCAGAAGACCCAAAACATCCAAGGAATCTCTAAACCTTAGAGCCCGTTGGGTGGAGGTCAATAAGGTGCAGTCGCAAGCCCTGGGAGAAACAGAAAAGTTTCTGCAGGAGACCTGCCCAGCCGAGCTCGACGAGGTCCTTTACGAGGATCAGCTGGCCCTCGGCCTGGCAAAGCCTCCGAAACCAAAAAAGAAACTGGGAAAAGCCAAGGAAGAAAAGGTCAAAAGCATCGATTATGAAAGTTCCTATGTGGAGGAAATTACTTTCAGCCAGTCTGAAGAGAATCTTCCGGTACATCAGGTCGAGCTCGCAAGCTCCGAAGAATATATTTCTCTATCGGAAGGCAACTCAAGATCAGCTGAAATGATTTCTTCAGAAGCAGAACACCGGGATGTGAGAGTCACCTTTGCTCAATCGAAAGTTGTAAAGAAGAAGTTGAGAGCTTCTTCAGGCGAGGATCAGGTAAACCAGGTGAAGCTCAGGACCTCCGAAGAGTGCATTTCTATGACTGATCGTGTTAAGAAAAAGATGAGGGCTCCGATATACGAGGATCAGGTGGAATTTAACAGCTCTCAAGAATTTATTTACATGCCAGAGGGTAATGTAAAATCCGCAGAGATTATAAATGAAGATATTGAACAGCGGAATGTACGAATCCTTAAAAAGAAGAAACTTAAGAAGACTTTGGTATGTGAAGATCCTGTAATCCACGATTCCGAAATTCCTGAAGAAGAATTAGTTAAGCCGGTTAAAAAAAAGATAGTCCGGAAAAAAACAACGGTTATATCAGAAAATTCAGAACTGAATGGAAACATAAATACACAAGAAGTTGTTAATGCTCAGCCAAAAAAAATAGTTAGGAAAAAGTCCAAGCCTGTGTGTGACAACCGAACTGCTGAAGAATGCCCCAAAACTATTAAAGTAGCCAGCTCTCGAAAAGAGCTGAAGAATGTGACCACCTCTGAAGAGGATTTTAGCATGGAACACCCTAAAAATACTATCGATTCAATTGGTCAGAGGATCAAGTCCTGGCGGAGGCAACAAAAAGATATCTTTGAGCAGGAGTTGGCACGCAAAGAGTTGCATTACAAGAAGCAGTTAGAGGAAATGGAGAACCAAGAAGCCAGAATACATCAACTTAGCAAGGAGGAGGCTAGTCCGGATGAAACTTTCATCAGCAATAGAACCAATGTGACCAGCGTTGACTATGAGGCAAAGTTCAAGGAACTGGAAGAGCACATATATCTATTGAAATCGGAGATGGAGGAGCAGGTAAGGCTGTTTGAGAACCGCAGTGGAGAGTTGCGACAGGAGAATCTTCAGCTTTACACCGAGAAGACGGAATTAAAAGTCCGCCTTGCGGCCATGGAGCAGCAGATTGGTGACCTTAGAGCTCAAGGCTCCGACGAAGGAGATCTCAAGCAGGTTCTTGGGGAACTAAGATCCCAGCACTTTCGGTATAACAATCTCGCCCGCGAGAAGGAGCTCTACAGGAAGCGGTGGCGAAGATCCGCTAAGCGAGTGCATGCCCTCAAGTTGGCCATGTACGAAAGGAATTTAGAGAGAGAACAGAACAGCATTAAAGTCGAGTATGGTTTTTTAATTAAGTTTAAATGTTTTCCTAAGTGATTTTTATGATTTATTTTTACAGACCCATTGACCTGCGACAGATCCTGACCAAGGACGCCCTGGAATTCGAGCGGGAGTACGGACAGTTTCGCGAGAATGGCGTATCTCCAAGATATCCCTTCGGCTCACTTTCCGGATCCGGCGACTTTTCACCTCCAAACAAAAAGCGAATGCCGGCCAATGAGTTTTAAAGATACGACACAGAGAAGATATTTGCCTAGATTTTACCAAATTAACTGTGTGAATTTTGTATTTAGTTTACTTTATTGAGTTTTGTTCGTTTTTTTTTAGAAAAATATAATATTAAATATTATACAAATTTTAATAATATTATTAAGTATAGTATATATTTAAGTTTTATTTTCGCTCTACTCAAGTGTAAAGCCCACGCGCAAAAAGTAGGGCAAAGTGTCCAGGGGAGCAGCATAGTCCATGACCCAGGTGGGTCCGGTGTAAGTCTGATCGCTATTACCATCCTTCCACTCGCCCTCTGGCAGGTAGATGTCTCGCTTGGTGGCACCCTCAACCACGACGGGAGCAGCGATTATGTCATCGCCCAAAAGGAACTCTGTGGGTATTAATAGGAAATTTAATTAAATGTGAGACAATGTTAACTACAATAATGGGCCTACCATCGTAGATAGACTGCGCCACCTCGTCCGTGGGCGCGATCCACCAGAGAGGAGCATTCACGGGCTCCCCCGAATCCACGGCCCGCTGGAAGAGCTTCATGATGTACGACGTGTAGTTGGCATGCAGGTCGGTGAAGTTCTTGCTGATCGCGATGGCCTCGGCGTCAAAGTTCCACGGCACAAAGGAGAACTGCAGGGCGGGCATAAAGACATTGGCCTGGAGCCAGCGCAGGAAGAGCTCCTTGGTCGGCGGCTTCTCGTAGTACCCATTACCGCCGATCATGTCGGGCAGGACGAAGGGATAGCCGTTGAGGTTCATTTGCAGCATCGACGAGATCAGCGTGAGCAGCCCGTTGTTCCAGCCCCACTCGGAGTCCTTATCCACGATGCGCACGAAGATGGGCTGATCCTGGGTGTTCTGGGCGGATCGCACCTCCACCATGTCCCCGAAGGCGGCCACAGTTCGCACATAGTCGCCCACCGCCTGCAGGGGCGTCACCATGGAGCTGCTGGCCTGCAGCACGGGGTCACTGGGCAGCCAACTGGTCTCACCGGCATCGAACTTGAAGCTATCGATGCCATCCTCATCCTGCAGACGCTTCAAGCGCTTTGTGAACCACTCCTGAACCGCGGGCTTGGTGAAATCCAGAATGGCCGCATCCTTGGGCTTGCTGTTCCACCACTGCGTATCGGAGCTGCCCTCGTGATCGAGCACCAGGTAGCCTAGCGACTTGGCCTCCTCGTAGATGGCAGTGCAGTTATTGTTGATGAACGGATGAATCCAAAGGGTCACACGGAAGCCCAGGGCCTTGAGGTCGTCGGTCAGGGTCTTGCTATCGGGGAACTTGTTCTTCCTGAACGTCAAGGCTCCGTAGCAATCCTCCCAATCATCATCGATTTCCAGCTGGCTATTGTTGAAGCCATTGTCCAGGATCTGCTGGGCAAACTGGCGCACCACTTCGTCGGAGACCTCGGCCTTGTACAGAGCCCAAGTGGACCAAACCGGATGCCTGACCATGCGTTCATCGGGAAAACCGGTGGGTTGTCCATGGAACGTTTTCACGGCATATCTATGAGCCGCCTTGGCATCCTTGGCCACGGCCACATGGTACACAAACTTGGCAGAGGTCACTCGCGGATCGTAGGGCAGCTCACTGGTGGCACTCAGACACAGCTGATCCGGATAGTCGGCTGTATTCTGATCGATAAACAGCGGAGTGTTGCTCTCCACATAGAGGAAAACTCCATCGCCGTTCAGCCAATAACGCTCACCCACTCCAAAGTTGTCCAGTTCCTTGGGCAGGTAGGAGTAATTAGCGTGCCTCTGACGCTCCACCGGCCAGTAGTGTTGCTTCTGCTCGGGGCCACTGAACCAGTGAGTGGAGCCGGTCTTCAGGGGGAAGCAATCCCTGGGCTGACTGCCCTGCAGCACCTGATCTCGGGACACTTTCACATGGGTGATCTCACTGCCGGTGCCCGTGACTACGCCATTCTTGACCAGGGTAAACTCCACGGTGGTCGTGCCATCGGTGAGCTGGTAGCTACCGCTGCTGGTTGCCACCAGATTGGCGCTGCTCTCGAAGTTGTCGAAGGTGACCGTCTGCAGGGACTTCTCGCCCTTCATCAGCTCGTACTGCAACTTGTCGCCTCGCCTCAGTCGCACGTAGATATTGCTGTTGGGGAACTTGTAGCGCTGCTCAATGCTGGCGCATGAGTTGGCCGCCTCCCAGAGGCAGCAGGATGCCAACAGCAGGGGTATCAGAATAAACCTCATTTTCGTCCGTTTCGCAAAACACGACTGCCGGGCAAGAGTCAGTCGATGTTCCTAATATAGCCGCGATAAGGAAATCGAGGGAATTCTAAAGAGCCTACAAATAAAACTCTTGAGCGTTGTCAACACATTTCTCACCTGCTTGGGGGGAACACTCTAGACGACAGCCCCTCGATAACCCGGCTGATAAGCCCCTGCCAGGGTCCAAAACCGGCTTTCTATCATTTCCATTAGCTAATTGATTGCTGTTAGCGCTGAGATTGCAGTTCACCTACATCGGACATTAGGTGATAGTAACAACAAAATAGGAATTTTTCTTGAAGTGTCTTCTGAAAGTCAAGGACAACAATCTGAGCATTGCAAATGCCAATTTCAACAGCTCCTTATCTTTACATAAACAATTTGAGGATTTGCTCAAGTGCTGATTCCCTACATTTACTATCTTTCAACAAGTTGTAAATATTTATTGTTAAATAATATATGTCATACGGCATATAAAACAATAGTGACATCTTTGGTGACTCACCTTTTCCGTTTTTAATAATTAAACATACAAAGTTAAACTATAATCATTTTATTAAGGCATAAATATTACATAAAATTAGTTTTGATTCTCGTTTTTTTTTCGTTTTTTGATTTTTAATACTTTTAATCTATTTTGGCTTGAAATCAAGGAGCTGTAATGCCGTCGAATGTAACAAAATATATACCAAACATGTGATTGTCCTTGGCTTGGGGATTTAGATATAATATTTCTGGTGTTTATGAGGGTGGCTAAATGCATTACGTAACTAATAATTTAATTCGATCATCTAGGGTACCAAATGGCTGATCTCTTCCTTTTCGGAGATCTTTTCGCTGGGCGCTTCGTCGCGATACTCGATGACATCCCTCTTCTTTCCCAGGAAATGTGCCCTGAACAGTTCATCCTCGTTATCCGAGTCGCTTTCATCGCCGGCCATCAGAGATACTCGGGAGTAGAGTTCGTTGTTTTGCGCCATAGCCCGGCGATGGTAGACGATGCCTCCGGCCACTAAGACTCCCATTAGGGTGAAAACCAGCGCCACCAAAAGAAGCACAGTGGTGCCAGCCATATATTGCTGTGTGCCGATCTCAGAAATGTCCACCACACTGGCCATTCCGGTGCTGCGCACCACGTAGGCATAGCAGAAGGTCTCGTTCAGGATCTTCCGCAGTTGGCTGCCCGGCGAACAGGTGCTGCACTGGGAGGCCAACGGTCCGTGGCAGGCCAAGCAGCTCCGATCGCAAACAGCACAGATCCTAGCCGGAGTCTCCACCAAAGGAGTGAGTCCCCCCTCAGTGGTTAAGCTGCGTCGACGACGACGACGATCCTCCGCCTGCAGAGGATCATGGCTGTCGTCAATGCTGTTGGACATCACTGAGGATGGATGATCGGTGGTGGGACTGCTGTAGGGATTAACAGGAGCCCTGCTCACATCGTCGTCCAGTTCTTCCTCATCCGCTGCCAGCTTATCAAATGGATACGTGTGCAGGGGGCAGACATCATAGCACAGATCCTCATACATATAGGCCGTATCATTGCACTCTGCGAAAGGTTGGAGAAAAATCAATTATAATATTTGTTTATAGCCCGGATTGGCTAGAAAGTGATTTACCTCAGCGACAGTTTTAGCGGAAAAAGAAAGTTAGGAAATTAGTCAGTTAGAAAGAAGTCTTAAAAGCTTAGTAAAACTTAAACAAAATCAAAATGAGCAATGTTTTGTGCAAATTGAGAGCTTAAAGAGAGAAAGCAACAAAATGAAATATCCTTGTTTAAATTAAAAACTCTTTTGTTAATATTATAATTAATGTAAAATAAAATAAAACATTACTTTTATACCTATAATATCATAGCATTTATTTTTTTTAACATTTAGAACATTTTTTTTTTAATATTGAAAAAGCGATCGTAAAAACATGGTATTTTAAACATATCTATTGGCGACAAAAAATTCAAAGATGTTTTCAAAGCAAGCTCAGCCGGAAAAAACATGCTCAAAAAAAGAACAGAAAGAAAAACATAAAAGAATTGTGCAATTGGAAATGGAAGCATAGGTGTATTCACTGTACCTCCACCGAAAAAACACCAAGCACATGGACATGAGAATGTAGGTTTTATTTTTTTATTGTGTTAAGAAGGTAACGTAACGAAATAAACGAATTAGAAAGTGGTTAATGTCGCACAGCAGTGCGGGGAAATTCAACTTTCCTTTTAAACCAAAAAAAAGAGGAACGAAACAATAGTTAGGATGAAGCCACACTCACCTTGTCTGCAACCTCAAAACCTCAATGGGAACTCTGAACTGCAGTCGGAGAAAGTATGGGTAAAATACGGTGAAGAGAGCCTCTCCTCTCGTCATATAGTTAAAATATTCTCTTTTTTTTTGAGCATGTTTCGCTTGCTGCTTTGAATTTTATTTGTTGGAAATAAATTGTTTCAAAAACTCTGTTGTTTTTTACGGTTTCAATGCATTTATTTATTACTCATATAGATATTATATATATAGATATATACACAAACATACATAAAAAATTGTATTGAGTTTCGAATTGCGGCATTCTCAATTTCCATCATACCTACGAGGTTGTTTCACTAATTTAAGTGTTTAATTTCTGTTTTGTTTTCTTTACATTTAAAAAAGTTTAATTTCATTTCGTTTCCTTTTCTTTCATTAATTGCAAGCATTAATTTATGGTTTTTGTTCCAATGTTATTTTACAATTTTGTGGTTTTTAAAGTTAATACGTTTAATTTCTAATTTCTACCCCATGCCCTAGTACCAGTTTTTGTTAATTTCGTATTTTATTATTTTTTTTTTTGGTTTTTTACTTTTAAACGGTTTATTTAGAATAGGCTTAAATATTAATTTGGCTTTTTCTCTAATTACTTGACCGAGTAATTATGCTTCAGAGTTCAGAGTTTCCTGTGTATTCTGGTTCTTGAAGATAAATAAGTACCAAAACTGCGTGTGCGCGTTGAAGAACAACAGAATACGTGGAAACGGAGCAGAATCTTGTTGTGTTCCTAACCAAACTCACTTGGAAATTTGTTCAACATAATTTATATTGGTACTTGCCGAAGTTTCGGGTAAATACTTGTGAGTGCTTGTGTATTGGCTTGGTTAATATTTTCTGTTTCTCTTTGTTCGCTGCTAGTGCGTATAGTTTATACTGAGGAATTAGGGTTTAGGGTTAATTCAACTATTTTCGATTGAAAGATAGAAATGCTAGCTTTAGTTCTTGTTTATATCTTATGCTCTGGCTAAATATGTGTGTGTTTGTTTGCTAGTTACAACAACAACAAAAAGATACTTCTCCATAACTTCGCTATTAACTTGTTTATTAAATTAACATTTATATTTGTATTGTTTATTGTGCAGTTACGATATGATTATTCATACAACGAAAATGCATAGATATTGGGAACATTTTTCTAAATCGAAACCAATAAAATATAGAAGTATAAATCACAAAAGGAGATGGGAAAATTTCGATAGAATTTTTTAAGTAAACTAAGAGTTTGTACTAAGTTCCAAAATTAAAAAAAAAAACACATTAAATGATATGTTTTTGTTTATCGGTTTGATAAGAAACGAAAACTTTGTTTAGTTTTTAGCTGCTGCTTAATACACAATTAATAATAATTATTGCACTCAATTTGCTTTTTGATTTGTGTGTTTATATTAAAGATTTAAGTAAGCAACAAATTTGTAACAAAGATATGTTTTGTGTGTTCGTGTGTTTGCGTTGTGGACAAAATAAACTGTAAAATTCAGTGTAAATCGATAATAATTCTGTGTTTTTATGTTGCAACTTTGTTGAAAACTGCAGGAACTTTTGTATAAATTGTTAAATATAATTACGATTTAATTGTTTAGTGGTTGCTGCCTACTGTTCATTTATTACGCTATGCTTTACCCCTACACCTTAGGTTATTATTTACTTGTTCACGTTTATTTTCACGCCCTTTTCCGGCTTTTTGTTTTCGTTTGTTTTTATTTTTTGATACAAAATTGGTTTGCTTTGCTTAGCGCCTTAAGTCTAGAAATATTTCCATTATATACTTAGTTTTGGTTTTGCTTTTTCGCGTCTTTCAACTCCATCGACCCACTTTAAATTACGGCTGTCCAAGATTTAGTTTTAGATTTTAATTTTAAGAAACAGTCTTTTACTATGAACTCTAAACTGCAGTGGTTGTTGTGGTTTGTTGAACATTCTTTTTGTCTTGGCTGCATGGCATTAAACAATATTTCTTAAACAAAATCAAAAGTCAAGAAGCGGACTCAAACTATAGGCAAAGTGAAAAAGTGAAAAGCATTAGCTTGCGTACAGTGCCTTTAAAACTGTGGCGCGACTACTTGGCTGGCTTGGCAATATCTGAAATAATGCATTTAGTTTTCATGTACACTTATATACACACAGATCGTTACACAGGAAAAATTATTCCAATACTTTCAGATCGATTGGAAAGATTTACATAAATAAAATCAACAAAATCAAATTAATTTAAATGGTTAAAGGGACTAAAATATTAATAATGGATGCTGGAAATTTCAAGTCAAAAGTGATTTTTACTTTTCCTGTGTACATTTCGGGGAGCAAGCATTTGGAGAAACGTGGGAAACAAAAATCAAACGAAACAGGCTTAAAACAAACACAAACAATCTAAACGAAAACAATCAAAAACAAATCGTACAAATAAATTTCAACTAAACTCTTAAAAATAATGTGTATAATATATATAGGTATATATTTAGGATACGGTTTTTGTATATAGCTGCGTATAATTGCATTTCGACTAAAAATAATACAAAAATTTGCTTTGTGCGTCCCATTTCTCGACAAAAAAAAGGAAGAACAACCTTGGTTTTTTGCCCTGCCACGCCTTCTATTGCGTGGGCGTTTGTGTGTTTGTGTTGCTTGTGTCGTGTCGTTGTGTGTAAATCTAGGCTTACATTTAAATTTAACTACAAAATTTATAGTATGTATATTTTTTTGGACTTGCAGTGATTCTTCCTCCTCTCTCGCCTACTCTAAATTACTTTATTTTCTTTTTCTGTTTATTTTAACTTTTTTTTCTTTTCTTCGTCCTGTTGCCATCGAAACTTTTTTAATGGAAATTCTTTGTTCGCTTTTTATCTCATTTCGGTTTTTCGTTCTTTACACAGTTCAATTTTGTTTCTTGTCTGTTGCTAATTTCTTCCTCTTTTTTAATTTATTGCTAAATTATCTAATGCATTTGATAATGTTGTTCTTGTTCTTGTTGTTGTTGTCGTTGGCATGTTTAAAGTTTAGAAAGAAGACTTGCATGATCATAAAAAAGAGTAAGGACAAACCTAAGCACTTGCGATCGCTCCACTTAAGGCACGCGGCGGTGTTGCTGTGATCTCGGGTCATGCCCACCTCGCCCACCTGCAATGTGAAAGGATAATAATGGATTAGTCAAAGAAATTAAATAGTTGGATCAGATAGCAAAGATGAAAACTGGTATATTATAAACTTTGATTGTAACCCATTTTTGCAATATTATGATATAATATTTTCAAGATGGAAAAGAACTGTCTTATACACAGAGAAAAAAAAGACCAAAAATAGTCATCAATCGGGTATTTTTTCATATCAATTTTGGTCCCATCTGTGTTCATATCAAAATGATATTTCCGAACATATGATTTTGTACCATATTGATATGAAATCGTACCATTTTGTAATGGAAAAAATGATATGAAACAATATCAGTTCCATATTTTTCCGTTTTTTTCTCTGTGTAGGATATGATTAATATTATGGTAAGTCTGAAGAGAAAAAAATCGAAGAATTCATCAACACAGCTAGCAATTAGTGACAAAATAAAAAAGTAAAGGAATATAATTAACAATAATTATTGTTATTTTTGTGAAACTTTCATTTAAAGTGTCGAAATAAAGTATCTCATAATCATATTATGGTTTTTTGTAAATCTTTTTGCACAGTTGTTCAAGACAAGTACGACAATTTATTTATTTATTAATAACTTAAATAATGGATAATAATTTACTTTCATTAATACACTTAATTCCCTTAGTAAAGATAATTGACTACATCGAACACACTAATGTTGTACTGCTTATTCAGCTCCAAGAATGCATAGGTCCAGTTGCCACTACGGCAACCTCCACGGCAGTTGCAGCCGAATTCGTCGCAATCTCCCTCGCCGCAATAAATGCCGTTGGCCTTCTTTCCATCGCCACAAATGCAGATGGAGCATAATTCAGAGTTTTGGTCGTCCATTCGGCCACCTACTGCTTCACAGGATGCTTCCTGAATTTTAAAGATTAGCTGGGAATGCATATTGCAGCATTCAGAGGCAGCATCCTTGATGAGGAAAACGCAGAGTGCGCCAAGGATCAACAGAAAACTGATTGCAACTTGCATGATCAGGCGACCATATAAAACTGACCTAGCTTCGCTAACGAGATGCTAATTTATACGCGTAACACGGATTACTGATAAGAAAAATTTGCTATCAAAAACAAATGAACCTTTTCCCAAGAATGATTCAACTGATTCTTTTGAAATTTAAAAATTTCTCCCAAAAATGATTCAAAGCAGATTTATATTCTAAAACTTCAGAATATCCGGCGTAGCCAGCATCCGGCTAACAAATTCTTTCAAAATAATGATATAAATTTTTATATAATAGATATAGCAATACGGTGAACATTTTTAGGTCGAAGTTTTAAAGCCTCCACTTCTGTTTAAAGTCCAAAGGCAATCCTTTTCCATTTTTTTTTCGGCTAGTCAGGAGTGGCTGAAAACTTTTGCCTCGTCTGATTCTGATTCCAGTAGTTGTAGTTGTTCATCGCATGTTGCCGCTCTGTCTGGCATTTTAAGCACTTATGTATGTGGCTCTGTCTGTCCTTATTTATAGCTGCCCCTTCCAAAAAAGTCTGTCCAAGTCTATCTAAGTTCACATGCAATGACGTCGCGTGTTAGTAACGAAGGCAAATGGATGGGAAAAGGGACGGGGGGCTTGGAAAAGTGTTTGTTATGCAAAAAGTTTTTTTGCAGCCAGCCCAAGCGGTGAGACGCAAAAAACTAAGGTCACTGCACTCGCCTTTATTACCGCACATCCCTTTTTGCCGTGCCAGCGGCGGAAAAAAGCAACGCTTTTAAAGCACAATAGGTGCCAAAAGGTTAAAAATTGCTGCCTGCCCGGGGCAAGAGTGCACTTGAATAAGGCCCAGGCTTTCATGGGGCTCGCAGAATGCAGGCAAAGTTTAGAAATATGCTGATTCTGAGCACAGAGAAAAATGAGGGAAGGGAAAAAATATTTTAAAGTTTTTTTTTAAATATCTACAACTATCCACATAAAGGGGAAAATATATTTTGTATAACTTTAAATGGTTTAAACACCTGAACTCTATGTTTCTATATTTTTTGAAGGAATTTTCCCTAAAAGGGTTTTACAAAAAAATGTTTACTAATTAATGCTAGTGATGGTAGTTTTTCTCTGTGCCCCCCAATGTCCTGCTGCCCCTGACAGAGGAACTACGACAGCTTCTTACTTGGCCCACTGCCAAAAAACAGGGCTCAAAAGCGGCTGCCAAAAGTGGAATAAAGATGCTGGCCGGATGGCAACAGAGGGGGTTCCAAAGATAACTGCTGACAGTGTATGCCTAAGTATTTGCAAATTTATGAGCGCTATTGGGCGAGTGCTTTGCATACTTTCGGGGCCTGTGCATTGGCGCGTGCGGGGAAAATTCGTACATTAACAACACAAAAAGGCATGCTGCTGGCAGGGGGAGAAGAAAAACAAACTGGAACGAGCTACAGCTACCTGCCAAAAGGACTCTACGCAGTCTTGCAAGGCAGCACAGTTTGAGAGCCACTGCGACTGCCCGATGCCTGGACTGACTGACGGTTTAATCAAGCTAGCCACATGCAAGCACGCAGCGTTGGGTTCTGATCACTACTTATCTCCTCGCTGCCCGACAAAGCATCTACAAGGCACTGGAAGACCAAGAAATAAACAGAACACGAAGGACAACGGGTCGGATGGGTACAGTGAAAGCTCGGAAAAGCGATTTTAAAGGTGATAAAACATCTATTTGGGGGATTTCTTTAATAAAATTTAAAAACATTGTAATTAAATTATTTTCCAAAAAATATTCTAATAGGTACTTATTAATTTCTTTATAAATATTATTAAAAACAAGAGAGAACGCTATAGTCGGGTGCCCCGACTATCAGATACCCGTTACTCAGCTAAAGGGAGTGCGAAAGAGATGGAGAAAAACTTTGATCCGCCGTAACTTTTTAACGAATGGTCCGATTTAAAAAATTTCTTCTACATTTCGATAGGTATTGATAAACACAATAAAACTGCATTTCTTTTCCAAAATATTGAAATTTTTAAAATCGTATATAAGCGATTGTGGGCGTTAGAGGGGGCGTGGCACCCTTTTGAAACAAACTTGCGCTGCGTAGGAACTCCTAGAATCTGCATGCAAAATGTCAATCTTCTAGCTTTTATAGTTTCCGAGATCTCAGCGTTCATACAGACAGACAGACAGACAGACAGACAGACAGACAGACAGACAGACAGACAGACGGACAGACAGACGGACAGACGGACATGGCTAGATCGACTCGGCTAGTGATCCCGATCAAGAATATATATAGTTTATAGGGTCGGAAACGCTTCCTTCTACCTGTTACATACTTTTGCACGAATCTAATATACCCTTTTACTCTACGAGTAACGGGTATAAATATACATTAAACAATTTTTAAAAACATGAATTAATTTAATTTGTATTCTTTAATATAATTTATTATGGGCCGCTTTCTCGAGTCCCTGTCAAAGTCCCTGATAGCTATCTGTTCGAAAAACTTAAAGACCAGATAAACTGTTCGTAAAAGCAAATCCGCTTTCTCGACTGCTTTAATTTATCTGAACGAGAAACAATTACAGAGTGCTGTTAACGCACTGTAAAGTGCAAAAAATGGCATGCTTCGATTATTTCATCAGCTGTTTGGGTATAATTCAATGGAAAAGTCAACTGTGATTTCGTTTCTTCTTCATAGTTGGCTTTGGGAAATCAGCTGTCATTCTATCGAGCCGAAAACGCTTAACAGGGACTCCGAGTCCCTGTCAAAGTTAGCTCTCACATTTATGCTCGAGAAAGCCAAAATGCCTTAGCAGGGACTTTATCTGTTCGAGAAATGTTAGCCGGCACTCGAGAAACCGGCCCTATATCATGTAAAATATTATAAAATTAAAGATTTTTTAGATTTTGAAAAATTATTCCTAGTTAATAATTAAATTTTGAATACAAATCACAATGGAAAAAATATATTTCCCGTTGTCTATTCACTTATTGTAAGTCATTCCTACAGGAATGGATTTTTCATTATTATTTCTGTTACCATTTCCGAACTTTCACTGTATTCCGAGCCCAGACATGAATTAGGTCTTCCAAGCTGAGTGACGAATGGCTATTCATGCAGGCAGGAGCTTTTCTACACCTCAATTCACAGGTAGACAATGGAAGCGGGACTCACCTGCTGCATATTCCTCCACTGGCCGGTGGAATCGTACTCAATGTCGTTGTGGGCCATATCGTTTCCGTACAGATTGAACTGGTTCGACTGGCTGGGATTGGCCACGTCCTCGGGTTGGGCGGGGGTCTCGGTGCCGTAGAATATCATGTCCCATTGTGTGATTTGTGCTGCAACGCAGAGTAGAGAAATCAAATGCATTTAGTTATTGCTGACTGGCCAAGGGCTCAAAAATAATCCAAATCAAATCGAAACGTCTATACAAAATCAACAACAAACGGCAAACGCAAAATGTTATAAAATGTATGATATATTGCAGATTGCAAGCGGCGGCGGGCAAACAAGTCAAGTGAAGGGCCAATAAATCTGCCATATGAGCGATATTCGTATACAATATACTATATATATTTGGGGCAGATCAAGTGCCGAAAGCTAATCGCAACTTTCATCAACATTGGGAAAAATGGATAAAAATGAAAAATTGTTCTGCTGACAACCGGAGCAACAGCAACAGCGCAACAGCCAAAAACCGAAAAAGCATTTTAGAGTTGCACTTTGATTGATGAAAGCAACAAGAAAGTGCAGCTCAGTGGTTGTCAAACTTTTATTGACGGCTACGAGGCGAAAAAACATGAAATACAAAGCGAAAAATGTTTCTGAAATAAAGAGTATTTTGACGGGAATATCATCACTATGACACTTGCTATAAACTCTACTCATATGGATAAATAAAAAAGTCGTGTGATTTAAATTTAAATTGTTTCATAAATTTTATGTTTTACCAACGAAAATGATCACAACTTTCATTTAAATATGAAACAAAATTTAAGGGAATGAATGAACATATAAATAATAATAGTAATTTCAGAACAAATTCTAATGGATGAAAATTCTAGAATTGTGCCTTGAGAGAAATATGAAAAATCAAAAGATGAAGATCCGAAAATTGATTGGCTACCATTTGGTGCGTTGACCTCCTTTCGCTGGTCCCTTGGTGGCTCGTAATCAGGCGTCGCCTGGACCTCCTCCATTTCCAGTTCCACCTCGGCAGGAGCCATCACTCCAGCGGCGGCCATCAGCAGTTGCTGCTTCTTCAGGATTTTCTGATCGGGCAGGAAGCTACTTCCGCCGGCGGGCAGGATGGGCAAAATGGAGAGGGTTGCCATCGTTTGCGAAGGCGGCGGCACCGATGGTGATTTCTTCGTATTTCCCTGGCGACTATTTCCGCCCGTGGTGGGTCTGAATAGCTCCACCTCGAATTGCTTGCCCTGCTTGGCCTGTTTCGGTTTTCCCTTGGGTGAACTATTTTCATAGGGTTCTAGTTCCGGGAAAATGGCCTGTATCTTTTCGTAGCGCTCGAAGAGCTTGGGTATACGGGAGTTCGAAGAGGAGGAGGAGGAGGTGGCACCACTACTCTCCTTCACCTGCTTGGCTGCTTTGATGGATCCATTGGAACCACTCGTTCCCGTCGTGATCTCACCCACCACTTTGCGGGTCTTCTCATCATAGGATTTCTCGCCGGAATTGGCTTTAGGCCTCTGTGTCTGCACTCCATTCCTGTCCTGCTTATTGTTCTTTTGCTGCTGCTGCTGTTGCTGGGAAATGCGGTAGTACTTGTTTTTACTGGTGGTTGTCTGAACGATTGTGCTCTGGGTGGTTGGCTCCTTGCGATTGGCACCACCCTTGTTCCCCTTGTTACCATTATTACCCTTATTCGCCTTGCTATTGGTCTTCTCCTTACTGTTATTATTGTTAGTCTTTCCACTGGCCTTTCCCAATATCACACCGTAGGTGGCCGAGATTTGTTGGTAACCCTGTTTCGGCGATGGAGGATTCAGCAGCGGATTGTTGGTCACAAAACTGGATTTATTGGGCGGTACGGGAGGCACTTTGCCCAATGGCAACTTGGACCCGCCCGAAGGTGAGCTACCAAAGTTATTGGGCGGAATGCGGGGATACTGGGGTGAGTAGGCCTGATGCAGATTACTGGTGGTGCTGCTGCTGTTCGGTGTGGTTGCCTCCGAACCACTTGGTCTGGGCACCGAGATCGGATCGTTGGGATCGATGCTCTGAGTGGTGCCGTAAAAGATCAGCGACCATTCCCTGAGCAGAGCATGGCCTTCAGGTCGGTGGGTTACGGGTGGGTTAACGGTGGGTTAACGGTGGGTTAACGTTAGGTTAATGGGTGTTTTTTTGTTTTGGATGGGGTGTTAGGTGGGTGAGTTATCCACAAAAGCGCAGCATGTAAAACGGTACAGGTTTAAAGCATCGATCTGACGGCACAATGTTTGTTTTTTTGGCTATGCTAATTCTTATTCAAACTTACCCATATAGCGACCCTCGTTGTGAATCTCCAACTGCCAGTTGCCCTGTGGCGACTCTCCCCAGGTGTGGACCGACATGAAGGGCCATTGGTTGAAACCGGAACGGGAATTGTCATGGATCCTTATGGATAAGCAAGTTGATTAGTGAAGGGTAGGGACAAAGACATTAGAATACAGAGATTCGTAATGTCATGAGATTTTTTCTACACCCAAAAACAAATCGATATGAAACGTAGATCGATTTTACATTATTTAAGATCAATTTTAATTTGACATGAGGCCAGGTCAAGGAATTTTATGTAAAAACGATAAAAACCCCATATCGTTTTTACATTAAATTCTCTTTTCGACCTGAAATTTACGTGGCCATATCGATTGGGAAAACCAATTTTTTTGTGTGTATTTCATATTGCATATTGCAAAGCGAATATATGGACGTTACGTATCTTAGATAATTAATTCGTATTTACCTAGGTGTTAGCAGCGTGACACTGGTGTTGGCGGGTGACCTCAAGAACAGCTGGATGTCTCCGCGTCTCTGCGAGGTGAGCGTGATCTTGGCCTGGACGTGCTCCAGATAATTGACCGAACGGCAGTGATTCACGGTCAGCTGCAGGGTGATGTGAGTGCGAGGTGGAATGACCCTTAAAAGTAGAGAAGATAGATTTAAGTTCAAGGTTCTTTCCTTTATAACAAAGATTATCCTCCTACTTGTCGACATGGGGAGCGTTGATCTCGCAACGCTGCTGCTCCGGCACCGACTTCCAGGTGCGGGCCACACGCACCATCTCGGCGGCGTCCATCAATCCGTAGCCAAAGGAGTGGCTCACCCGCCGCCCCACCCCGTTGCGCGACCAACTGGGATCCTTTAAATTCGCCGGCTTCGCGGTGCGCACCACAATGTGCTGCAGATCGCGCCAGGTGAGATTCTGGTTGGACTGCAGCACCAGGGCGGCAATGCCAGCGGCGAGCGGTGCGGACGCCGAGGTGCCCGTGTGGGAGACAGTGCACGAATGGTGCAGGTCCGTGGTGACCACCTGCTTCTCGCCCTGCCCGCCGCTGCTGTAGGTGGTGGCCAGCGTGGAGCTGCACTTCTCCGAGTACCAGGGCACATGGCCCTCCTCCGTGGCACTGGAGATGGACAGCGTCCAGATGGAGTTCGTGTACCCATCGCAATTGCAGTTGTCCTGCTCCCGTCCTCCGTTGCCGGAGGCCCAGATGAAGATGCTGCCCTTGCCGCCGCGTCCTTTGGTCGTTCCCTCGATGAAGGCGCGTGAGGCCAGCTCTCCGGGTCCATCCACAGTCTTGCCATCGTCATCGGGTCCCCACGACGCACTGTATATGTCGATGTGTTGCGGATTCAGCGACAGCGATCTCGCCTCCACTGCATCCGTCACATCGCCATCCAACATCCTCACTCCGCCCACGCTGGCTCCATAGGCAATGCCCACGGCACAGAAGCTGTTGTTCGCGGTGGCTGCCACCTCGCCGGCACAGCGGGTTCCATGGCGATTCGAGTCCGTCATGTCGTAGTGCGGCATCGGATCGTCATCGTGGCTGTTCACATCGTACGAGGCCTTGGGGTCCTGTTGATGGTTGAGAAATGATTGACAGGTTTAATATGGATTCAGGATTTCAAGAGACTTTTAACTTACGTAGTTATCCTGTATGTCCGGGTGATCCGATTCCAGGCCATCGTCCAGAATTGTTACCACCACACCTCTGCCGGTAATGCCCTGCTTCCAGGCGGGTATCACATTCATGTCCAGGCCACCACCGCGGTTCTAGGAGAAATATTATATTGTGAAATATTTTACATAATAAAATTTGGGAGAAAGAAATCCCCGTCTTATACAAACTGTACAAAACTGAGTTTTAAAGCACCTTATTTTATATTTAAAAAAATAATAATTTTTTTGCTAAGAGGTGAAAAAGTTATTCAGTTATTATTTATCAAAATAATTTTCATAATAAAATTTGGGAGAAAGAACCCGCATTTTTTACAACCTCTACAAAACTGAAATTTAAAGCGCCTTATTTTATTTAAACAAAAAAAAATCAGTTATTAACTAGATCTTAGACTTGATCTGATAGCTATTAAAATTTTTAATGAAATAATTCTTAAATTTAGTTAATCTTTTATTTTTAAGGTTTTATTTTATTACTTACCAGATACCACATCTGCGGCCACTTGGAGTCGTCGAAGGACATGGCGTCCACCATCGACATGGCCCGCGAGGAGGTCCTCGATGGTCGCATCCGGATGAAGTCCCGCTTGGATCGCGACTTGGCCCGCTGCTGCTTCGCCCAGTGGACGCGATCGTCGTCATCCAAGCGAGTCTGGTGATGCGTGGCGGGTGAGAGCGACCTCTTCGAGACCTTGTGATGTGCGAAGTGGTAGTGATCATCGAAGATCTGCAAGGAAAGAAGGGAATAATTGAGTTATTATAAAATTTAGGTAGTAGTCTCTGAACTTAGCATCTCATTAGAATCGAGAATTCAACTTTAGATTCGATTTTTAATTTTTCCAACAAGTTATATATAAACTAAATATTTGTTTATACCTCCAACAATTACTATAATAATGTCTGGTGGAATGCAAGGAATTCGTAAGCTGGCGGATAAGCTTTTCACTCCCAACGAAATTCGTCGTTTTCAGGCGTACAAAAACCGTTTTAGTGAGAAATATCTCAGCGTGGAGGGCCTAAAGTCCAGTTTCAAGACACCGAATTTGGGTAAACTCTTCAATCGCCGCATGTTTTCATCGAACAAAGAAGGTAAGGCATCCCATAATCTAATAGATTATATATTTTTAAGATCATATTTTAAAGCCTGTCCCGAGGAGCCCAAGGCCAAACCGGAATGCGATCCCAGTTGGGATGAACTCTATCCGCCTGGGCCGCCTTACGAGCCATATGATTCGCATTTCTGGTATCCAGATCCCGAGTTTTACAGCGAAGCGCAATATGTGGTCAGGTTCCCCGAAGGCGACGAGTGGAAACGTCGACCGAATATGACAGGCAAGCAGAGGCCACCCGTCGATCGCACTTTTCGCACCAAGTTCATTAACTTTGGACCCGCCCATCCGGCAGCCCACGGAGTTTTGCGCATGATCTTGGAGCTGGATAATGAAACCGTACTCAGGGCCGATCCACATATAGGATTATTGCACCGCGGCACCGAGAAACTCATAGAGTACAAGACCTACATGCAGGCTTTGCCCTATTTCGATCGTTTGGATTATGTTTCCTGCATGGCCAATGAGTTGGCTTATGCTTTGGCCGTGGAAAAGTTGCTGAATGTGGAAGTTCCCCGAAGGGCCAAGTATATAAGGACCATGTTCTCGGAGATTATGAGGCTTACGAATCACACCATGGCCATAGCTTCGTCGGTTCTCGATTGTGGGGCTATAACCCCGTTATTTTGGCTATTCGAGGAGCGCGAGAAGCTATATGAATTTTCGGAACGCGCATCGGGAGCTCGCCTGCATGCCGCCTACATTCGTCCGGGGGGCGTGGCCTCGGATATACCACTCGGTTTCCTCCACGATCTCTATCAGTTTATCAATCAGTTTAGCGATCGCCTGGATGAGGTGGAGGATGTGGTCACCGACAATCGCATCTGGCGTATGCGTAATATTGGCATTGGCGCAATTTCAGCGCACGATGCCTTGAATTGCGGATGCACTGGACCCGTTTTGCGGGCCACTGGCGTCAAGTGGGATCTGCGAAAGCAACAGCCCTACGATGCCTACGATGAGATGGAGTTTGATGTGGTTGTGGGCTCGAATGGCGATTGCTACGATCGCTATCTGGTGCGAATGCGTGAGATGCGCGAATCGGTGGGTATCATTAAACAGTGCATCGACTGCATGCCACCGGGTGAGATCAAGGTGGACGATCTCAAGATCTGTCCGCCGCAGAGGCGCAAGATGAAGGAGGGCATGGAGGATCTGATCCACCACTTCAAGCACTTCTCGCAGGGCTTCTATGTGCCACCCGGTGAGACTTACACTGCCGTGGAGTCGCCCAAGGGCGAGTTTGGTGTTTATCTCATCTCCGATGGCTCAACGCGTCCCTATCGCTGCAAGATACGTCCGGCATCCTATGCTCACCTAGCCCTAATGGCCAAGTTGGCACCCGCCCACATGTTAGCCGATATTGTGGCCATTATTGGATCCCTGGATATTGTCTTTGGCGAAATCGATCGTTAGTCGGGGTTACATTAATACTATTTACATTGATATTATTTTTATTGTAAGGGCGATTACGTGTATGAACATTAAACAACCAAGAGTTAATAAAATATAGAAGCCGAATATAAAGAAAGTAATTTTTTTTTATTTTATTATTTATTTATTTTTTTTCATTAATTTTTTTATTTACTTGTTTTTTTCTATTTTTAAAACCCTAGATAATATTCATAAAAAATCATTTAGTTTTCAATCATTTAATTGTTATTTTAAAAAGCAATTAAAATATTTCCTCAATTTTAAAACCATATTTCGCTCATGTGTAGAAATCCCGTGCACACACAGTGCACATTGTCCTCAAAAGGGAGCGTGAGAGTAATTAAAATGGGCATTTATTATTTTTGAAATTTGTGCAAAATTGTTCTGATTTAGTGACGCATGGCATAAGCTGCTGCTGTCCCTGTCTCTTTCCCCCGCCATCTGCTCTCTCCCTTCCTGACTTCACCGTCTATGTGCAGGCGAGATAAAATAGTGGCAGGAATTTTGCCGCAGTTTTGTTAACTGTGTGTGTGTGTGTCTTTGTACTTTGTTGTTAATTGAATTTCATTGTGCTAAATTCTTTGGCAAATTACAATTTAAGGGCTGCACAAAAGCCGACTGTGTGTGAGTCGAACTATTTTGCAATTACAATTACAATTAGTTGTGCAGAAGCGTTGATAGAATTACTTATGGCAGCTACTGGGCCATAAAGTTGGGTGACATTGTTCTGGCTTGCCGCAGAAATTCAACCAATTTCGAGAAGTGAATATGATGCATTCCTGGTGCATTTCTCTTGGCTCAACTACGGTCGAGAATAATCTTGTGTGACCAAAAACTTGCACATGACTGGTGCTTAATTGTACCTTTTAACCGTAACTAAAACCCCATCCTACACAAACATGCATCATTAAGGGCTGTGCCAACACCAGCACAAAGTTTGGAACCAGAACCTCAGGTAAACGCATAAAAGTATGCAACACAATTTATTTATGCCCACAGCAGGATGTCGCTGTCGATTTGGCAAAACAGCGGAAGCGGCTTTCTCCTTCCGGTCCCCTTTTTCTCACACCGTCTCTCCCTTTAAACGTGTTCCACTTTTCACTTTCAAAGGGATATTTTATTTCCCTAATTGGGGTTATACCTATATCTGGTTGAAAATAATGTTTTTAAGAGGATATTAAATATTTAAAAATGTATATAATAATCATTTATCACATTTATTTTACTAATTATTGTTATTTCTTTACTTAAAAATACTTTATGCAAAAAAATAACATTTTTTTAAACATTTAGGAATATAAAAAAATTAAAATTTAAATCATCAATATGCAGATTTTAAGTGTTTTTACTTAAATATCTAATTTAAAAGTAGTATTTTTCTAAATGGATATTTCAAATCTCCAAACTCCAAACAAAGTGTAAATGGGAGCACGACAGTTGGTCCTTCGCCCAGTATGTTTGCTAGTGTTTGTCGTAAAATTCGAGCAGTTGAATGGCACAGGATGATAGGAGAGGCATATGTGTCGACAGACCTACTACCCTTAACCCCCATCCCCAACCCTTAAACCCCCTTGGCACGGCTGGGCAACTAGTAAAATTTTAATTGCTGCTACTCTCTGCGTACGTGTCGCCCAACGCTCAAAGCTCGTTTAGTTTTTATGCCCGACGAGTGGTGCCACGCCCCTTCAACTCCCCATTTCTCCTGCTCCTCCACTATCAAGTTTATTAATTTATGCAGCACACACACATATACACTTAGATTTGTTTACTTGCTGCCTGCTCTTGTGCATATGCAATTTTGTCTAACATTTTAATTGAGTTGGGTGGAAAAGTTAAGTTAATAGCTCGCCCACGCACACAAACACGCAGTCTCCTGGGTATATGTGAATATTTTTGTAAAAATAAGAAATGGAAAAACAAAATATATATTTCCAGCGAGGGCTGGACTGGCTATTGGCTTAGTTTTAATTGTTTGGTTGCGGTTTCAATTAAAATTGACTTATAAAACACAAAGGACCCCCGGGTTTCATTAAGCTTAGGTGATGAAGAAAGGGAAGTTAAGTAGATATTTTTTAGAAATCTTTTCTTTAGTTTATTTAACATTAATGTAAATAATATACCATCCATAACAACAAAGTTTGGAAATTTTCAATTTGCTTTTATGAACAAATTAAATTCCATATCTTTATTACAGACAAGCTGAGCGATCTTAACCGCAGGCAGCTAATTTTCTAGTGCATTTATCGACAACAAACAGCAGACGTTGACACAAAAAAGCAATAAAAGCATGGCAAACGTTTCCAGCTAACAAATTGAGGGCGAGGAGGCAACGAGGCAATGGCACTGCGAATCCTGGTTAGAGGCGAAGGAGGATATGTTAAGCTGTGAATAATGCCCTCTCCATGGCAGCTTTTAAAATTGTCAACAATTTAATTAATCAACTCAGGGTGCAGCAGCCACCTCGGGGGCCCCCTGATAAATGGCTGTTTCGAGCGAGGGAAAAAAACGAGCGTAGTAGAAAACAGGGACATTGGCTTCGCCATTGGCAGCTATGTGAGTTGTGTGTGGTTGTAAATTAATACATACACGAAGGAAAAGTGCCAACAAAAATGGAAAATTAAATTATATTCAAGGAAACTTTAATAGTCTTTTAAATGTAAGCACAATAAAATATTTAAATTATAAGGAACTCGGTTTCAAAATGCTAAAAAATATTGTAGCCTGGTTTTAAAATTTTCGTTATGATTTTCCTCTGTGTATTTAGAAAAACGCTCAATCTGCTCAATTGCCAATGAAAATGGTTAATTTTTCACCATCGAGGCCTGGGGGCCTCGCAGCAGCGATGGAATGCCACAAACGCCATCAGGAAGAGGAGAACCAGAGGACCAGAGCACCTGGTGACAGCCAGACAGGAAGCAGCCCTGTATAAATATGTGCCCCTTTTCATTAGCTGCTAATTAATTTAGCACACACACACAAGCACTCACCACCAACACCACCGCGAAAAGAAGGAAATGCAGTTTGGATTTTCAATTAAGTGGGCGGGGCGAAGAAAGTCGGATGCTTGGGGTTGTGTGAGATTTCCCCGGTTGTGTATGGTGGAAAATATTACACAGTGTTAAAAGTGATGACAGGTGCAGGGACCAGCGGCGCCCCGAAGCTCATGGGTTCAGGTAGAAACTACGAGAGCTGTAAACTGTCACACAGGAGCTGTGAAAGATGTCAGAAGCAGCGAAAAAGGAGGAGGCAAAAGTCTACGGGGGATCCCCCGTCCGAAAAGGTTAAAGCATCATTTCGAGAAAAAATATGGGGATTTACCAATTTTTTTGTAGGCTTTTTCCATCGCCATATATTTACGTTCATTGTTTGTCACTTGATCCTTCTTTTATGCCCTCGACATTTTTTAAATAAGTAAATGAAAAAAGCTGAAATTAAAATAACAAAGGTCAGTAACAAATAAACTTTGCTGTACGGTTGCGCAAAACAGCTTTTACCTCTTTTTAATATCAGATAATCACAAAAGAATCTGGCTTTCAAAAGAGAAATACGAAATATTGATTTTATAAAATGAAGAAAAATTTTAAAACTTCTTTTATATTTGGACATGGTTATAGGTCATACAAAACTATAACTTTTAGGCCAACAAATGTAAATTTTTATGTTCGGTTTCCAAAAGCACTCTCGTCGTCTACCAGCTCATATGGAAATCCCCCAACCATGTCGAGCTGTTTGTCCAATCATTTGGCGCCCAACGTTGCTATTTGCATATGTATATTGGATACCTGGCTTTTGTTTCCCTCATCAGCACAACGATGCCATAAAAAGCGAACATGTTTTTCCGGGTGCTCGCTCTGGGTTTTCCTTGCCTTGCCTTGCTTTTGCCTTTTGTTAAAATATTTATAGAAAATGGCGACAATTTGCGACAAACAATTGCGGGTCAGACCACCAAAGTTGTGCTCACTTGGCTCCACGCACTTTACATTGCATATTTATGGTTTTTTATTTGCCTTTCGGTGTATTTTCTTTTCTCCCTTTGGAAAAATCATAGTATGTATAGGTCAAACCTCATTATGATTCCTCCGTGCATTAAGTCTGAAATGGGTAGTAGCTCGGGGATACACTTATGGGTGGATAAACAAAAGTCGAAAGCACTCCCACGTCCTGCATATGCCAGCTTTCTATAAGGTGATACAGGACACCCGGAGGGCTGGCCAAGGAAAATCTACCCCCGGTCGAAAAGGGAAATCTCTTGGACCCCGAAAATACATAATTGTTTCCATGGGAGAGATTGTAACTATAGCACGGTGGTTTTCCTTGGCATTTTTCTCTTATTTTTGCACTTTCAATCAGGTGGGCGAACCTTGCCAACCCTTGGATTGCCGAAACTGTCCCCTGTGGGTAGCTAAATGTTGGATACAAAAACCGAATCTGGCCTGCGAGGGCAGCGTACATAGGAAAAATGTAATAAAGCCCGAGATCAGCTGTTGTAAATTCATGCCTGGCTCTTTTGCCCTTATGATTTTTACGGCATTTATAGCAATTGGGGGAGCAATACATATCTTTTCGCAAATCTCTATCTTACGGGGGTTGATAGATACAACATGAGATTGCCAAGACACTTACTCTTTGTAGAGCCTTCGATTCGACCTTAGCCTCAAACTACAAAATGTCTTAATGGAGATGGCAGGATATTTTATTGCAAATGATGAGGCAGTTTTGGGTTTCAAAAAACACGGAGGAAAAATTGTTTTCTAAGTCGACAACAGGAATTTATTGCAATAAAATCATTTTATTGGAATGAAGAAAGTAGAGGTTGAAAATGATCGATGTTTTCGATATTTTCACAACCTTGATTCGATAATATCGATGATTTTAAGGGAAAACACATATTAAATATCGAGAATTAGTAAACTATAAAAATTTTGTTGGCCTGTGCAGTTTAAAACTCTGCCATTCATTGCATACGAAATGTAATTTCACTG